ATGTTTTAACTTAGAAAATTTACGGAAAATCGAGAAAGTAATAACAGTTGAAATTTCGTTCAAACAATTATGTGCGTGAAGCTAAATATTTTGAGTAGTTAATTAAATAATTTTACGTGTGTTTTATGGACAAAATGTAAGTACTTTATAGTGACAAGATTTATTTTGATGAACATGACTTTGTGTGAAATTTTACTAGAAAACTTTTGATTTTTAATTTAACGGTGGAACTTTATTACAACGAAATTAATAACTTGAGTGTTTTATGAAGGAAACATTATCGCATAACTTTAATTACCTTCAGATATAATGACATTTAAATGTGCAACAAAAATATGAAGAGTACTTACAATGCATTTAACAATATTCAATTTTGAGTTGGAAATTATGAATTAAACAGTTGGATTTATTAGCTAGGCATAGGAATCCGAAAATATAATTTGTTCTAAGAAACTATTAACTGCAATAGGAAATTTTAAAAAGAAATTTGATGACATAATAGAATTGTTTTCTTAAAATATTGGAAACTAGTTAAAAGGAAACTTATATTAGAATTTGTCTGATTAAATAAACTAATTAAAAGGAAATAGGATGTTTCGTAAATTAAACTTGTTCATGAAATAGAATTGTCTTAGAATATGGGAAAGCCGTTAAAAGAATTTATTGTCCATGAAATGAATTTTGAATTAGGGAGTTTATTTTACAAGTAGAAGTTATTGTAAGATTTTATGAGAATAAATTAGTTGTTAAACAAATAGGTAATTATTTTGGGTTTTTATAAGTAATGGACTTAGAGATTTTAAGGAATTATTTGACTAGGTAAAGGGTAGTTATTAGGAATGATTTCGATGTAGTAAAATAAATAGAAATATTATTTTGAGAAATAGTATGAATAGGGCGTTTCGTATTAAGTAGGCATATTTCAGTGGTCCGTATAATAACAATATAGAACGGATGAGAAGTATTAATTTTACAGACTTAAAGAAGGATGTAAAGTATTGGGAGATATTTGGCTAATTGATTTTTGAGTTTTATGTGAAATAAAATATAATTTAGTACACCTCCTTAGTTTGTTTCTCTCTCTTGCAAATAGACCCTCTTCCACAGATTTTAGATAGCAAGCTCCAAGTATATAAACACCATCAATATACCGCTCGCCATTTACCATCTAACTATTTACATAGAGTACTTGGGGCGATTTTGCTACAAATTGATTAATATTTATGATCACAGAATGTTTTCTCATTTCTCTAATATAAATAATAGAAGAAATTTTAAGTTATGATGATGAGCATTCAGTTTTTAATTGATGGTCTTTGGATTTAATCATTTGTCAAATTTTGTATTTTGTATGTGTTAAAAAAAGATAGAACATTTTCGGGCAAGTTGCTGACAAAGACAAATTAAACCGAGTTGTCAGAAACGATCGAAGTAATTAGTTCAATAATCTGCCACACCATGCGAAATACGCTACGGGTATGTGCACAAACACACTTCCAGATTGTTACATTAAACAAACGTCTCTCGTAGTTTACTACTATTATATTTCTCTATGGGTCATACCTTGAATAAACAAGGTATAAAACCTTTAAAATCAAAAGTAAAAGAAATCACTGATGCCCCTGTCCCTACTAATTTAACCCAACTCAGAAGTTTTCTTGGTCTGTTGAATTTTTATTCTAAATTTTTACTTCACTGTTCAGATACTTAATGATTTATTAAGGGAAAGTCAACCATTTAAATGGGTAAAGTCTCAACAGGCGGCATTTGAAAAGTGCAAATCATTGTGTTACTTTAACATATTATGATCCTGATAAAGAGCTAATAGTTGGAGTTGCTTCAGACGCTAGTCCCTATGGTTTGAGAGCAATTTTGAGCTTATTAGAAGATGGAGTTCGTAAACCAATTCGGTTTGCATCTTGTACGTTGTCTCCATCAGAAAGAAATTATTCTCAAGTGCAGAAGCCTTGCCTGCAGTTCCCAAATTTCACAAGTTTTTGTATGGGAAGATATTTATAATATTCTCAGATCACCAGCCATTTAAAACCATTTTTGGGGGAAAACATGGGTTGCCTACATTAGCTCATGCTAGGATACAAAGATGGGCTATTACGTTATCTGCGTATAACTATGAGATTAAATACAAGAAGGCTAGTGAGATGTCTAATGTTGATTGTCTATCAAGAATGCCACTGTCCGAGATGTTTGAAGAATGTAAACTAGAGGAGCAAGTTTTTGCTTTCACATATGAAGATAACATACCCATCACAGCCGAGTTGATTTGATTTGTATAGAGAGACAAAGAAAAATTAATGTTTAAATAAAGCTATTGACCATGTTAAACCTGGATGATCTTACTGCAATGAAGATAACTTAACTTAAAGCCTTATTTTCAACGAAGAAATGAGTTAATAGCGTTGAATGTGAATGTTTAACCTGGGGAAATCGAGTTGTTGTGCCAGAATCTTTGAGTGACAAATTGTTGGATATGTTACATGAGAGTCATCCTGGAATGGTAAGAATGAAGCTAAGAGCTAGAAGTGACTTTTGGTGGCCAAACATCAATGGTAATATAGAGCGTTTAGTTAATCAATATCAAACATGACAAATTCTAAGTAATCGTGAAAAGAATGTCACCATATCCACTTGGACCAAGAGAGAAATTTTTTTTTTTTCAAGAATTCACGTTGACTTTTATGTCTTGGGAGGTTATAAATTCTTTTTGGTGATAGATAGTACTTCGAAATGGTTAGAGATTTTTCGAATGAAAGGAACAAATGCGGCGGACAATGGACCCCCTTTGAATAGTGAAGAATTTGATAAGTTTTGTAGATCCAATGGAATACAAGTAACACCCCACCTTATCACCCGGAATCGAACGGAAGTGCGGAAAAATCAGTTTCAACGGTTAAAAACTCATTAAAGAAGGAACTTTTACAGGATGAGTTGTATAAGTCGATACTAAAAAGTAAGAAGGATATGCAGAATGGCATTTTTGACAGAGATTTCTATCAGAAATGCGATTCAATTGATCATAAGCTAGATAACTTTTTGGTTTAATTATAGGAATACTCCAAGTACGGTTACTATGAAATCACCAGCAGAATTGATGTTTAAACAGATCTCGAGAAAAAAACTTAATGTTTCATCCGGAAAATTTAAAAGGAAAGGTAGAAAGAAGAAGAGCTGACTATATGTAATTGAAAGTGAAAATATAAGAAGACGAGAAAATAAAATGTATTCGAATAATCAGTCAGTCATGTTATACTTAACACAGCTTAGGAAATGGATAACAGCAAAGGTGTTGAAGGCAGTTGGAATTAATTCTTATTTAGTGGTGACTCCAGAGGAAAGAGTGCGATATGTTCATGCTGATCACTTGAAACCATCGTTGTTGCAGTATCCAGAAACAGATGTTCGGCCTGATATTCCTAGTAAGGCAGCTGTGGAAATTTTGGAAAACCCGAATAACCCCGAAAATATAACGAAATATTCTGTTGACCGGAAATCTATAGAAAATCATCAGTTAAAAAATAATGTCCCACCCTCGGTAGAAGTGTTAGAACCAAAAACTCCTACTTCCTTGCCTACTCCTATTTCTCTTACATCTAAATATCCCATTAAAAAAAAAGTTACAGTTTCTGATCATTCAGGGACATCTCCACGCTTGTTGCCAAAGAAATCTCCAACCTTGTTACGTAGATCTCAAAGATCTGCCAAGGCTCCTGACGGGTTGAATCTTTGAACGCTAGGATCTTGACAAAGCTAAGTGAGAATGTAATGTACGTGCTTAACACTTATTTATTGTAAACGTAACATAAGGCAGCCTTTCAGTTATCATCCGATGGGTGACATGTTGAGTGGTGGGCTAAAGAAATTAGACAAATAATCGCAGTTTCTGTCAAAGATCCTGTATGGTTATTGATTGAGTTTAATATTGTAAACTTGGAGTTTCTTTTGAATAAATTGGATCTTCAAGAATCAAGTCCAGTCTTTCAATGTTGTGTACCTAAAGACACAATACGGATCTGACTATTATAACATGGTTAAGGTGGAGTGGTAGTCGTCCCACCTGCCCGTTTTTTTCGCTCTGTTGTACAGCTTGCGTGTTTTTGTCCTGAGATCCTAAAGTTCTTTGTCCACCAGGAGATATCTTTTCTGAAGTTTTGCTTTCTCAGGGGATAGTTGTTCTGATAAGAGGTTATCATCATAGCCTTCTGTAGTTTACTAGTTGCTGCATCGCCCTCGTGTTGTTTCGTCGCCTTGTCTTAAGATCTCTCTTCTGGATTTTAACGATTTCGAGGATCTTATAGGCTCCTTTTCCTCCAGGACGTCTGTTGGGACCCACAGTAGAACCCTGGCAGTTTTGGCCACGTTCTTGGCCTCATCAGCCCTAAGGGCTGCTGCCTCCCCAGGGTTTCAGTGTGGGTACCGTTTTCAGGAACCAAGACTTGGACTCCTGGTTGGCACAAACCACGAAGACTACCCTCCCTAGGAAGTGACATCCTTAGTCACCAAAATAGCAAAAATATTACCAAATAAATTCGCAAAATACCACATTACATAAACAATTATTAATTGAATATTTTATGCTGTAACAATTCATAAAAACATTAGCTAATAATATCGTTTTTTCTTTCCAAGTCTATCAAAATTTAGAAAGCTTGTCGACGTTATAAGTTATCATCTTGTATGCGGAAAATGCAATAATAATTATTACCAGCTGATGCGTAAAAATACGAATTCACCATAATTTGAGTTTAACGTCCTAAAATTAATCTTTTTGAGAGTTCAAATCAGGTTAGAAAGAAACCAATTTGTAATAACAGTTACTCTCGATTTCAGGGGGCCTCCTCGTGATTAACGGTTATGGTGCAAGGAACATTATGTTTCTTTTTGGCTACTGGTTTTAATTGGAAGAAAAAAAAAATGTGATTGATTTCTACTAGGTTTGATGAACTTTTCATTTTGAAATAATTAAATCTGTGTTTTATTTTCAGCAATGACAGCGAATATACGAAACGACAATAGTTATAGCGACGACAATTTTTCGGACGATGAAAGCGCCCCGCTTACAGAAAATATTTATGGAGGAAGGTAACAATTAATTTTTTGTATTAAGTAGAATAATAACCACAAAACAAACAATTATTATTTGTGAAATCTATAAGAGGTTTGTGGCTACTTGGAAAAAAGAATAGAAAATAGAAAATTTAAAGTTGTACTGTAGAGAGGTACCAGAAATTTGCTATTGAAGTAACCACAAGCAAATTGTTAGCAGAGGTGCCAAATGAGAACCTAAATTTCTAAATATTAATCTGAAATTTCCTGAGATGTGGTAAAAAACTACAAATTCCAAAAATTTTAGCTCATTTGGAATTTTAGATTTTCAGAGATACAGAGATTCGTTAAGGGCGAAAGTACAAACTTTTATCATTTCTGACATTTTCAACTGATTCATTCGGAAACGAGTTATAAGTTCGTGCAATAATAGTGATTTTTACAAAAATCAGTGATCTAGTTTCAAAGACAGTACGCCTAATTATTTCGAAAAATGAGAACACGCAACGCAGCATAAACAACCAGAACAGAATTGAAAGAGAAGAAAAAAAAAATTGCGAAGCAAGGTCGTTCGTGTAGATCCAGTTTAAATAATAAACAAAAGTGAACGGAAAGGACTTTCTCATTTATTATTATTTCTTTAGGACTATGAGTGTCCTTGTCATTTTTTTCTACATGTATGAGATAATTATTTTGGGCTAGGTTTAATTATTGATCTTGATATTGTACGCGTCAGATCGAAATCCAGGTCAAAGACATATGATATACATCATCAATTTTCTCAAATCCCAAAGAAAAAGTTAAGCATACCAAAAAATCTTAGTCATAAGTGAATGAATGAATGATTCCCAAGATGTTGAAATTTTATGTGAATCAGAAGCCAGGCTAGACGAGTTTTGCCATCATTTTGCTAACATTTATGAGGAAAAGTATTGGTTATCACAGCCTTCTACGTCAAATGATGGCTATTTTGATAACTTTTGAATATGTTTTCTTCAATGTTCATAATTTGCACATTTTTTGATTCTAGACCCGCCTGCAACAGTGAACAGGAACCCAGATATCCTTGGCATTTAACATTTTATTAAAACAGTGAAGTTATTTGGTTTTTGTTTTTTTTTTGCACAATGGCACCAAACTCTTATTTCACGCAATAAAAGTATCGTTCAAAATGCACCAAGCAAGGCCAACACGATTATTGCATTTAAAAGCTGCTCATTTTGAATTCGCTCTTGTAATCTCTGCGTATCTTCAGCCGACCGCAGCGAATCTTGTCCATTGAAATTGGCTCAAAAAAGGTTGTAAATTATATAAAGTCTAAAAATATCTCGATGACCGGTTTTTGTCGAAGGCAAAGGAACGTCCTTGGGTTGCGAAGGAGGTTCTTTGCTCTTGAATCTGGTAGGTACCCGGATATTCAATTTTGCCAGGACCAATCCAATCTCTTTCGCATATTGCAGTGACCAATGACCTTTTCAAAAGAAGGTACCATTCGCAGAACAGTATCGGCCTTGATGGCTAAGGTGACAATGAACCATAAAGGGGCTGGGTGGAGTGGGTACCCTTTTTCGATTCAATCATGCCTTTTGTTGAGTTGTTGAAACTTAAGTGATGATGCTATCAAGATTTGGCTTTTGAAATAAATTAAATGGACCCTAAAACAAGTTTTGTTGATTGTGCTTGTAATGTTGCATCCATTGAATCCGGGAGAAATTAACCTGGGAAAAAGGTTTTTGTAGATAGTTTTTTAACAAAACTCTCATCAAGCCCCATTTATACGAGACATTATCTTCTTTCCGGGCAAAGGTTTAGTGAAAGCATCTGCATTCATCTCTGTACTTGAATTATACAAGAATTTGAACGAAAAGGTTTTATTATCGCAGAAAAGTATCTTCTTCAAATTTGCTATTTATTTTCTAAACTTCTTAGCTGTCATAGATCTGTATTCAAAGTGCACACTTTTGACGATTTTACTAAATCGCAAATGGGATTTTTGGACCTTCTTATAAGATCTTTGTATCTGCGCTGAGACTGCTTGTGGCTGTTCCAGTCAGCTAGTGATTTAGACCGTATGCCCCTAGTAAAGAGCCTGCAGGTTTCTTTACGAGCCTTGTCGAGGTCGGAGTTCCACCAAGGAGTTTTCTTCTTTCCTCGAAAGGTTCGAAATCACAGCTCCGTTCATACGCATCGCTGATTGCGTTGCCTATGAATTCGGCTGTTTCCTCCACTTGCCTTGCGCTGGGGCATGGCTTGGAAAACTCTTCTAGTTTAGCCCTCAGGATCTCAATGTATTGGTCCCAGTTCGTGTTCCAGGGGTTCTTGAACTAACTGGGTCCAGTCTTGTATTCAAGGTCCAAGCTGAATAGAATGTGTCTGTGATTCGATAGGGATGGTTCGTCATACACTGTCCATTCGCTTATCATCGGTGCCATGGAGAGTGAGACCAATGTCAAGTTTCTTGTGTACGCGAAGTGACAAAGGTCGGTGCGCTGCCACGGATCAGAATTTCTAAATACGTGGTGTGAGGGTACTCCAGAAAACTGAGCCCTCTCCAGTTCGTGTTGGCGCTGCCCCACACCATTTGGTGTGCGTTGGCATCGCATCCGACAATCAAGGAAGGCCCAATGAGTTACAGTACTCCACCAGATCGATGAACTCCCGTGTTAGGGGATCATCTGTTGAGTTATAGGGCAGATAGGCCGAGCAAACTACTATCGATCTGCTCTGTCCCAGTCTGTCCTTGAGGCATAGCTTTACCACTATTAGGTCTCTAGAGCAGAAGACTTGATCTGTCTGTCGACATAGATGCAAGTCCTTGGGTTTAGTTGGATGCCCCTTTTATAGAAAAGAAATCTTTCCACTCTGCCTAATCCTCTTACGCGACTCTTGTATGCAAAAGGTTAATGATTGGACCTATTTCTAGGCTGTAGACGGTCCAGCCCGTGTCCCCGGTGGAGTATATCATACATCCACTAGAGCCATGAGCTCCGTCACCTCTTGTTCCAGATCTTCAGAGCCATCGACTGGCTCATCCGAAACTGGATTGGGCGGTGACGTTCCTTCCGAGAATGGAGTATTGCTACTACCCTTCTCGGCTGGAGCCGTCATTTTTACGGGCACAACTGGAGCCTTTGAATGGAATAGGAAATATTTGAAAACGAAAGGAGAGTAAAATAATCATCGTATAATTTGACGGTGCCTAGAGATTAGTAAAAGATGCCTGCTTGGTTATTAATCGGTGTTATTTGATAAGCCTGCTCCTTCGTGTGCGATAGGTGGGCGCGACACATCGTAATTATGAGAAGAGCACGTAGCGTGTAATATATCAGCTTCATTTTTGTCTGAAACAAAGGGTTTTAATAAGTCCTTATGATACGAAACTAGCTTATTTTTTATTTTTAAGAGAACCGAATTATTTGAGTTTATTTTTGTTATTTTAAATGGTCCCTCATAATTCAAGGAAAGTTTTTTACCCTTTTCGCAGCAGACGACACCTCGTCAACTCCAAAAACCATGAGAGCCCAGTTCGGCTCTTCTTTATGGTGGTAGGTCCTCCATAGATTCGTCCAGGACTCTGTCTACAGAAGCGTTTGAGGATGGTGTTGGTGTTGTCTAGAATTCCGGTAGACTACCGCAACCATCTTGACAACCCTGGGAGTGTATCGCATCGCACGCAGCGAGGCCTCCTCCCAGGGCCTTATCGAGGAGATGACGTATCCGGCACTATGGTGACCTCAGTCCAGCAGATATTGCGGCACTGTATGTGGTCATCCCCGGACCTTTTGGTTTTACCCCAGAAGTCCTGGGCCTCTTCACGTGAGCCAAATCCCCCTTCGATCCAGGGGTGCTGCCTTCAGATCTGTGACGTTTAGTCCCAGTTCCTTGGGTCCCCCTCCCTGTAACGAGGTGGTAGTTGAGACTTCGCCAGAGCCCTGGCTCATGGACTGTGTCCCGAGCCTGACCCTCCTGGCTTTGGCCTTTGCCGCACCGGATTGTTCTTCTTGTTAGAAGATTGGGTGCGAGTGTCACCGCAGTCCCCTTAGTAGGGTCTTGTGATGGGCCCTCTTTTGAAGAGCCCCCCGCATTAGAGCCCCTTTCGGAGCCCGGTTGTAAGGTCCCTCTTTGCGGAGATCCCTTTAAAGATTTATCAGTTTTCGAAAGATCCGTATAAATCCCACGAGTAGTCCGAAACTAAAGTTCCGCCAACACAACGCCGTTTTGTGTGGGTAAGGCTAGATACTCTGGAAGGTCGCCTGGTATTCCAGAGGCACCGTTCGAGACACATCACCCTGTGCCATACAGTTATTTATCACGATAGCGGTAGCTAACACCTTGAGTTTGGGGTTTTTTTTTGTTCGAGCTTTACTGGTTTAGATCCGCCACCTTTAGTTAAAACACGGTCACCTCGTGAAAGAGTGGTAAAGCCTCTCGTAGATGGTCTTTTGAATCCCCCTGGTAGGATGCAGGTTCTGGAGGCCGTAGCCTAGTGCAAGTCCTACATCCCACCTTAACCCCATAATAAAAAGACCCTACTCAATAAATCCTGAAAGTTTGAAGTTCCTCTGATTACTTGAAGTATTTTCAGAAGGTGATTTCATAAAAATTTCCCATGATTTTCTTGCATCTAGAAGGGAAAAAAATTCATAATTCTATTAGGTTTATTGTTAAGGGCGAGAAGACAAAATTTTATTATTTCTCTATTCTTTCACTGGACTATTTTCAAAAATTTTAAACATTTCATTCACATTCACAGTATGGAGTTGTAGTTAAAGGACTACAAAACCAAGAAAATGGGAAGCTCAAGACCATCTGCAAAATTATTCTTCAAATTAGGAATTAATGAGTCATAAAATATGAACTTTACTAATCAAAATATTCATTGTACTTCTCAACCAGCAAAAAATTCGTCTGCAACCAGTCTTGACCTTTTCCAAAGTCTGGTTACGCCCAACAAACCAAATAAAAGCTGCCTTTTATAATACATCTGCACGTACTGAAAATGTACAGACAGTTTCTCAGCACACCCACGTTTAACAAATAAGTCGTCTAGCTACATTTTATACAAACGACTACGATTTACGGTTGATATAATTTCATATACAGGGTGCGACCAGTTTGATTTTGAACTTTCGATTATTACTGATATTTTAGTTGGCCACCAAAATTTCTAAAACTATTTTATTGAATTGAGGCAGAAACAATTCAAATCCATTAACCATCAAGCATAAAAATAATAGTCAAGAATTCAATAGGTATGGATTACACCCAGTACATAAAATAAGTACCCAAGTACTTCTTGTCATACAAAGTTACACGGGTTCGTACTTATTGCCCGTGTCAGGCGATGGCTGCGACAATAAATTCGCAATTCTTTTATAAAGTTGCAGTCCTTGAATAAACAACCACGGTACCATAGGCATGGCTGTACGAGACATTTAAATTCTGTATTTTCACATTAAATTGTAATTTCGAATTTAATTTATTTTAGATTAAAAAGTTCCATCGTTCAACTTTCACACAAACTTTTAAATACCTACCTAACTGACCTTAGTCGTTTATAAGACACATTTAAAAAACAATTAAAGTAATTTGGACATGACACTGTTTAGTTACAATGTTATCTTTACCGAAAAATACCCACGTTAATGAAAAACTGAAAATATTTTCTATTTTGTTTTCGGTACGACCTTTAAACTAGGATATTTTTTGATTGTTTATGGGTCGGGCTTTTGCCATTATTGTGACCTTAAACTCATATTCTAATTTGAAAAATTACTTCCTCATCTCTTATTTCAATATAAAATTATGATAAAGTTATCCTTTATTTCAGCGTCCGAACAGTTCTCGATACCAAAGGATGGGACGTCTTCAGGGATCCTCCCATCAAGGAGGAATCCGGTTCGATGGCGAACCAAAAATGTCTAGAAATCACTGTAAAAATTTTAAAAATAGTAGCCTATTTAGTCACATTTATCATAGTGTTAGCCTCCGGAGTCATATCGAAAGGGACCATTTTGTTTATGACTTCACAACTCAAGCCTGGTGATAATAGACCACTTCAATATTGTAATAAGGATTTAGGTTAGTATAGTTATATTTTTAAAAGAAAGATCTCCTCTTAAGACACTCGTTCTTCTTATGGACTTCTGTTTATTAATATCAAGTTGAAGGTAGACACAACGCTGTTGATAAAATTACTCCTCATGATGGCTGATATTCCAATCATAATTTCTTCTTCCAGGTAGAGATAAACAATTTATAGTCAAATTACCGACGCAAGAACGCGTAGCGTGGATGTGGTGTCTGTTTTTCGCATTTTGCGTGCCACAACTTGGAGCACTTTTCAGATCAACGAGAATGTGCTACTTCAAGTCATCGAAAAGGCCACCGTTTTCGCACTTCCTGATGATATTTGTACCGGAAACTGCTCACACGATCGGCCTGGCGCTTTTGTTTTTCTATGTCCTACCGGATTTGGATGTGGTCAAAGGAGCCATGTTGACGAACTGCTTGTGTTTTGTGCCAGCAGTACTGGGTAATACAAAAAAATACCATTGATTAGATTATTTTGATAATTGAATTATTTTAGGTCTTCTTTCAAGAAACAACAAAGAATCCAGCCGCTTTATCAAAGTTATCATGGATCTGATAGCGATATCAGCTCAAGCAACTGGTTTTGTATGGCCAATAATCGAAAGAACCGATCTCTGGATAATTCCAGTTACGATTTTCCTAATATCTCTCGGATGGTGGGAGAATTACATATCGAAACACTCACCGTTGCCGTTTATTAAAAAAATTGGCAAAATGAAAGAATCGTTTGATAGCACCCGTTATTTCACTTACATGTTCATGTCCATATGGAAAATCCTGTGTTTCTTTTTAACTATTTTGTTTGTGTTGCTGGTCAAAGAAGGAGAAGTGGCTTTTTTCTTCACCGAATTTTCAGAAAGCTTCAGTTCTCACCCAATAAGAGTAGTTGAAATTAAACCTACGCTGGGTGGTACAGTTTTACCTGACATTGCTGAAATTATATCCGTAGGAGACGACAGGATAATCTCCTCAAACGACTGGAGTCCAATCTACGTCCTACTCATTAGCATTTCCGCTTCATATTTAGTCTACATTTTCGGCAAATTTGCTAGCAAAATTATGATCCAAGGCTTTTCTTACGCTTTTCCAATCAACCTAACCATCCCCGTGAGCGTTTCTTTGTTAATAGCAGCTTGCGGCTTACGCAACGGTGATCCGTGCTTCTTCCACGAAACTATTCCAGATTATCTATTTTATAATATACCTGACAGTGATTTCTTAAATAATTTTGTTTCCCATCAACACGCTTGGATATGGTTGTTGTGGCTGTTATCACAAACTTGGGTTACTTTACACATATGGACGCCCAAATGTGAACGTTTAGCTAGGACTGAGAAATTGTTTGTTATACCCATGTATGAAGGCCTGTTGATTGATCAGAGTATGGGAATGAATAGGTAAGAATTTTGGTGGAATTTAGGTTGAAATTAATATTGTTTTTTTTTTTTTTAGACGAAGAGATGATGAAGCAGATGTTAAAACAGAAGACTTGGACGAAATCCAAAAAGAAAAAGCAGACGAGTATTACGAAACGATTTCCAATCACACTGACGGATCCACACCGAAATCCGTGAAAAGCTCGGACAATATCACCAGAATTTATGCTTGCGCAACAATGTGGCACGAAAATAAAGAAGAAATGATCGAGTTTTTAAAATCGATTCTACGTTTAGACGAAGACCAATCGGCCAGGAGGGTGGCTCAAAAATACTTGAGGGTTGTAGATCCAGACTATTACGAATTTGAAAGTAAGCGTTCGGAAACAACACGGTAAAGTATTAATTGTTAATATTATTTTAGCTCACATCTTTTTCGATGACGCCTTCGAAATTGCCGACCACAACGATGACGACACCCAAGTCAATAGGTTCGTTAAACTTCTAATTGCAACGATTGATGAAGCGGCTTCTGACGTCCATCAAACTCATATCAGAGTGAGGCCGCCCAAGAAAATTCCAACACCGTATGGAGGTAATTACTTAACTCCCGTTAAAGATTGATGATGGGTATCTATAATGATTTTTTTTACTAACCTACTATAACAGTAATAGGGTTCCGTTATGTTTTTGGTAAATGTTTTGATGTAGTATATTTGTTCTTGTTGTTTGGTTCATTCAAAAAAAGGCGACTTGTAGAAAATTCAGTTTTATGGACAATTAAAAAGCCTAAAAGGACTTGGGTTATTATTAGGAACGGTTCCAAAACTCAAACAGTTCCAAAAGAACTGCTAGGAAGAGTTCAATTTCTCTTATTTTCATGTTTTGAGGCAACATTGAACCAAATCATGGGGAATGATTGGATGAAGGGCACTGGACAGACATTCAGACGTGACAAGATATCATTGGATGGTGTGTTGAGAAACATTTCCATTTGATACTCCAAATATATTCAATAGAACAAATAGTTCAGAATTTAAAGCTGCTACACAATCAGGATAGAAATTTCGTAACAATTTCCTTCGAGTTTGAAGCTGGCGGACTTGGTGCTTTGGGTAGTCTCGCGCGAGGTGCATCTGCAATAGCAAAAACTGTCATAGAAGTCCGAAAGATTTTTTCCATAAACGTTATCAAGTCAACAGTCAACCAAGAGCCATAATCAAAATTCAACCAATTAAAAATTATTTGTAGATCAGAATTCAAAGCTGCTACACAACCTACCACATACTTAGTCCATGGAATTGGTACATTTAACCTTGCATGAAATGAGGTAGTTCTGATGTTTTGATATGTTGTATCTGATGAAGTGATAATGACTCGGAAGCCCTCCGGATCATTTTTAAATATTACTAAAACCGCTAAATTTTCACCTTTTCTTCACTTTTTCTATATAACTAACGTTACGGCAAAACTCGTGATGCACAATTTTAAAGTAAACAAAATTTAGAAAAAAAAACGAGACTAATTTGGTTTTTGTAGGTGAAATAGTTTCTAAGATACAGAAATTTAAAGTTTTCCATAATTTTTATTGACGGGACCCATTTAACGGCAAAAATATCATATATAATATTCTGGAGGACTAGTTTTTCACCAAACGACACTAATTTGATTTTTTCAGACCCAATAGTTCTTGAGGTACAGCTGTCCAAAGTTGATGAAGTCAGTTAGTAAATATTTTAAAAAGGGTTTGTAAAAAAGTGGTCGGCAACAGAGGTTCGCTTCATAGCACTGATGTCCAGAAAAGTCCCGTTCATATGTACGGCATGTGCCAGTAACGACATCGATGTTAGGCAAGTTAAGAAGATGTTTCAGGAAAATAGGAGATTAAGCGTTGCCATTAGCGAAATAGAAGAGGAAAAGGATGAAATAACGTCGAAGTCGAAAAGGCAGAGGCAGATTGGAAGTCTGAATGACGGGATAAAAGACAAAGAAAATCAAATCGAAAATATGATAAAAAGTACCATAGAGTTCCAGGATGCATTTTTCCGTTTCCTATTTGGTTACCGCTACATGGAGCGCTAATCCTTTAGGACTTGAAAAATTATATCTGGCATCGCGTTTCCTATTAGGCCAGCGCACATTGTCTATACCTCTACATGGAGCGCTAATCATATAGAACTTGTTAAAATATATCTGACGTCGCGTTTCCCATTAGACCAGCACACACCCTCCGCGATCATCTGCAGACTGCAGACATCCATTGCACTGCAATATATTTCATTATCGTTGTCATTTTTCCAGGTTAATTGGTGGTTACAGGTGGTGCAATAATTTTGTAATATTTCTCGTTATGTCTCGTTTTTATCTCTGTTGATTCTGCACTGAGAAATCCTCTAGCCAAAAATTCTTCACTAATGGATTTTCGGCTATCATAGCAGACATTTTAGCTGTAATTGCAAAACGATCCTATTATTATTACCAAAGTATATTTTCTACCGCAGCAAAGTGCTTGCCTGCAACTGGGAAAAAGTTTCTCATAGGTTTTTTTTTATTACTGCTGGAAAGAATTTGGCTGCTACAAAAAAAAGTTACTCATTAAAAACCAACCCAATGTCAAAAGTCACGTAACAGCATGGTTGGCAAAATAAGCGTAGTTATTTAATTCATGTGCGCTGGTCTAATAGGAAACGCGACGTCAGATATAATTTAACAAGTCTTATATGATTAGAGCTCCATGTAGCGATAGACAATGTGCGCTGACCTAATAGGAAACGCGACGCGAGATATAATTTTACTTTGAATTTTTCATTGGAAGCCAGTCCTAAAGGATTAGAGCTCCAAGTAGCGGTAACCAAACAGGAAACGGAAAAATGCTTCCAGGATGATGTTTTCATGGCAGAAAACAGTTTGGAAGCTGAAATAGATCTGTTAGCAGCATCCATAAAGAATCTTGAGAGGAAAAATTTAATACTCACACGCGAGAATAGTGAACTGAAAAAGAAGCTTGAAGATAGTGATAGTGAGTTATCTGTTCAGCAAGAAATTGAACAAACCCATTCAAAAATCGTACAACTACAACAGTCCTTAATAACATCTGAAAGGAAACATAAAGAGGAACTTGCTAGCCAAAACCTTGGTAAGGAATTGTTGGAACAACAAATAATTCGACTTAATAAAGGGGTTGAAGATCTAGTCAACACTAAAAATAACCTGAAACTGCTACTATTGAATGCTGAGAAGGAGAAGGAGATTCTGGAGCAGAGAATACGTGATTTAGAAGAAAAGCAGAATTCTTTCGAAGGGATGAAAGATAGGAATTACAGTATCAAAGTAGTAAACGATGAAAAGATAGTTTATAAACAAAAGAAAAAATACATTATAGAATCAAGACGAAGCAAGAATTTGAAGGGGAAATAGTAAATCTAAAAAATTTGAATAACAGTCTTAGAAAGTCAATTGAGGAATTATACTTACTTATAAGTACTGCGGATCCTAGCAAAACTGGAAGAACAGAGTGTAAGTGCGAGAGCATAAAGTCTGGTTTGCGGGCAATTGCAGGCAGGGCAAGGCAAGCACAAATCTGGAAGGGGAAATCCACGATGCATTGAAATTGATTAGTGACATGAAAAGCAACAAGCCTATGTAAATCCTTATTGGGAAGACAGCGAAGCACGCATAGAACAGGTGCACACAGTCTATCATCTCCTAAAAGTAAAGTACTTATACTCACTGATAACTATGGCTTCAAGTAGTCCGATAATCTGTTGGAAATTTTAAGAAGCACTTATTCAGGTCTTCAGATTATTAGCATTAGCAAACCTCAGGCGGACTTTGCTCAAGTTACTCAAAATGTTAAAAAGCTCACTGCAGATTTTGGAGAGAATGATTTCTTGGTACTTCTAGCGGGCATAAATAGTGTTACTCAGTTTGAGGATGTTTTAAAGCTAATGACAGAAACAAAACATACTTACCAACGTCATTTTGTGTACTGTTCCAGTGAGAACAACTCACCAGCAATTTGAGAGAATACATAGAAATAATAAGGCAATTCTGTCTATTAAATATACCACATTAGGTAACGAAGTTTATTTCTCTAAACTCCTTCCAAACAAAAATGGTAGAATTCAGATGGCAATCTCTGATTGGCCAACTATTAATTAGAGCTTTCCTGTTAGTGAGTAAGAGAAGGACTTCACACAGTGATGTAGAAGCAGTGGAACTTGAGAATGAAACCACCAAGAAGATATGGACAAGAGTTAACAAGCTAAGGGAATTGGATTCTGTGGATATTAGCACAACACGGGTAGCAGATAACAAAAAGGTATTAGGAAAACCACAGGTGGAACATGACAAAAATGAAATAATAATAGAAGATAAGGAAGATCAAGTGGTTACAAAAGACATTAGTGAGATAGGTTTAAATTTTATAGAACGAACCCAGCAAAGAACAAAAACATTAAATATAAAAGCTGCAAAAAAGAAACATTTTTATTATATTTGAATGCTCAGTCATTACCTGCGCATAACGATGAAATTTGTAAGTTAGTATTAGAAAGGGGTCATCTTCTAGTTTGTTTGACTGAAGCTAGGGTGACAGAACATATGCTGGATGCGGAGATTGATATAATGGGGTACAAAACTTTTAAAATGAATACTACAATAATTTATATTAAAAGCTGCATAAATGTGACAGAATTTAGGAAAATAACTAAAGAAAAAGAATATTGGATAAGTCAAATAAAATTTGAGATTAACAAAAAACAAGTTCTAGTTGCTTCATTATATCGATCTCCAAGTGGTGGTTCAAGAAATAAGGGTATGTTTTTGGATATGGTTGAGCAATGGTTTGAAAATGTTGGTTTAGAGAAGAGGGTCTTAATTGTGGGCGATTTTAATGTTGACTGGTCTACTCAAACACAGGATAAAGATATTGATAGGTTAGCAAATATTTCGGAAGAATTGGAACTGAAAAATATTGTCAGCAGTCCCACGCATTCAACACTAACGCGTGATTTGATCATTGACTTGATGCTGACAAATGTGGATTGCTTTGAGGCGAAGGTCCAAACAACTCCGAAAATCGGAAAACATAACTTCATAAAAGTTGACATTCTAAATCAGGGGTTGCCTTGATCAGCACAGAAGATAGTAACAAGAGGAAAGAACATAAAGTATGGGGAAATTAACAGAAATAGGTAAAGTAACTTGGAAATTCCATATCATAGATTTGGATGAAAAATATAATATAATGTATAATGAAGTTTACAAAATCTTAAATGAAGTGGCACCTTTGAAGAGAGTTAAAATTTTTGCTGAATACAAGAAGTGGTGGGGCGAATGGGGAAAATGGTGAAAATGCTACAGAAAAAAAAGACATAGCATATCGTCAGTATTGTGCAGATAAAACGGAACAAAACTTTGAAAACTACAAACAAAAACGCAATTATGCTGTCAAAGTTATAAAACGAGACAAATATAATTACTACAATAATAAAATTAGTGAAAATAAAAATGATTCCAAAGAGCTATGTAAAATAATACATAATATAGTCCCGAAAAAGCAAGACAACAAAATCATAAACCAAACAGAAGTTTATAACAAATTAATAAGTGACCCACTAGAAATTCCTAACTCTTTAAACAATTTTTTTGTGCAGAGTATAGGGGCGTTTTTTTTATGAAATTATGCAAAACTTTAAATTGCTGTATCTTAGAAGCTATTTCACCTAGAAAGACCAAATTAATCTCGTTTATTTTTTTCAAATTTTGTTTATTTCAAAATTGCATATATAACGACTTTTGCCGTAACATCAGTCCTTGGTGGTCAAAATTGACCAAAAGTTAAAAAAGGGTGAAAGTTTAGCGGTTTTAGTAATAGTAATCGAAAAAACACCCCTTTTTTGTTACGACTTCCAAGAACTAACATACCTCGTATAATTCCCTTCGAGTCTTAAACTGGCGGAATTATTCGCAGGGCTTAGTGCTCTAGGTACACTCGCGGGAGGTGTATCTGCAATAGCAAAAACTGTTGTAGAGGCTCGAAATGTACGACAAAGACTACAAGAAAATAGTCAATCGAAAACTATGCAGGAATTCGGAAAAAAAAAGTTGCAAAAAGTTACTCGAGACAAGGATATTATGTCGACAGTCAACCAACAGCCATAATAAAAAATTGGCCTGTTGCTGGCTCTTGATTGCCTCTAGGCAAGATATCCAATCAGTTCTACATTACGTTTACTTTAACATTAAACCAAAAATTATGAATCCCAAACTAACTTAATTATTGTTTCATCAGGTCGTCTCATATGGCAACTTCCAGGCAAAACCAAAATGATAGCACACTTGAAAGACAAAATGAAAATCAGGCACAGAAAACGCTGGTCCCAAGTCATGTACATGTACTACCTCCTCGGTCACAGGCTTATGGAGCTGCCAATTTCCGTCGACAGAAAAGAAATGATTGCTGAAAACACCTATTTGCTGACCCTGGACGGAGACATCGACTTTCAACCTTCCGCTGTCTTATTGCTGATCGATTTGATGAAAAAGAACCGGAATTTAGGTGCCGCTTGTGGACGTATCCATCCCGTGGGTTCCGGCCCGATGGTTTGGTACCAACTATTCGAATACGCTATCGGTCATTGGCTGCAAAAAGCCACCGAGCACGTTATTGGCTGTGTACTTTGTAGTCCCGGATGTTTTTCGTTGTTCAGAGGCAAAGCTCTTATGGACGATAATGTTATGAAGAAATATACCACTTGGTAAATGCTATAACTTAACCCGATTCAATTACAATATATTTTTTATTTTAGTTCTGCCGAAGCCAGACACTATGTCCAATACGATCAAGGAGAAGATCGTTGGTTGTGCACTCTTTTACTTCAAAGAGGCTATCGGGTAGAGTACTCGGCTGCTTCTGACGCTTACACTCACGCTCCAGAAGGTTTCAACGAGTTCTACAATCAGCGTCGTAGGTGGGTGCCTTCTACAATCGCCAACATCATGGACTTGCTAATGGACTCTAAAAGAACCATCGAAGTTAACGACAATATTTCCATGCCTTATATCGGTTATCAGATCTTGCTAATGGGTGGTACCATTCTGGGTCCTGGCACTATATTTCTTATGTTGGTGGGGGCTTTCGTGGCAGCTTTCCAAATTGACAATTGGACTAGTTTCTATTATAATTTGTATCCGATTTTGTTCTTCATGATTGTTTGTTTCACCTGTAAATCCAATATACAGCTGATTGTAGCTCAAATTCTTTCGACCGGTTACGCGTTGATTATGATGGCGGTAATAGTGGGTACAGCTCTACAATTGCGTGAAGACGGTATCGGTTCTCCTTCGGCCATTTTTTTGATAGCCATGACGGGATCGTTCTTTATAGCTGCTTGTCTTCATCCGCAAGAATTTTGGTGTATCGTTCCTGGAGTTATTTATCTTCTATCAATTCCTTCTATGTACTTGCTGCTGATTCTGTACTCGATTATTAATTTGAATAACGTTTCTTGGGGTACTCGAGAAGTGGCTGTCAAAAAGACCAAAAAGGAATTGGAGGAAGACAAGAAACAAGCCGAGCTAGCTAAGAAGCAATCTAAAAATAAGTCACTTCTTGGGTTTTTGCAAAATGGTGGCAATAGCGATGACGATGAAGGCAGTATTGAAATTTCACTGGCTGGTTTGTTTAAGTGCATGCTCTGCACTCACCAAAAAGCTGGTGATGAAAAAGCTCAACTAATCCATATAGGAGAATCATTAGATTTGCTTCAAAAACGATTGGATCATATTGAAAAGTAATGCAAAAACAACAATTAAGATTTATATTTCAAAATTAATTTGTTTTAAGGGTTATTGATCCATCTGGTCATGCAACTAGAAAGCGTAGCATGTCAGCTTCATCGAGACACGGAGATCATCATCATTTGAGTGCGGTCAACGAAGAAGAAACTGAAGACGCCTCAGGAGAATCGGACTCAGAAAGTACTTCAACAGTTCCACACAATAAACGTGACGATTTGGTTAATCCTTATTGGATCGAAGATCCCGACGTTGGCAAGGGCGAAGTTGAATATTTGAGCAGCAACGAAATGATTTTTTGGAAAGACTTGTTGGCAAAGTATTTGTATCCTTTAGATGAGAATAAAGAGGAAAAGGTAAGATTTGTGAATTTAATTTTTTGATGTATTTGTTTGGAAATAAAAATCTAATAAAATTTTTGCCAAAATATAAATTATAGGCCCGTATAGCGTCGGATCTGAAAGAACTTCGTGACCAATCAGTGTTTGCGTTCTTTATGCTGAACGCCCTTTTCGTACTTATTGTATTTTTACTGACCCTCAAAAAGGACTACCTGCACATTAAATGGCCGTTCGGTGTGAAAACCAACATAACGTTTGACGAGAGCACACAAGGGGTAATTACCATGGGCTCGTTTATGGTAATTTTGATCAACAACGTTGTGTCAAGATACCAAAAACGGCCCAACAAACCAACCAAACTAACGCCATTTTTTCTATATTTTTACAGGAACGAATCGCGAAACATCTAATCGAACTTCGCAATAAATCGGTATTTGCGTTCTTCATGTTCAATGCTCTATTCGTATTAGTCGTGTTCTTGTTACAACTGAACAAGGACCAAATCCACGTTAAGTGGCCATTGGGAGTACGCACTAATATTACGTTCAACGACGAAACCTCCGAGGTATTTTTTTCTAAGTGGGAATTTTGCGTGCGGTCTTCTATTGTGGATTTTGGATTACGTACTAATTCGAGTCTCTTGGTCTCGGGGACTTACACCATCTCACTTTCTGTTAGTTAATTTTTTTTCGAGAGAGAGTTTATTTTGGCCGCTTGTTATTAAATTTTTACAGTAATTTAGTAGTTGTAGGTACTTAAAAATGCTCAATAATTATAAATTTATGACTTGAAGGCTGGATCGTAGGTATGGGAAAGTTTATATCCGGAAGAGAACATCAAATCGCTTACTTTGGAAGAGGCCAAGAAGCAAACACAACAATATCTTTCACCAACTTCTTCGTCGGCAGTAGCGCTCATGCTCTAATAGATACTTGAAGTTTCCTGGATTATAATTTTACCATTCGTCATAATATCAAAATCAGTCCTAGCCAAGGTTAAATTTTAATAGCGACTTCAACTTGTTTTTCGCCTATTAAAGTTTAATGCTTAGTCGACATGGATTTGTTGGAGTCAACATACAGGAATTACAAAATATCTGTACTTTCTAATCTGTGTGCCGATCTTGTAATTGGTCATGATATCATGAAACAACACTGTCGTGTAGAAGTTCAGTTTGCAGGGGACAAACCTCCCTTATCAATTTGCTGTTTGATGGAAGCAAAAGTTAAACCGCCATCCTTATTTTCAAACCTCACTACAAATTTTAGACCCATCATCACCAAATCACGCAGACACTCAGCTGAGGATGAACAATTTATAAAGCAGGAAATCAAGAATCTTTTGGAAGAAAATATTATTGAAGAAAGCAATTCTCCGGGCTCAAGTTTTAGTCACTCACAATGAAAATCGCAAACGACGTATGTGTACAGATTATTCACAGACCATTAACAAATTTACTCTAGTAGACGCCTATCCGCTTCCAAAAATTGAAACATTAGTCAATAAGATTTGGAAATACCTATGAAGTGTTTAGCACAATCGATTTGAAAAGTCCCTATCATCAGATACCCTCAAAGAACAGGATAAACCATACACTGCATTCGAAGCTGCTGGTAAATTGTATCAGTTCCGAAGAATACCTTTTGGTGTAACAAATGGAGTTGCGCGCTTTCAAAGGGTAATTGACTTAATAATTTCAGAAGAAAAATTTACAGGCGTTTATGCTTATTTGGATGCGTGTGTGGCGAAAATCAAGAGAAACATGATCAAAATTTGAAGAAATTTCTAGAAGCCATCAGAAAACGTGGATTTACAATGAATCAAAATAAATGCTCATATGCTCAAAAATCAATCAATATCTTAGGCTACACTAGAGAAAACAGATCTATGAAACCTGATCCGAAGAGACTTTCGCCACTTTTGAACTTATCAGTACCCAAAGAGCACAAGTGAACTTCAGAGAGTACTAGGAATGTTCTCCTATTATTCTGAATGGATACAGAATTTTTCAAAATAAGAAGTCTCGTCAGCTGTAAGTATTTTCCTTCACTAGAAAATCAAATCCTGGATTTTGAAACGATAAAGACCGACATTGCAACCTCACTCTTTTGGTCAATAAATGAACATAAAACTTTCATTGTGAAAACTGATGCATCAGAATTCTGTATAGCCGCGTTTCTGAGCCAATCAGGAAAACCTCTGTAGCTTTTTTCTCAAGGACCTTGCCTGAATCAGAAAGACAGTACCTATCATCTGTAGAAAAGGGAGCTTATGCATGTGTAGAAGCGTAAAATGGAGACACTATCTAATGGGACAACATTTCAAACTTGTAACAGATCAGCAAGCAGTTTCGTTTATGTTTGATACTAAACATTCTAGTAAAATTAAAAATGAAAAAATCATGAGGTGGAAACTTGAACTAGCTTGCTACAGCTATGATATCATTTATCGGCGTGGAAATGAAAACATGGTAGCTGATGCATTCTCAAGAGTTTCAGCAAGTTGTACAAATTGTACAATAGACAAATGTTCCAACTACATCAAGATTTGTGTCATCCGGGCATTACTAGGATGTATCATTTTGTCCGAGTGAGAAACTTACCCTATTCTCTAGAAGAAAATAGAAAAATGACTGAAGTGTGTCCAGTGTGTAACAAAATCAAACCAAAATTCCACAAAAATTTCAATAGCCATCTGATTAATGCTACAAAACCATTAGAACGCCTAAATATTGATTTCAAAGGACCACTCTAGGTACCTTCCAAAGGGTAATCATAAATACCTATATATGCTTACCATTGTGGACGAATACAGAAGATTTCCTTTTGTTTTTTCTTGTTCGGATTTCACAAATGCAACTATCATAACATGGCAATTTTGAAAAACAACAAATCACAGGAGAAGTGATACCTAATGTTATTAAATTTCAAGATTTTTTCTAATTATAATAGTTTTTCCATAATTGATCAATGGATTTTCTGGATGACCACCATATTGATTATCCATCAAAAATATATACGAAAAGTTTATTCTGTATGTTTACCTTTCCTGAACGATCCAGAATTTGAACTTTTCTAAACGATCCTGCATTCCGGACTCTCAACACGTATCCTCCTTAGAATTTTTTCTCTAATATTATGTAGGTAAATGTTTAATAACAGCAGGCTAAAAACTATTTGAAAAAAAATTAATCCACAGATTATTCCAAACTACTGTTTTGTGATTAATCCACTACAAAACATGTCTTTCCTTTTTGCAAACTAAAGGCATTTTGTTCGGACGCAAACAGGTTAATGGTAAAATTTATTAACATTTCAACCGAGAATCCTGTTTAATCTTTGCACCATGTATATGTTACACTATGATGGATCTAACACGAATGAACAATTACACATTATCATTGTATATCATAATTTTTATAAAATTTATCATTCATTAATTAAATTAATCATTATCATACAAAATTCCACTTTCTGTTGATTTTATTTTTTCGGTCGTTTTCCTTTATAACTGGATAAAAATTATGCACTTTGTCTTCTTTCAATAATATTCCACTTGTGTTAATAACACACTAAAATAATTAATTGTATTTAGGCTATAACTTATTCCAAGGCATATGATATGCAGTGAGACAGATTTACACTTGTTGGTTTAAAACTCAAAATACAAAATGAACAGCATGAAATAAACATGTTTTTATATAATGCATGTTGTATATTATTATTTAAACACATTTAGCAGTTTTTATATAATTATTTTATTTCAATTTAGGTCTCAATCACCAAAGAATACCTTCAACTAGAACCCATCGGTCTTGTTTTTGTATTCTTCTTCGCCCTCATTTTGGTCATCCAGTTTGTTGCTATGTTATTCCATCGATTTGGAACTATAGCTCACATTTTGGCTTCGACTGATCTTAATTTGTGCAGCAAAAAGGTAAAAAAACAGCAAATTGTTTAATAGTTTCTAAATACAAAAAATTCCAGAAAGAAGAAATGTCTCCTAACGCCCTCTTGGACAAACAAGCAGTTGAAATAGTAAAACAAATGCAAAGGTTGCAAGGTATCGACGATGGAGATTACGATAACGATTCCGGATCTGGACCTGACAGAATAGGCCGTAGAAAAACTATCCACAACATACAAAGGGCTGCGCAAAAGAAACGACAAATTGGTACTCTGGATGTGGCGTTTAAAAAGCGATTCGCTAAGCTAAATGCTAATCCAGATGGAGGTAATAATAAGTAGAAACAATTAATACCTATCCAAAAACAACCATCATATTAATTATTTCAGGCACTCCAGTTCTTAGTAGACGCATGACAATGAGACGGGAAACAATGAAAGCTTTGGAAGTTCGTGTAAATTCTGTTATGGCGGAACGTAGAAAGTCCCACATGCAAACTTTGGGTGCCAAAAACGATTTCAACAATATTACCGCAACAAATACCAATAATAATACTAGAAATCATCGGAGTAGTGTGGCAAGCAGTATACCCGCAAAGGAGATATTTGAAAATGGTCATGTGAATAGGGCGTATGAAGAAGAGGGTACTTATGGTAGCAGGAATTCGTTGCAAATGCAGCATAGAGCTAAACCGCAGTGGACTGGTAGTAATAGCAAGATGTAATATATTTTTGTAAATATTTTTTGTATATTTAAACAATATTGTAATGACTGTGAGAAGTTTCTCTTTTTATTTTATTCTTACTTACCTACTGTTTAGTTGGTAAAACTCAAAACTGCCTATAAAATACTCTTTTTTTATACTTAATACTCAAAATTTTAGACATCTTCTTCTCTACTGCCATACATTTATTTTAATTAGTTAATTGAACTTTTTTTTAATTCTTTACCTGTATCTGTAATACCTCTTTTATAATATAAGACTAAAAAAAATGTAAATTTTAAGCTCAATTTTTTGTTTTTTTGAAACACTTTGTTGTGTGTATTATATTTTTGTAACTAAGTTTGTATTTATGTTATTATTTTTAGAGCTTGGATTTGTGATAAGTATTTTAATGAATAAAATTCATGATTAATTTTCTGCGTTTTGCTATTTCATTTTGTTTTAACAGTGTTCTCGAATTTTCTACTACATACAAGCTAAACGATTTTGGTTGACCAAATAATGTTGGATAAACTGATATTTATATCAGTGAAACAAAAATTAATAAATTAAACTTTGATTATTAGCCTATACTTTGCCAATTTATATCGCAGCTATGGATGACTGAATGTGTTTATAATAGTTTTTATATGTAAGATAAACAGATGAGGAATCGTTTACTTAAGAAAGGGTTTGTAATTCTTTGTCTTGATGTTGAGTCAGTTCGTATAGTTATTTCTATGAGTTCACACGCTCTGCTTTCCACGCTGTGTTCGATATAATAAATATATTGAATATCGATAATTAACAAGTTCTTTTATTTCTTAGTCCATTTCCAAACAGGTTATGGGACCAGTGTACGTGTATTCATTGCGGTTGTGAAAACCGGGAGTGTTTAATGTGCCAATGGAAAATTTGAAACTAAAAAGAAACAAAAGGCTTTATGCTAACAGAGCTTGAACTTAGATAAGAACATCAGAGCTCAGCAATTTAGAAATAATTATCGTTGAGGATATTTTAAAATCGATTTTAAAAGACGCAATTTCAAAAAAAAAAAAAAATCAAGTCTCTGAAACACAATGAAAAAAAGTGAAACAAAACAATTCCATCAATAGAAAAAAAAAAAAAAAATGGAACCCTTATAACAGTAACCAAAAAGGGCACAATTAGTATTCCCAGTAATATGGGCATACAGGAAAGTCTTTAGTATAGGCTGCGCTGTCCAGAGAGGTTCCTTCCAATTTGCTGTCCGTAAGAAAAATGCAAAGGGCTAGTATGAATATTGCTTAAAAAAAAAAAAAAAAGTGGTAGTATTTACAAAGGCGGTAAGCTTATAATTTATGGGTAAGTCTTTGAACACTTTAATAATAATTGCTCTTGAACTCACTGTTATTGGAAATTTAGAAAAACACTATTGTTCAAGCAAATAGTGACGATTAAATAAAAATAAAAATTATCAATTGTGGTTTGAACGATTGGTCCACATTGGTGAGGTTTAAATTATTAAATTATTATAACAAAAAAAAAAAATAGAGATCGAGGACTTAGGGCGCAAATCGATCAGGTTATACAATGAGTATTTATGTGGAGCGTGCATAAACAAGCGCGACTTCCATTTCAAAAACATTGTACTGTTTGTGCATGAATTAACTTACTATTGTGTAACATATTTGATGAGTCATAAGTCATATGTATTTTGTATGTTTCAAGATTCAGTTGCTGAAAGTGGGGCACATTTCAATTTACAGATCTTCAATGTATTCTGTGACAATGAAGGTGAATATCTAGCTACTGAAATGAGAGATTTTTGGTATGCAAAAAGATAAGTCATCATTTGACAATTCCATGAACCCCACAAATTAAATGATGCAGCTATATAAAAAAAAAAAAAAGTTGGAGGCAGTTTTAATTGCAACATTCTCACTTAGTTTGACCCCTACTAAAACTTTAAAAGAATTTGAAACACCATAGGAAATGTGGCGTAGTAAAAAGCCTCAAGTAAAATATTCATAAGTGTTTGGTTCCATAATACCGTTTATAGGTACATAAAAACCAGGAAAACAAAATTTGATATCAAATCCTGGAAAGCTGTACTGGTTGGTTATGAACCAAATGAATATGAAGTGTGGGATGTGGTTAATCATAAGTTTGTTGTAGTCAAGGATATTATTGTAGATATGACAAATTTGTTTTTGTCCTCCAAGCCTTTTAATCTGCATAAAGCTGATTCCTCTACTATTTGTCAAGATCAGTAGTTAATAATAAGCTTGAAAAAGTGAATGTAGAACACTTTTGATTATAAAGCTGATTCCTCTGACTATTTGTCAAGAACAGTAGTTAATCATAAGTTTGAAAAAGTAAATGCAGAACACTTATGGTCATAAAGCTGATTCCTCTGACTATTTGTCAAGAACAGTAGTTAATAATAAACTTGAAAAAGTAAATGCAAAACACTTATGGTCATAAAGCTGATTCCTCTGACTATTTGTCAAGAACAGTAGTTAATCATAAGTTTGAAAAAGTAAATGCAGAACACTTATGGTCATAAAGCTGATTCCTCTGACTATTATTTGTCAAGAACAGTAGTTAATAATAAACTTGAAAAAGTAAATGCAGAACACTTATGGTCATAAAGCTGATTCCTCTGACTATTTGTCAAGAACAGTAGTTAATAATAAACTTGAAAAAGTAAATGCAGAACACTTATGGTCATAAAGCTGATTCCTCTGACTATTTGTCAAGAACAGTAGTTAATCATAAACTTGAAAAAGTAAATGCAGAACTTTTATAGTCATGAAGCTGATTCCTCTGACTATTGGTCAAGATCAGTAATTACTAACAAGCTTGAAAAAGTGAATATAGAACACTTTAATTGTAAAAGCTGATTTCTCTGACTGTCTGTCAAGATCAGTAGTTACTAATAAGCTTGAAAAGTAAATGTTTAACTTTTCTGGTCATAGAGCCAATTTTTCTGACTCTTTGTCAATATCAGTGGTTAGTTAATGATAAGTTTGAAAAAGTTAATGCATAACACTTTGGTGATGAAACTGATTCCTTTGACAGTTTGCCAAGATTGCTGGTTAATAAATCTGATAAAGCAAAATCAGATGACCAACCAATCTAAGAAAGTAGCTAACTGTTAACCCACAAACTTACCAAACTATATAATGAATGATTATAGTAAATCTGTGGTTAAAACAGATCTGCCAAATGATATTCATTCAGTTTTCACTATAATCACGATTCCCAAAGTAGTTAAATTAAAATCCTCCAGTGAATTGCATCCAATAAATTTGTTTTGCACTATTCACAACATTTTGGAGAAAATGGTGTATATGCAACTTGTTGAGTTTATAGGTAGATCGAAATAAACTATTCAGTGATTTTCAATCAGGGTTTCGAGTAAGTCAATATTAGTAGTTAATAGTGATTAGGAAAAAGTGAATGTAAAACACTTTGATGATAAAGCTGTTTCCTCTGATTGTTTGTCAAGATCAGTAGTTATTAATAAACTGAACTGAACTGAACTGAAAAAGTGTCAAAAATGAATGTAACACTTTGGTAATTAGCCTATCCAAAACACATAACTTTGACAAGCAAACAAAGGGTTTGTGTGCCTCTAGGCGGACATTTTAATTTGAGTTCGACTTTGTCAAGCTCGGTGGTTTGGTTAATAAATCTGATATAGCTAAATCAGATGAGTAACAATCCAGGAAAGTAGGTAAATGTTAACCCTAATAAACTCATTAAACTAAATAATGAGTATAGTAAATCTGTGATTAAAACAGATCTGCCAAATGATATTGATTCACTCATTATTGGTAAATAACACGTGGTCGTTAGTATCAAGACCCGAATATAAAAATATAGTGGATTGTAAATGGATATTTTCCATTGAAAATGATGAAATTGGAAAACCATTTAGATACAAAGCTTACTTAGTTGCTCGTGGTTTTAGTCAACATTACTTGGTAGATTATAATGAAACCTTTGCACAGGTGGCGAGAATCGTAGGTTTCTGGTTTATAATAACCTTTTAATCAGTTTATCCTTTTAATACATCATATGGATGTAAAAACAGCTTTCCCGGATGGGACATTGAAGGAAGCCATTTTAATGAAGGTTCCTGAAGGCTGAAGGGTGGCTGGCTCAAGGTGTGACAAGTAAACCTCATAACCAAGTTTGCAAGGCTTTGTATCTATGAACTAAAACAAACCACTAGATGTTGGTTTGCAATAATAGTAAAAGTTCATAAAGAAAATGGGTTTGAAAATTCATCAGTTAACCACTGTATTTATATCTTAGACAAAGGTGCAATATGTAAAATTATTTATGTAGTTCTGTAGATGGTATTTGCCACTGCAGATAATAATACATTGAATAGTTTAAAAAGGGATTTGGCAAATAACTGTTCTATGTTTCATTTGAAAGACAGTAAACTATTTTTGGGTAATAAAATTAAAAGGTAATCAAAAATAAAATTACTCTTGATCAATTTTCATATAGGTACAGTTCAAATGTACATGAAAACTATCTTACATAAATTTAATATGAATGACTGTTGTGCCATCAGCTGTGTCAGCACTCCACTTCCTAGTAAACTGAATTTGATTGGCTTAAATTCAGAAGAAAAACATGATAGCCCTTGCCGGAATCTAATCGTCTGTTTAATGTATACTATGTTATGTATATCAAGCCGGATTTAAGTACCACTGTTAATATTTTGAGCAGGTATTAAAACAAGAATAACAAAGAGTTTTGGCAATATTTGAAAAGGGTCCTTAGATATCTTAAGGGTAAAATCAATGTGAAGTTGACACAATATTTTAGTTGTGAATATATTAATTTCTTGAGTGATTCTATTAATCCTGACTAAGAAGGTGAAGATGCATGATATAAACAATATAAAAGGCACAACAGGATATTTATTTAAACTGTTTGAAATTTGTGTGATATGTTGGAATACAAAAAGGCAGTTGTCAGTAGCGGCATCATCTACTGAAGCCGAATATATGGTTTTCCTTTTAAACCTGTCACAGAAGCTCTTTGGTTAAAATCATTAGCAGAAAATATGCATAAACATTAATATCAGAGTCAATTATGACCTAGGAGGACAACAATGGACCTCAATAAGTATTACAAATAATCCAACAAATCACAAAAGATCAAATCATATTGAATTATTCGTAATTAATATAAAATATTAATTTGTCCACAGATAAACCACTAGCAGACATGTTTACCAAACCATTGATGCAAGTGAAATTTGAGAAATTAGAATGGAATTAGGCTTCGTAAATAAGTTAAATGGTTTGATTAGGTTTTTCTGGGTTTTCCCTAATCCCGAGCAGCAAATGCTGGACCGTTATTGTAATTTTCCCCAGAAAACACACACATAAGGAAAGCGGGCCTATTTATGTTATACTAGGTTTAAGTTGTATTACACTTTTAGTATAATTGATCAAATTTTTGAGGTGGCGTGTTGGATAAACTGATATTTATATCAGTGAAACAAAAATTAAAAAAAAAATTATTAGCCTATACTTTGCTAATTTATATCGCAGCTATGGATGACTGAATGTGTTTATAATAGTTTTTATATGTAAGATAAACAGATGAGGAATCGTTTACTTAAGAAAGGGTTTGTAATTCTTTGTCTTCATGTTGAGTTGGTATAGTTATTTTTATGAGTTCACACGCTCTGCTTTCCACGCTGTGTTCGATATAATAAATATATTGAATATCGATAATTAACAAGTTCTTTTATTTCTTAGTCCATTTCCCAATAAATAATACCTACTGAAAATTTCAACTGACATAATTCCAGAGATAAAGAGTGAAGAAATCAAGAACCGGGAATAGTTCAAATTTTGAATATAACTGGCTTTTGAATTATTAGAAAATTTCTTTGACGGAAATCAAGACCCAGTAACGATTCAGATTTGAATTATCACCGGCTGGAACATTTTTCTGGCCAAAACTTTGATTATTACCAGCGCTTGAATCACTAGAAAACTGTTCCAGACGAAATCAAGAGCCGGGAATAGTTCAAATTTTGATTATTACTGGCTTTTGAATCATTAGAAAATTTCTCTGAAGGAAATCAAGATCCATTAACGATTCAGATTTGAATTATCACCGGCTGGAACATTTTTCTAGCCAAAACTTTGATTATTACCAACGCTTGAATCAATAGAAAACTTTTCCAGACGAAATCAAGAGCCGTAAATAGTTCAAAATTTTGATTATTTTTGGATTTTGAATCATTAGAAAATTTTTTTGAAGGAAATTAAGACTCATTAACAATCCAGATTTGAATTATCACCGGCTGGAACATTTTTCTGGTGAAAACTTTGATTATTACCGGCGCTTGAATCATCAGAAAACTTGTTTCAAATTTTAATTATTACTGGCTATTGAATTATTAGAAAATTTCTCTAGAAGAAATCAAGACCCAGTGTGCGAAATTAAAACTGGAAAATCCACAGGTTGCTGATAGAATGGTAATCGATGAAAGATTTTAAATAGAAATTGAAAGATATCGAAACTGAAAAGGATATTTTTTCACCTTACCTGGTTTTACTTCCAAACTCCACTCAGCTGGCCAACTCTTTCGGGAAGTTCAAGTCCAATGTGAAGGAGTACAAACGAAACCGTCTTGATTTAAACCGGTCGCGGCAAGCGAAAAACCGCCGGTCTACTTTCTCGAAACACATAGGATTTGACATCCTAAATACCTACCCAATTAAACCTACAAAGGGTGCTACAACTATATACAGGGCGCGTAGACGAAACTGAACACCCAGTAACGGTTCAGATTTGAATTAAAACCGGCTTGAATATTTTCTGACAAACTTTTGATTATTACCGGCATTTGAATCACCAGAATACTTTTTCGGGCGAAATCAAGAGGGCTTAATTGCTCAAAAAGTATTTAATCATTCAAACTCAATTTAGCACAGATTTATAGGAAATTTAATGCTCTTTCTAATAGTGTATAACTTGTTTAGTATTTACTGAAATTTTTGACAGAACTTTTTGCTTGGTTCGAATCCAGAATTCTCCTTAATGCTGTCACAATGTTGAAGTCCTTTCATATATCCTTGAAGACTACTATTATTGTCTTATTATTACCATCCATATTTTATGTTAGGTACTTTAAAAGTGAATAATACAATGTTTGGCAACAATCAAATTTACTCATAATAAGGAATTTATGACAATATACAGGGTGTCCCACGGTGGATGGCGTATTAGACGTTTATGGAGAACTAAAAAGCGGATCATATTGAAAATTTGGCAACCGGGATAAACGACCATAATCTACACTTTAAAAATATTTTTGTTTATGCGGTGTTGCCGCTTCTACTCTTAATCAGTGGCAACATCGCTATTTTAAATGGAACACCCTGTATGTGATTGCATATTTGGATTCTACGTAAAATTCTGAACAGATTTCATGTGAGATACCCTATACCTAAGTTCAACTATTTCGGAAATATTGACAGTTGAAAATTGAGTTTTTGCAACTTTGACAGGTTGTAAAACCTAAACGGTTGATTTTAGAGGAACACCGATTTAACATTCCTATCTTAGATTTTCATAAACTATCATTTGACACCAACTCTGAATTTAACCGATTAAATTTAATTGGAATTTTTAATCATGGATTAAATTCAGAGTTGGTGTCAAATTATAGTTTATAAAAATCTAAGATAGGAATGTAAAATCGGTTTTCCTCTAAAATTAACCGTTCACGTTTTACAGCCTGTCAGAGTTGCAAAAAGTCAATTTTGAACTGTCATTATTTCCAAAACAGTTGAACTAGGTATAGGGTATATAACATGAAATCTGCTCAGAATTTTACGTAGAATCGAAATATGCAATCACATACAGGGTGTTCCATTTAAAATAGCGATGTTGCCACTAGTTTAGAGTAGAAGCGGCAACACCGCATAAACAAAAATATTTTTAAAGTGTAGATTATGGTCGTTTATCCCGTTGCCAAATTTTCAAAATGATCCGCTTTTTAGTTCTTCATAAACGTCTAATACGCCATCCACCGTGGGACACCCTGTATATAACTTCAATTGTCCCATAAAAATATATATTTAGAAAATATTACCATACAAAAATTATTATGGAATAAACTCAGTTTTCACTTCCAAATCATCATTCAAATAAACTACATTTTCAACTATAGGCATATCTCTCTTAGCGATTATTTTAGGAGGCCCATCTAGCTTGACGGTAGGAAGGTCTTTAGAATTAGTTACAATTTCTCTGCTTTCTATAATGTTACCGCTTTCATCCACTTCTTCCAGAGTAATTATGATTGCCCTATCTTCAGTATTATCTTCATTTTCAGGATCATCAGGATTTTCAGTTTCTGGATTATAAGGATTTTCAGTTTCAGGATTATCAGGCTGTTGTAAAATGGTCAGTTTGTATTTGTCATCTTTGTCGTATATAACGTTATAGGTAACTGTACTTGGATTTATTGTCGTTTGAGTCGATTCACTTCTTATCATTTGTTCTGTTACTTCTAAGCTTTCGTAACGGATAGTTTGGAGACGTTGAATACCATCAGAATCTTTCCGATATCTAAAAAAATTTGGAATTATTTCAATAATTTGAAATTTGAAGATATTTACCTGAATCTACTATGTCCAGAAGGCCAATGGAATTTGTGCTTTTTTATTAAATGGAATGTTAAGTAGTCGCCACGTTTTAAATGTTGTTTACAGACCGGACATTCATAAATAAGTTGTTCCTAAAATAATAATAATCCATTATTATCATAAAAATCGTTTGCATCAAAACCAGCTTCTATTATTGGTCAAATTTGATCAAAACTTACTTGTTTGTGATTTTTTTTCATATGACTGTTAAGGCCCACTTTACTCTTACAACCAAAATCGCATTGGTCACATTTGAACGGTTTCTCTTGGTGGGTCGTCAAGTGTGTTTTGAGATTGGAATTTGTTACAAAACTGAAATAAATCAACTTTATTTAAAGCGCAAAATTGATTCAAATTATTCTTACGTTTTCGAACAAATGTGGCATTTGAACAAACGCACATCCATGTGCCTGTACCTGAAATGTTTAGCTAGCATCGAAGGTTTAGGACAAGTCATATCACATAAAGTACATTTGTACTGATTTATATGTACTCTCATGTGATCGCTGAGCAATCTTTCGGCAGAGAATAATTTCAAGCATTGTGAACACTGATAGCTTCTCACTAAAAACTCTAATATAACAAACAAAAACCCTTCGAAAATCTTGCCACTTACTGTCAGGTTTAAGTTGTCGCTTTCTATGATCTGAAAAAGTGGTTTTCGTTGAAAATAAACTCATACATGTAGGACAAGCTATTGTACGCTCTTTAGTGTGTGCTTTCAGATGATCACCCAGTTTGTAACGTGTAGTGTAGACACCATTACAGCCTGAAAAGAATTTTTTCAAAACAAAATATTAGAATTTTGTAAGTCCATTACCGCCCCAGTGGCAAGATATCTCTTCTCGATCATTCATTTTTTTGCCTGTCGGAGCCAGTAAGACGTGCCGATCAACGTGACTTAAAAATTCATAAATGGTGTTCATCATATGGCCTCTACAGCCAACCCACTCACATTCGTAGCCATCCAATGGAATGCGGACGGAATATTTTTTTTCAAAGGAGCAATCAGGAAAATTGTTGCGATTAAGTACGTTTTCTCCTATGTTTGCAAGTTTGGATAAATAGCCGTGATAAGCTAAATGTCTTATAAGAATTGTTTGGTTAAATGAACCAGTTGGATTGGGACAATCTGCCCATTTACATTTCAAATCTGGAATATTTGTTTTTGTTTATAAGGAGTATTTTACATAAACAAAAACTAACCATCGCTTTGTTGACCATGTTCAGTTAAATGCTCAAAAAAATTATGCAAAATTGTAAATTGTGCAGAGCATCCTTCCCATTCACATGTTACTTGAATTGTTTCTTTTTTAAGATGTACCCTCACTCCTGCTTTCTTCCGCTTGAATTTCTAATTAACAAAAATATTATCTATATTGCAAAATCCAATAAGATTCTTACCTCTGCTTCATCAATAACAAGTTCCGATTCAGACGGTGAAGAATCCTCTTCAGAAAACGTGTTTGTTCTAAATTTCCTTTTTCTCTGACGTTCTTTTGTAACTACATTTTCAAACACAGCTAGTGTTTTCGTTTTGGCCACTTCCAACTGATTGTCCATTATATTTTTTCAACATACAATTGCAGCTTTAAAAAATTTGTTTCTACAGCATGTACTGGGATAATTGAGGCTGTGTTTTCTGAAACTTCTTGGGAAGGGCTTTGTTGAATCCAAGGGAAGTCTTCAAATGATGGAATTTGGTTGAATTCTAGGCTGGATGTTTTGGTAGTTTCCAGTCTGATACTAAAAGTGGCTTCTGGGGATGTTAGTTCGGGTAAATAGATTTGAGACGAGTGTAATTTGAGTATGAAGGTTCTTAGAGATTCTTCTAGTTCTACTAGAAATACATCACTGAAAAAATTAATTGTTTTATGAAAGGAAGCTCAAATCTAGTTTAATAGTTTGTTGGATGTAATGAGTTTTACAACTTTACATTACTGGCAGTGGCAATGATTTTTTTCAAAATGCACAATGTATTGTCTTTTGAATGGTTCAATAGTTTATAATAGGTAGAAAATATATTACCCCATTGTTATTTTATCACTAATTCGCCAATTTACTATAAGTATACATATAACCATTGATATAACCTATTAAATATCTGACTCTACTGGAATCCCACAAAATCCTACTGGGACACTGGGATCCAATGGAATTCCTCAGGTACAAACTAAAAACATTAACTCATCAAGCAAACTAAAAATCCCATTGAAATTATGAAATCCCATAGAAATTCCACTGGAATTTCGTGGAATCCCAAGGAATCCCACATTATCCCACGAAATTAATGAGGCTCAAGTCTAACCAATGAAAAAAATAGCCAAATGAAATTAGTATAAAAAATAAAATACCAAAAAAGTTGATGTAAGGGGGCGAATGATGAAAAATGTAAATTCTTGAGCCAAATTAACGATCTAAAAAACAGTAATTGCACCACATCTCTTTACTTTTGTTCCACCTTGTTGTTTCTGATGAATAACTCTGAAATTGATGGTTCTGCAGAAGAAACAAAATAGAACATTTTTCTACAACCAAACATCTCTACTACACCTGCTTATTGTAAATGTAAATAAGAAGAAATTAATATTTGATGTTCAACAACCACACCGTAATAACTACCAATAATTGCACAGCCTACACATAAAACCTACAAAAGGAACTTTTGGAAGGCAGGAGCAAACTCTTCAACAACAACTTGCACAAGCTACTAACCCACATTCATCTGAAGAATTCTCTGAGGCTTTGGGATTTACAATCAACAAGCATTATATGCCATACATACCACAAAAAGTTAATGTCCAAAAACCATGGTTAACTAAGGCAGTATTTAGGGAAATACAAAGGAAAAGAGACTTGTGGCACAACATACTGAAGAAAATTACCAACAGTACCAGCATCAAAATAATAAGGTTAAAAGTTATACAGTCACAACAAGAAAACAATATTAACAAAATCTGTTGAATAACATCAAACAGTTCTTTTCCTAGGTTAACTCATCGGTTAACTCTAAAGACACCCATTTCAGTATTGTTGACAAAGCAACTCTAGTCCCATTAGAATCTGATTGGGAGGTTGCAGAGTGTGTTGCATAGCAATTCTAGTGTTTTTACCAAACTCAGCCCTACAGATGTTAGACTAACACTTCCAGTTGAATCCTACTCCAGAACATAACTCAACACCCTTAATTTCACCCAAGAAAAAGTAGAAATCGCCATTAAGTTCCTAAGGGTAAATTCCAGCCCTGGGCTTGATGAGATCCCTCCTATATTTCTTAAAAATTGTCTGCACACCTTTAAAGGGCCTGTGACAGCACTTATGAATGACATTATTTTTACAGGAGATTTTAAACAACCTTGTTATACCTATATTCACAAAGGGTATAACAAAAAGCTAGAAAAAATCTACAGTCAGCCTGACGAGCGCCCTATGTAAATGTATGGAAAAATCATTGGTAAGGAACTCACAAGCTCATATTGTATCATCCCATCAACATGGTTTCTCCACAAAAAAATCTACTTTTACAAACCTCAGCCAGAATCAATATGGACCAAAGGCGGATGATGAGAATGATGCAATTGATGTAGTTTTCCTTGACTTTGAAAAAGCATTCGATAAGATAACAACACTTACTTATTATACAAGCATTACAAGCTATATCATTTTGAAGTCAGAGGCGATTTACTGCGACTTCCTGAGGAGTTCCTTAATGGACGTACCTTTCAAGTTAGGATAGGAATATCACTCTCAGTTGAATGCGGCGTACCACAAGGCTCATTCTTGGGAACCTTGTTTTTCTTGGCGTATTTGTGTCACTTATACCAAAAACTGAAGATCAAATATGACTCGTTTGCAGATGACAGGAGCCCATCTGCAATTCACTATAACAGGTTATAGACCTGTAAGTACACCATAAAACAGTGGACAGGACAATGTTTTGGAAAACCTCCTCCAACAAACGCCAATCGTGGGTTATGGTGTTTAATTTGCGAACAAACTTTGAAAAGCTAAAAGACAGTAGTCTCATTGGTTACCCATCCGCCTAGCACTATAATAATAAAATAACATAAAGGTAGTTTGAGGCGCTTCCAGACTTGGTATTGGATGCACTGGCTAGAGCTATCAATGATTCCTTTGCAACCAAAAAATTTCCAAATTATCTTAAAAGAGCCCTGATTTTTACATTGTTCGAGGGTGGAGATCACTACCTACTTTCTAATTTGTGACCTATTGCACTACTTCCTACCGAGCTTCCTACCCTCTCTAAGATAGTAGAAAAACTGATTTAAGCTAGACTAACATTTATTCTAACAAAGAATAAACTTTTTAGTGTCACACAATTCGGATTCCAAGCAGAGAAAAGCACTAGTGATGCAATTTTTACATACACTTGAATTCGGCGGTGTTCTTTGATCTGTCCAAGGCATAGATCTGGAATAGGTACTACTGGATAAACTTAGTATCTATGGTATTAGAGATTTGGCTTTGGAGTGGTAGAGGACTCAAGTCAGTTGTTTTCAATGGGGAAAGCTCTTCAGCGGAATCTGTGAGTATCGGCGAACCTCAGAGCTCAATTCTTGAACCACTTTTGTTCTTGATTTTTATCAATGACACATCTCATTTTCCAATAAGGGGGAGATTTACAACATTTGCGGATGATCAGATCTATGGCATGACCAGGAAGTTGACAGGCTTTCTAAGATTATTCAGGAAGATGTATATATTTGTTGAAAAAATGGTTTGATGCAAACCGATTATTCCTCAATATTTCGAAAACTAGTATTCTTAATTTTAATTGTGACATTAACAACATTCAACTGGAAAATGAAGGTCTCTCCCATCCCGAATCGAATAAATTTCTTGGGTTAACTATAGAAAAAAACCCAGTTTTCTGAACATGTCAAAATTCTTATTAAAAAAATTGCATCTGGCAGCTATGCCCTTAGAGCCTTGAAATAGCTAGGAATGCCTACATTTCTTTAATTCGATCACATTTATCCTATGAAATATGCTACTGGGGATGTTGTGCAAACTCCCATTTTAAATCTGTATTTGTGTTGCAGAAAAAAGCACTTAGAGTAATTAGAGTCAAAAGGGGATCTTCATACAGACCTCTATTTCTGCAGCATGAAATTTTAACCTTGTGCTGTATATTTATTCTTGAAAGTAGGCATATGTGTTTTTAAAAAATTTAATGAGGCAATTTGGCTTTAAGCTTGATGTAATTAGGTTTGTTTTATTATTCAACTAAAAATTTCAAGCATGACTTTTTCTAATAATTTTTTGTTGATAAGGGTGTTCAGACAAATAATTTAAAAATCTTTGGGAAAAACTAGGTTTGTGAAACCAATCAGTCTGTATGTTCTTTACATGTTTTAATAGTAACACATCTAGGAAAGCTATACATACTTTGTTGGTTTTCTTCCTCGATGGTGAATTGAGTTTTGGGATGGAAACTATTAAATATATTAGGTGTAGTTGCTTCTTGATATTTAGGGATCGATGTTAGGATATCATCAACATAACGTTCATAGAACGGAAGTTGAAATGGAAGTTTTTTTATACAGCTCTCCAGTAAATTTTGCATCTCCAAATCAGAACAAATTGGCGATAAACAGTTTCCCATCCCCAGACCATAAATTTGTTTGAAAAATTCATCATGGTAGAATTTGTTAATTTTTAATTGTTTTTATAAAGTTTTTGTGATGTTTTAAATTGCATCATGTATGTGAATCTTACGTCTACTATGAATCCTGTACCTATAATACCAAACAACTTCTTATATCTTTCATGTAATGACATAGAGAGTCAATCTCAAATGTAAGTAACCAATACTATAAACATAGCTTGAGTTGTTAGTTAGGACTCTATAGAGTAACATTATCATACCTTTTTGACTTTTGTAGTGTCCTGAAGATGCAATAATATAGTGCGATACGTTGACAATCTGAAATAACAGACTTCTGTTGTTTTATTTCAATCCAATCCCAAACCAAACCTCGATATAATATTGAAGATAAATTCAAAAGATTGAGCCTTAATCCAACCTCTTAACCCATCTGATAACACCAGATGAATACATTTTAGAAAAAGGGGGATCAGATATGAATTAAAGAAGGAATAACCCCTAGGGAAATGTATTTTCCCCCTATTCTAAACTATTTAACCATTCAGATAGCGGTATTATTGCATTTTACAATAATCATCATCATTACACTTTTCGATTGTTAAATTTCAACAACAAAGAGCTTACTTCACAATAATTACTTATGTTTCTTACCTATCAAATAATTCATGTATCACCAGCACATCAATAACAAATCGTTCTAAAATAACATCATTATCCTCAAAACACAAATATACTGTTTTTAATTGATTCTTTTGGGCATGGTACGCCACAGCTTTGAGGCAATCTTTAATGTAACCTACAACTTCTGGATGCACAGCTTGATACACTGTAACTCCGTATTTCTTTTTGGGAAGAAAAATTGAATCTGGATACAGTTTTCTCACGTATAGAATATTGTGAATTGTTATTTCCAAGAATTCTAGTAATATGTTAACGATTCCTGGTGTGAAAATGTTATATTTAAATAGGGGAATCAATGGGCTAATTACTTACCAGCTCCAGAAGCAGAATTACTCATTGAAGGTAGAAAAACCAACTAAGAAACACAACAAAACAAAGAATTTAATTTTGAGAAGTGAGGTTGGTATATGTATGCCAGAAACGGCAACATTGCTCTGTGATAAGAAATTTGAAAAAAAACGTTATAAAAAAGAAAGCAAAGGCAACATAGCATGGTAGGAATATTTTTTAAAAGCTTGCAAGAATTCAATACAAGACAAGGAATAAAATAAAACAAAAATCTTGAATATACGAGTATATAATACAATTATTTTTAAAACAATGCATTGTATAAAAAAAGCTCCTAAAAAATAATACTGTAAAATATAAAAAAATAAAACATAATTATAAAATCGAGATCGTAAAATAAACAAAGAGTATACATCCTAAGTACATTACTTAAGTCACACTAAATTTAATATTCGAATTTCAAAGTTAATCTCCTGCTAAATTCAAAGGTCCATCACTCTCGGCAGTTTCACTAGGAGCATTATCAGGCATACTCAGATCTGTAGGTGCTTCGCTAGCATCAGAAGCTGCACTAGTGCTAGCCACACTAGTACTAGCTTTAGGATAACTTAAATCCAGCATATTATTTAAATAATCAATTTTGGGCATTTTAGCTGGCTTCTCGTCGTCAGTACTCAAACTAGGTTTTCCAAGATGCATTGAATAATCGGTCAAACTCGAGTTTGTGCTGGTTTTTGTGATTGTCACATTGGGCATGTAAAAGTCTGGCTTGGAAGCTTTGGCGAAATTGGCCAAGTATTCGGCCGAAAAATCTTTGCCCATCCTCATCATGCTTAAATCTGGTGACAAAAAGTTCATTTTGTCTTTGAAGTGCATCAAATCCATTGAAAAATCTTTGGGTTCTTTGTAAGATTTTTTGTGTTCGGTTTTACTATGCGATTTGCCTGGGGAAAATGGTTTGAGTAATTCTTGCATTTTAAACAAATTTGTTTGTAAAAACATATTGTTAGCTGCTAAAGTACTATGAGCCATAGGATCTGGTAATCCTAGTAAACTGCTGGGGCTTGAATATTTGCCGGCATTGAAAAGTAAGCTGGATATGTCTGAAGACAGCATTCCAAGTCCTGCAGGAGGATTTAAAGTGGGAAGCATATGGCTGGATTTGGAAACTGAAATTATCGGTTCTTTTTCTTCTGCTGAACATTTGAGGCTTTCTCTGAAAAATCTCCAAATTTCATTTTCAGGTTCATCTCTAGGAAATTTCGATAGTAAGGTGCTTTTGAGTTTTTCAATATACAACGTGGTTCCGATGAATTTATCACTGAAATTAATATAATCGGCTTCTTTTTGATAATAATCAATGCTTTTTGCCACTTCGTTTCTTATATGTTCAGTTAGGGCGGAATCTTGGACTACACTGTAGGACATCAACATTGGACGTCCATATTCGTTGGGCTTGGTTTCTGGAGGTGGAATCACCCAGTAGGCCATTATTGAGGATTCTAAACTGACATTTTCGTAGTTGTATGGAGCTAGAAAATATACAATATTTATTTAACTGTTGCTACTCTGTTTCCTTTTCCTAAGTAGCACAGGGAAAGGCAAAAAAGGTTCGAAGAAGTTAAGAATTTAACTGTGAGCCAAAAACTGTCTCAGTGATATTTTTGGTAAATTTTCAATGTTCGATTAAATCAATTTTGAAGCTTTTCAGGTGAGAAACTGTTGGAACCAAATTAAAATCTCAATTAATTAGTTCATAGAAAATTTGATGGGCTTTAATAAGTGCTCAATTACATTAAAATCGGATGAAAATTAATGTAGCTGTGAGGCAAAAACTGGCTCAGTGTAATTTTTATAGAATTTTCAATATCCGAGTATTTTAATTTTTAAGCTTCTCAGATGCAAAGCTGTTGAAACCAAATTGATATCCTGATCAATAGGACTATAGCGAATTTAATTGACTTTAATTAGAGCTTAATTACATTGAAATTGGTTGAAAATTAACAGAGCTATGAAGCAAGAACTGTCTCAATGTAATTTATAGCAAATTTTCGATGTTTGATAATTTCATTTTTGAAACTTCTCAGGTGCAAAGCTGTTGAAACCAAATTAAAATATCAATTGATAGGTTTGTAGAGAATTTAATTGGGTTTAATTAGCGCCTAATTACATTGAAATCGGATGGAAATTAACAAAGCTGTGAGGTAAAAACTGTCTTAGTGTCATTTTTGGAAAATTTTCAATGTTCGATCATTTCAATTTTGTAACTTCTCATATGCAAAATCATCATCATAAACAACAGGTTTGTAGAGAATTTATTTGGCTTCATTTAGAGCCTGATTGCGTTGAAATTCGATGAACGCTGAAAACTGTCACATTGTCATTTTTGGAAAATTTTCAATAGGCCGGCATACATGCGTATGTAGCGGTTTGCACGCGCGAAAGAACGGCGTGGCAAAAAAAGCGTCATGTTCCATACACTTGACAAAGTATTCAAATGATTTAGCACGTGATTACGCGCGGCATATCAGTTGGAAAGGAAAAACCGTATGTGTATGGGTAAAAAGTGTCATTTATCGTGTCGTTTGGAAGTGCATGTTGTCATGTACTAATTTTCAACATGATAGTTTGCTACGCTGCGTTTATGTCTCCGTACTAGCCTCAAAACCGTGACGTGGAATGGCGTGTGGACACGGTTGTGAACTGCACTATCATGTACTTGAGTACTGAGACGTCACATTCCAGATGAAAGCACGTCTGAAATCCCTTCCCATTCTATCATTGCGTGTAGCCCTCCTCACTCACGCACATGATTTTTCACAGGTTTTTGCAGATGAGACGATAAACCGCGCGAAATAACGTGTGTCTATGCCGGCCTAATGTTTGATAAAATCAATTTTGAAGTTTCTCAGGTGCAAAACTATTGAAACTAATATATAATTCTGTCTAACCAAGTAAACACAAAAACCCTACAAAAACCCACAATAACCCGCAAAAACCCAATAGAAATTTTCAAAAACCCAGGTTTTTGCCAACCCTGCTTGACAACCTCTTGGAAAAGAATGTAGAGCCATTTTAATTATAACTTTGACAATCTGATTCAGATATGGGAGTGATTAAGAGTCAGTGAATTGAAAATTTTTCTGAGTCACTTTTCTCACTTTCGTAACAATGCTAATCCTGTTTTCAACCTTTTTTTTTTCTGTGTTCGACATAATGAGATTTTGTGCTTTCAACCAAAAGGAAACAGAGTATATCATTTCACCACAAACTTACAAATAATTATCCCAATACAAGGAGTATAACTATTATCGTGAGTGCCTCGCATTTTAATTTGGTACTCCAATTGAGCATCCACATCCCTCAAAGTGGGCGCGGCTGCCGCAAAAGGATGTGAATGGTACCAACCCACCAAAGTTAATTTCTCCTTTTCAATCGTCCTGGCAATTTCGGTTTCAACTTGAGGCGCATTCGCTCGGTCCGCTTTAGTGTTCCGACAAGGAAACGCGTGTGTGATTTGTAAATCTACAACACATAATTAGTACATAAAAAACAATACTAAGATAACCTACTATGTGAATTAACTTCCCAATGACCAGCAAGGTATCCAGACACTTCAGATTTTGTTAAGTGACAGTGGAAGTCCATCAACATGGCAGCATTAGTGTGCAGGGAAACTAGAAAAGGTTGGATTTTGCCCAAATTTGAAAATGGGACACAATCAATCATTGTATTTGCGTCACTATTAAAAAAAATTGTAATTTAGATTGTTTCTACAAGATTTTATTATAGCAAAACTCACTGTGTCAGGGTTCTGTTGGCAATTGTATTGTGTTTCACCACAAATCTTTGAAACATTGCTGGATTTGTAGTTGTGCTAGTAGGAATTGATGTTGAGGTTTTAAGAAGTTGTTCAAGGTTTAAATTATTTGCTGCTGCAACTGAAATTTAACCAAATCAATATTAATGGGCAGGAAAATTTCAATGAATATGTACGTACGTTCTTTTTCTAATTGTTTCTCAAGTTCCTTTTCCTCTTCCTTCTTTTTCTTGTACCAAACGTTTTTATAAGCGTCCAATTTTTTTCCTTTATACTTAACAGAAGCCCAACCGCACCCTGATTTTTTGTCAGGATTTATAAATCTTTTGCATGCAATAGCCCAAGCACTAGGAGAAGCGAATACAATGTCAGTCTCTTGACTTCGGATTTTGCCGTCTTCCAATAAATCGCCAACAAATTTTTGCCCCTAAAATAGAGCAAATATTTTTCAAAGGGCAAATATTATTCTTTAAACCTACTAGATACTCTATGGTCATAGCTCCATTGCCAGGTTTTAAAATTCCAGCGGACAAGAGCATTTGCAATGTAACAGTACGATTGCTGGGATCTTTGCCAACCACTTGTCTAATTTCTGGTGGTTTTTCGTTTCCATTCTCTGTACCAGTGGGTTCTGGTGGCGTTTCGCTTTCAGTTTCCTACAAAAACTGATTTAGAAACTACTAATTTTTGTTTAAAAGAAACAGGAGTGAAGAGAATTATGCAGAAAAAAGTCTGAAACATGAATTTGGGATGAGGATTAAACAAATAATGCTCGAAAAATGGTTCGAGAAAAAAGAAAAAGATCCAAAATGTAGGTATTTAAACTGTAAACTTTATGTACGTTGGTATTCATGCATTTTTACAAAGAAACTAAAACAAATAATACATTAACAAATTAGTTAACTTTTTCAGAGATTTTTTACACACTAAGTATTGTGTAAAGTAAATTACCTTATGCACTTGTTGAGAGTGTGGTAAAGTAACTACATAAGTAGTTTACACTTAGTTGTAGGAAAACTATTGTTTGTGTATCCTTTACAAAATAAGCGTTCTACAGCACATTCTAACCTATAGGTCTGTTTTCACAGAAATCAAAAACCAATCAGAGCGTTTTTGATGGGTGCAAATCGCCAACAAACAGTTTTCTGACTATTTTCAACCAATGCTGTGACTACGAGAACAGACCTTGAGTCAAAAAGAGCATCCATGTACCATAAAAACACATTTTCTACCTTAAAAATTATATCTAAACAAAAACCATCCAAAATGCAATAAAGCTATTTACATAAAATATGTTCTAGGTACATTCTAAAATCACAAGCAATAAAAATGTAAAAAATAAATAAACCTACTATCTAATTATCTACAAAAGGTCATAAGTAACACCAAAAAGAAAAATCAGAAACCTCGTCAAATTCTTCCTGTTCCACCTCAGTGTCTTCTTCTCGAAAACTATTATTTTCGTCGTCATCTAAATGATTCGGAGTAGAAGTTGCATTAGTATTATGCCCTAATAGTGCGGCGGCGAGCTGAGACTGCATCTTAAGAAAAAAGGCAAGCATTAAAATAGGGTTTTCATAGAACTTTGGATTGAATCCAAAAGAAAACGCGCCACTAAGTTAAAATCTAAAAAATTAAAAGCTTTAAAACAAAGTACCTTCCTCTAAATAAAAAAAAATCCCAAAAGCCAATAAAAGCAAGGTAAACTAATTAATTATTAATACAAGCATTTTTTGAATTATTGCACTTATTTTTTAACTAATGAGGATTTAAAATATCATACCTTTGGATTAATTTTTGGAGCCTAAAAATGTACACAAATTGAAAAAAAGCTTTGTTTACTTTTTTTATATTTTTTTATGTTGTTGATGGTGCCTGTGGGAGTGGAGTAAGGGATAGGATGACATATAAACTGTCGTCAGTGTCATGATTTTCTTTATCTAATAGCGCTTTCGATTTTTGCCTCAAAACTGCACCCGAATGGTCAAATAGCGATCCAAAACGAATTCACATGTTCGGTTTAAAAACAGAGCGGCGAGATTGAGCAATAGAACTCTCTCAAATCTTGCACGGAGCACTCCTTCTTGCTCCGTCAAATTCGATGGATCACTTCGTTTGGATAATATCACAGCCCCCTACACTTACAAGCCATGAAGTTGGAAATGACGGCAACGTCGCGTATGGTGCTATTTTGTTATCGAGGTTATTGTTTCTGTGTATTGCGTTCATTGTATATTGTTGCAGTTTAGTATTTTTGTGGGCATTGACGAAAAAATGCATAGAAACACACCGATATATTGCCCATATTTAGTTGATACCTGTTCCTTTGTGCTTTTATTGCAAATTTTCAGCAAATGGGTACAGCAGCAAAAATGAAGGTAATGTAAGGTTAAAACAATAAAAACAATATTAATATTGTGCAAGAGCATAGGCCTCAATATATTACCTAAGATATTTAAACTTTTTTCCAGATGCCATGAAACTACTGTGTTCCTGGGTGCAAATTGAACTAGGAGTTCCTTAAAACCTGAAGAAATGCAAACATTTATTTCCAAAAAAATTCTGAAATGCAGAAGTTGTGGATGAAAGCAATACACCAAGATAATTGTACCCGAGATTGGCGAGATTATACCATAACGAAAAATTCTGTGGTGTGTTGTGAACATTTTGAAGAAACCGAAATAATTAGATTTGAAACAAACAAGAATAAAGGAGTAATTCGAGAGTTCAAACTAAAACGTCCAACTCTTAAAAGTACCTCTTATTTTCGGAAATCAGCTCAAGTATTTGAATAAACCTGCCTTCTGAAAAAATCCCGAAGAAAGAAAAAGTTAGATTTTCAAAAGACATACTGAAACATAGGCCTATACGCTTTAGACTCTAGAAATAAATATATTCATTTAAATCAATTATTTACTGTTCTTATTTACACAAATAGTTAAATTCTCGGTTAAATTATTCATTGAATTACTGTTTTTGGCCCTTTAGTACAATAAATTATGCATTTTTTGTGATTCATATTAATAAAATAAAAAATATATATTTATACAAACAAACACCACCAGCACCACTTGACGGTAAGATTGCGGTGTTGCCTTTTTTAACTTCATGGCTTGTTAAATGTAGGAGGCTGTGCAACTAATGATGAAAAATCAAAATGTATTTGATAACGTCAACGAGTTTTGAAAAGTGTCACTTTAAATCAGTGGCGGTTCGCCGATATGGGCAAGGTGGGCACCGCCCTCAGACTAATAATAAAACTAGAGACCAAACATGCCATTTAGAAATCGCCCAATGTTTACAATCAATCATCTTTTAGTCCATCACATAAGTAAGAGAGAGATAGACCTATAAAATGGCAACACTGACGCATGTGGATTTTGCCACTACCAGTGGCGGCGTGTTGTTTTGAGAAAATATAAATCAATATAAATAAAATTATGATTTAAGTTGTAATTATAATTTATTATTTATGATTTTGAATCCTTAAAAATAAGTATGTACCTATTATATTTTCATGAAGACCTAAAGCCTTCATGCAAAAAGCAGCAAATTAATTACTAGATACAATAGGTATAAATATAAAATACGCAAGTATAAGTATAAAATGTTTATTAAAAATACAAAAAATCGTCCAATTATACAAAAGTTTTTTTTACATGATATGGAATATAAAAGCTGACTATCAGTACATACATATTTGATTTATATGTACAGGGTGTCCCAAAAAGATACCGACAAACTTTAAGGGGTAGTAAGGGACATCAAAACAAACATTTTTGTTTATATAAACATGTATCCGCAAATGAGCCGTTTGGGCTGTAGAGCAAAAAAACTATTAAAATCATACCCAAATAATTAAGGACTTTTTTCCTCGGTTTTTTATTAAGTTGGCCACCAGCATGATTTGCTAAAAATTTGTGGTCGCACTTTTGTTTATTTTTAAAATGCAAAAACATTTCTTTATCAAAAACATTTCGAAAATTCCTACCCTGGGATCATCGTAAAATGTATATTATTTGTGACTAGTTGCCGTAGTTAAGTTAGTTGTCTATTAATGACCCGACGGTGCAATCTTTGCATTGAAGTAAATTATCAACATTTTGAACAATTATTGCGAACCATAATTTATTAGTTAATAAAGCAAAATTAATAAGTAAACAGTGATTTAATTATTGCAAAGAATAAAAGTATAGTCCTCGCCACAGATAATCGAGATTCCTACAAAAAATTATGTTCATATTATCAGCCGGCCCGCATTTAGTCAGGGAGCACGTATCAGGAGCCGCTTGAGTACAAGATTATATTGGTTTGAAATTATTCGGTTCAAATTGTTGTAAATAATGTTTAAAATTATTTTTCAATTTTCTCAAAAGATCTTTCAAAAATATAATGCAAGAAATTAAGTACTTTAATCGAACCCAGAACATAGCTCTTGGACTAAATTTATTCTTAACCCTTATCTGTAGAGTTTTTGCTGCGATTTTTTTTTATCGGGGCATCGCCGACAAAGAAATTATTTTTTGTAGGAATCTCAAATATCGGTGGCGACAACTATACCAGTTTTTTTGCTCTACAGCCCAAATGGCTCATTTGCGGACATATGTTTATATAAACAAAAATGCTTGTTTTGATGTCCCTTACTACCCCTTAAAGTTTGTCGGTATCTTTTTGGGACACCCTGTATATAGGTAAGAACAAGGTATAGTCATAGCTTAACGTATAGCTTTACATTTTTTAACTATGTACTTAAAACGACCGAGTTGATTCATTAATTATAATATGTATTGATTCAGAAAAGAAACTTTAATTTGGTACAACCACTGTTTTTATTTCGCTGGTGAGTGGTTTTTGAACAAAAATGAATATTGCCTCTATAAAAAAAAAGGAAAGCATGCAGTCCTGTATATCATACAGGATCACAGGTGAAAATCCTGCATAGTGGAGCTGTTAGCTCAGCAGTACTATTGCGGGAAGGCCATTCGGTCCTCAGTGGCATTGTTAGAGTCTAGGCCTTTATGTATTCGCTTTGCTTGTGTATTCGTTTCTGGTCCTGGCATTGAGGAAAATACTCTCAGGATAGTAGGGGCCGGGGGAGACTCTTCTTCAGGATCGATCTACATTAGATTTTGATCCAAGCATTTCTGCGAGAAGTAGCAAGAAAACCCCACAAATAATTGGTATTAGATTTTTGGTTTTTAATCTCTTTGCCTATACAAATAATAATCAATAGGGAACAATCATATTTTTCAAAGTATTTTTTTTCTTATTGCTTATGTTTTCAAATATAAAATGTATATGTTTTTTTTTTGTTTTATGTCCTCATTGAAATAAAAAAATTATTTTGAATTTCAAATTATTTTCGTTGGCGCGAAAACGATTAGCTTCAAGATGGTGGCATTTGTGACGTCAACTGTCTGTAAACACAACGTTAAGGTCTGTTCTCACAAGAGCCTTTGACACTTTGAAAACTGTCAGAAAAAATCGCCTAGCGAACCTTCGACTGCATTGGAACTTGAAAGCGGTTATTTATGAGGTATTTCCGTATTTAGTGCCATATTGTGACATCTTGTAATTCAAATAGTTCATCATGGTTGATACAGGATTTACAAAAGCGCAGTCTGACAATCTTCCCTCAATATACCCGTTTATGGTGGTTCAATATTAGTCGTGGCGTGACGTGAGCTGATCGTGGACCAATCGTTCCACGATTCAAGAGAGAACCACGAAAGTGTGGACCGTGGATTTACGATCAGTGTAAACTACCCTTAACCTCAAATTACGAACAGTTGACGTCACTGGAAGCGGCCATATTAAACGTAACTTTTCCGCGCGAAACTTTTCAATCTAAATCTAATAATTGCCATATGACTATAATATCCATAAATTTAATACAAAACTGCTCATATTCAATATTTCACACAAAAATGTGCACCATAAAAACAAAATAAGCCATATTTATTTCTTATGAAAATTCCCTATTGTCGAGGTAGAAAATATTAAAATATAATGGGTGAAACATAATACCTTTTTGTAATATCTCCCATTTCTGATGCAGTTTTTGTTGTTGATCCACCAGAATCCTTATTTTTTGTATGTTGCTAAACCCTGCTAACAAAAAAATAATAATTATTTTTGATTTATTATATCTAGTAATCAAAAATGGTACTCCAATACTTTTTAATAGATTAATAAAGATATCTGTCATCAAGGATACCTTTTTATGATTTCCTTCACTGGGCTGCTTGAGGGGCCTGCCATATTTCTGTCAGACTGCAAAGTAATGATTTCAGACCCACTGGGCTGCTCCACGAGAGTTTCAAAATTATCATCCAAAGGTCTGAAAATAATAATGTAAGATGAAAAAACGCACCTAGCAGAAAGGCCTGGAAATACTCCTTGAACTGTTCTATATCACATCAAACTTACTTTGAATAGAAGAGATTTCCTGGGTTTCTGTCAGGTGACTCAACAAGGGTAGAGTCCGAACTGAAAAATAATAATAATAATAATTTGAGAACAAGCTGAGAGAAAAAGTAACAAAAAAAATATGATCCATGAATTCATAATATACACTAAAGATGTTTAAGGAAAATAAATACTGTATGTAGTTCAACCTCACCTAAAAGATGATGGATCTTTGAACGCAGCAAGCCTGGGTTCAGCATCTGGCCTTCCTTTTTTTTCCAGTCAGGCTTAATGTTGTCCAGATTTACAGGAAAACTACAACAAAAATTATAATAGAACCTAGTAATAGTGTATAAAGTCAAAGTTTATAAAGTTCAAGCTCACAATTCTTACTTCTCAATGATGCGTAATTTTAAAAATTCAGAGTTGAAACCAATTCTACATTAATCTACTTATCGCAAAACACTTCAAAATACGGTTATATCCCCTTTTTAAGCCTAAACTCTTATATCACCTTTTTAAGCTCTAAACCCTCTCAAATTAGTATTAACAACTCGATTAGCAATAATTCATTGTGCATTAAGCAATAAGCATTATGAATTATACACTATTATTGGCTAGCTAAACAGGGCTTAAAGTTGAATAAAACTATTGAGGAATATGTACCTATCGTGAGTACTTACCTACATATATTGATTCAGGAAAACTCAGATTATTGCTGTAATTTAATTTCTAGATCTCAAATAAAAAGTTTCCTCTGAATTTTTCTCAGAATGTAATAGAAGTTTTACAATAAATTACCATAAATACCATCTAACTACGCCAATGGCGGCCAATGTCAAGAGTAAAATGATGTCAAATTTCTTACCGCCGAAATATCGAATTCTGCTTTGAATCCGTACAGATAATACATCGACGTACCATTGTTACTGTCTCCACCACACTTTCTATAGTTTTGAATCCAAAAATAACACTCAAAATCACAAAAAATCACAAAATTAGCTTGATCACTTTCCAGCAACACTGCCAAATCCCTAATGGATGCCAAAAGTCACATAAAATCATCTGATTGGCTGCTCGTAGATGCAACGTTGCCGATGTGCCGTTTTTCGAGCCATATATTCCTGGTTATTCCAGAATTTTCACCAATTTAAATTAAAAAAAGACTAATTATCTTTTTCAAAAAGGCGTTTAAGTTATGTTTCAACAAAGATTGATATAAAAAAACATTTATATTATGTTGAAACATATTTTGAAATAATGGATTATCCGTGAAAACATTTAATATTGAAAATCACATCGGATTATTGGCAAACGGGCATTTCATGCAAAAATCGACCTTATGGATGTTGGATCGCAAATTGTTTGTTTACTGTTGTATCTGTCGTTTTTAGTTGTTAATCTGAGGCACCGCCACCCTGGAGAAAAATAAAAAATACCTTTAATCAAAGATAATCCTACTTCGGAGTAGGATTATCTTACTTCGGAGTAGGATTATCTTTGCTTTAATGCAATATTTGAAAAGGCCGCGACCTTGAAAATCTAAAAAAAAAATTGCCCATGGCTGTTTTTTATTTTTGTCGCCCACCCTTACTTGGACACCACGAGCCGCCACTGCTTTAAATGTCAAAATTAGAAAAAATAACATATATAGTCAACCATCCAAGGACCTTTTTCTTCAGTTATACATGTAAACCCCATACTTTGTGAGTGGCTTGCTTACATCAAGTCCTACAACTTTTCCTCTGCGACTTTTCTCGGAAATGGCACGTATGCGCGCAGGCGACTCGCAAACATGTCGATCTGACGTAGCTATGTTTCCTGATACATGTAGGTAAATCTAATTTTACGAATACTGTTTGATATTTATGTCTAAATCACGGAAATCAACTTGGCCGACAAAAATAATGGCAAATTGGGAGAGTCCGATACCCCCAAAATGTCGATCTGACGTGGTTAGGTTTCTTGATACATGAAAATCTAATTTCACGAATAATGTTTGATTTTTATTTCTAAATTACGGAAATCAACTTGGCCGACAAAAATAATGGCAAATTGGGGGAGTCCGATACCCCTAAAATGTTTGCGAGTCGCCTGCGCGCATACGTGCCATTTCCGAGAAAAGTCGTAGAGGAAAAGTTGTAGGACTTGATGTAAGCAAGCCACTCACAAAGTATGGGGTTTACATGTATAACTGAAAAAAAAGGTCCTTGGATGGTTGACTAATATATTTAAATTAACAATAGAGCGCCAACCGGCTTCCAACCCATAGCAGAAAGGACGAGGAAATGAAAAAATATAATTTCCACTTTATTTCGTCCTTCTAACTTGTGGGGTAGGACCTTCCCTTGCTAACCTTACTTAAAACGTGGCAGACATGGTGAAGGGAGGGGGAAGGCCCGCCAACGGCTCCTGTTCAGGCCTCAATAGGTCCATATTATTTATTCGCACGAAAAAACGGCCTTCTAACAGATGACTGAGGCTTTTGTGTCACGGGCTCTCGTAGTATGACAGGTTTACGAGAAAAGCTGATAACTGCATTTCTTAGCATTCAAGTATAATTTGATCGTTTGACACCAGACAGATAACCGGTCCAAATCCTCCTGCAATAGGTCCTGGTCATGAATGGTCAGAATCCTTCTCCAAAATTTAATGTCATCAGCAAAGCAAGCACACTCACTATTCAAAAAACAATCGACAATATCATTTACAAAAATATTAAATAGGAGCGGAGAACTATGGCCCCTTTGGGGTACTCCAGATGTAACACTTATGATATCAGAGTAATAACAACCGACTTTGACGCGTTGTATTCTATCACTCAATGAGCTTTTCCACCATAACAGTAACTCAGGATTAAAGCCTAATAAAAGCATCTTATTAAGCAAAATATTATGATCTACCCGATCAAAGGCTTTAGAAAAGTCTGTGTATATCGAATCTGTTTGACATCTATCTTCCATATTCTGAAGAATATTTAGTTGGTAAGTTGTTAGATTAGATAAAGTCGACTTGTTCTTTGAGAAGCCATGCTGCTGCTGGCCAATCAAACCCTTTGCATTGCCAGGACATCTGCCCAGTGACCAAACAATCAAATAGCTTCGGGATTGCTGATTGTATGCAAATGCTCCGATAGTTCTCTACATCGTTTTTCTTTCCACTTTTAAAAATTGGGACTATATATGACTTTCCTTCCAGGTATCAGGAAAAACTGAAGATGTTAAAGATTCATTGAAGAGTACAGACAATGGTATTACAATTGTACAAACACATCTCTTTAATAAAAAGTTAGGTACGCCATCTGGTCCAGCTGCAAGCTTATCAGGCATTTTCATGATTTCATTAAAAATATCGTTCACAGAAATATCAGTAACTTTTATATTGATGCTCAAGTTCATGTCATTAGGGTGATTAAAAACGGACTGGGATGAATCGTCATTGACCGTGTAAACAGTTTGGAAAAAATCTCCAAATAAGTTAGCAATTTCTTGATCATTTGTTGCGGCTGGTCGCCATAAACCAAAGAACTGGGCAATGTGTGACTAGAACGTTTATCGTTGACATACTTCCAAAAAGATTTAGGATTCTCTTTTAAGTTTGCATCCAGACCAAGCATATAATTATTAAAACAAATATCCGACAGCCTATTACAGTCAGAACGCAGTTGAGAAAATCTTGTAGCTCTTATTAGATGGACCATTTTTATATGACAAATGCGCCTGCTTTTTTTGTATAGTAAGAGCACGCAGTTCAGCTGAAAACCATTTTGGGAAAGTAGTTGTGCGGTACTTTTTTAGGGGAATAAACAAAAGGAACACTCTGTTTTGGGACTGGGAGATCTGGTTGGAGCAAAAAAACTAGTTCAAACGGAACATACCCCCTTTTTTAACTACTCTGTTTTTAAGCCTTGATCATTTAAAACATACCGCGTTTAACGAATGACGATAGAATGGTTTTCAATTTTGCAAAATCCTTATCGATATGACTTTGTATCGAAATGCACCTTCATCGAGGGCGTATGAGTCGATATATCGTATCGATAAGCCCTTCTCTACTCTGTTTTTGATAATTCGATTTGCAGATTTCATGACATTTTAATTTTTATGTTGTGAAAAAATTTGCTAACTTTAGGGGTTTTTATTTGTTTATTCCCCATATTTATTAATTATAATCTGAAAATTATTGAATAAATTCCCTTAAAAATGGGTGTCCCTAAATTCTTTAGATACATGAGTGAACGCTATCCCTGTTTAAGCGAACTTATCAGGGAATATCAGGTGAGTACCGCTTCAAAATAATTTGATCCCTCCTCTGAAACCCTAATTTTCCAGATTCCCGAATTCGACAACATGTACCTGGACATGAACGGCATCATCCACATGTGTTCGCATCCCGACGACAACAATCCCCATTTCCGTATCACAGAACAGAAAATTTTCGAAGACATATTCCACTACTTGGAAGTCTTGTTCCGTATGATCAAGCCTCAGCAGCTTTTCTTCATGGCTATCGATGGCGTGGCGCCCAGGGCCAAGATGAACCAGCAAAGGGGTCGACGTTTTCGGTCAGCAAAAGACGCTGAGAAACAAGAAATTGAAGCTCAAAAGAAAGGGGAAACTTTGCCTACAGAGGCCAGGTTCGATTCGAATTGTATTACCCCTGGGACGGTTTTTATGGCACGTTTACAGGAGCAATTGAAGTATTTTTGCAAAAAGAAAATTTCTACTGATCCTTTGTGGAGAAATGTGAAAGTTATTTTATCAGGACATGAGGTAAGAACTGAATTCTGTGATTTTTATTTTTTTCAAGATGATTAGGTACTTATATTTATACTACTTTTTTTTCTACTATAAAGTTTAAAAGTGTAAACGTGTAGGTTTAAAAGATTTTTTTTATTGTTCACAAGAGACTGAAATAATGTTCATAATCAATTGTGTTCATTTCCAGACTCCTGGAGAAGGCGAACACAAAATCATGGACTACATAAGGTACATCCGAGCTCAACCGGGCTACAATCCCCACACGAGACACTGTTTGTACGGACTAGATGCAGACTTGATCATGTTGGGACTTTGCACGCACGAACCGCATTTCAGTTTGCTCAGAGAAGAGGTGAATAAAAGAAATATTTGCCAATATATTTTGCACTCTATAAATGCTTTAGGTCAAATTCGGGAAACAATCCAGCAAACGGCAATCGGTCCCTGAGGAAATTACGTTTTTTTTGTTACATTTGTCTTTGATGAGGGAATATTTAGAGTTGGAATTTGCACCTGTTAAAGATAAGTTAGTGGGGTTTGAGTATGATTTTGAAAAGATAATTGATGATTGGGTAAGAGATGTTTGTTTTGAAAACATAAACTCAACTAATCATTTTAGGTTCTTATGGGTTTCTTGGTAGGAAACGATTTTATTCCACATTTGCCTCATTTGCACATAAGCAATGGGGCACTACCAATTTTATATAATGCTTATATGGAAGTCTTGCCCACATTAGATGGTAATTTGATATTTTTTTTCCCAAATAGTTCAACACCAATAAAGAAATTTTTAGGCTATATTAATGAAGGTGGAACATTGAACTTGGCAAGATTCGAGAAATTCATGCAAAAACTTTCTGCTTTTGATACGGGCAATTTTGAAGAAATTAGAGGCGATTTGGATTGGATGGAATCTAAAACTGGAAGGAAAGCGACTGCACATTCACAAGTTTCCACTTCAGGCCCTAGGGAACTTGAAACATGGCAGGCAGAGGGCGCTGATGATGAGGATTTTATGAAATTTGAGGCTTTAGAGCCAGAAAGTGCACCTGCAAAAGATTCAGGATTAGCGGCTCTAATTCAAGCTACAGACGAACTCGTAATCATTCTTGAATTTGAATACATATTTTTATTTATTATGTGTTTTTAGGATATTGAATCCGATGAAGATGATGACGAAGATGAAGATAAGGCTTTTAAATATTACAAACGTGAATATTACATGAATAAATTGGAATATGCCAATGTGACTCCGTAAATAATTATTATTTTCAGAATTATTTTAAATATTTTATAAATTATTTTTAGGCAAGTTTTGAGAAGCCAAGCAGAAGGTTACGTTGAAGCTATTCAATGGAATCTACATTACTATTATAATGGAGTATGTTCGTGGTCCTGGTACTATCCCCACCATTATGCGCCCTATATTTCAGATATCAAAGGTTTTGCTGATTTTAAGTTCAATTTCGATTTGGGGACCCCTTTTAAACCCTACGAACAAGTACATATTTATTTTTTCTGTTTTTTAAAGAGATTAAATTATACTTGTTGCAGCTTCTTGGAGTTTTGCCAGCTGCTAGCAAGAGCCTGCTTCCAGAGCCTTATCATAAATTAATGCTCAACGATGACTCCTTAATCAAACAGTATTATCCGGAAGACTTCCAAACTGATAAAAATGGCAAAAGACAAGAGTGGGAGGCTGTGGTATTGATACCGTTCATGGACGAAAAATTGCTTTTAGAGGCAATGAAGCCTTGCAACGAAGAATTAACTGAGGAAGAAGTCCGAAGAAATACCCACGGGCCAATGTTGGTTTACACTTACACAAACAAGGATTTGGGCAAGTGCGACGCTCCAGAATATTTTCCTCCAATACAACGTGTTCACTGCAAAGAGGAGAAGTTTGAGATTGCAAACTTGAGAGTTCCAATTAATAAACTTGTCAAGGGTGCTTATCCTGGAATTACTATGGATTTATATTATCCTGGATTCCCAACAATGAAACATCTTAAATATACTGTGAGCTTTTTTTCAAGTTGGTATAGGTTTCTAAAATTCATTTTTCTTAGGGAGAATTAAAACAGGCCAGAGTCAAAGTGTTCGAACAACCCAGTCGCTTTGAAAGTATGATAGTAAAAATCCAGCATGATAAAATCAATCCCGATGATTTTCCTGTTGAATTGCTAGGGACAAGTGTTTTTGTTGGTTGGCCCCATTTAATGGAAGGAAGGCTTTATGCCATTTCAAATAGTAGAATTAAATATGTAAGTAGGGGCGAAGCGAATCAGTATAACAGTGAAGACGTCAAGGATGGCGTTTTTAAAGAGGAAGCTTCAATGGCAATTGAAAGGTACCACTAGTTGGTTTTAAGTGATTTTTATTCAATTACAACTAATTATAGATACAAGCATCGTTTGGGTATAGAGGTGGGAGATGTCAAAATCTTATTTCATGTTCAAATAATGACTGGAAGAAAGTATGTGTTTTCACCAAATGGACGGTTAACATTGGAAAAACAATTTGCCGAAATGACAGCAAATTATCCAATACAAACAGTAGTGACCAATATTGAAACATACGATGCAAATAAGACGTTATTCAGGGACGTGCAAGACGTTTTTCCAGAGGGCGTTATTTGTTTTTCATTGGGCAATCCTCATTATGGCGCTCAAGGAATTGTAAGTTTACTTTTTGTGTGAGGATTATGCTAAATTTATTGCTTTGTAGGTTACTGACAGTAAAGAAGCACATAAAACTGGCAGAATTAAAGTGTGCTTGTCATCAATGGAAGAGCCAAACTTTAGTAGTGTCAGAAGATTGAAAGATGATCTTTTGAGAAGTTACAAGACTGCATATAATGCGGCCAGCCAATTAGGAATGAGTCACTTTTTATATTCTCGCATCACTGGTTCGATATTTGTGGAAACTCCAGACGGAGAGGGTGGATTCAAGAATGTGAATGTTGGTCTTAATTTGAAATTCAACAAAAGGAATCAAGAAACTCCTGGGTACACTAAAAGAATCGATACCACGTGGTATTACACTGACAAATGCACCCAATTGGTCAGGGAATATTCAGAAAACTTTGGCCAGTTATTTAAGTATTGTGCTGAGCAAGGCGGAAATGATAATATTAAGGTTGAAGTTCTTTTTGGAGACGATTGGTAATTAACTTTTAGATTAGTGTTTCCTCCAAAATTGGTTATATTTGAAATTCTAGGGAGGAAAAAATCAAAAAAGTACAGGTTTGGTTGAGAGGCTTGCCAACCCACAATATTGAGAGACAACAATGTGGTAGTCAGGTGACAGAGCCTGAAGTTGTTGAGGAAATTGAAAAAATAATAGATAATTATTGCATTTCTGATAATTCAAGATCAAAAAGAATTCAAATGTCTGTCAAACCTTCATTTCTTTATAAGGTAAGTAATATTTACTGTGGTACTATAAAGAATGGAGCATTTTATGACTCAGAAATTGAGTTCTTGTTCAAGGTTGGCAAAAACCCAGGTTACCCAACAATTTACATTGAAAATTTTCCAATAATGATACTAAGACAGTTTTTGGCTCATAGTTTCTTTAATTTTCATCCGATTTCATTGTAATTAAGCTCTAATTAAAGCCAATTAAATTCTCTACAAACCTATTGATTAAGATTTTAATTTGGTTTCAACAGTTTTGCACCTGAGATGTTTCAAAACTGAAATTATTGAACATTTGCATTTTTCCAAAAATGACACTGAGACAGTTTTTGCCTCATAGCTCCGTTGATTTTCCAATTGCCAATTACAAACTTGTTGATTAAAATTTAAATCCTGACAAGATTAAAAATAATTAAATACAATTATTGTTTCTTAGCCTGAATTACAAAGTGGAACTTTGCCACCTGATCCGAAAATGCAAGTGGAACTTTTCGATAGAATAGTAAACACCCGTAGCGGCTTCAGCGTCCCTTTCGGCCTAAAAGGGACTATCATAGCGATCGCAGAATCCCCTAGCGGAAACGAACGCGACACAATGTACGACGTCGTTTTCGACAAACCATTCCAGGACGGTCTGCAACTAAATTGCTCGCCTGGTCGCGGCTATAAGTTACCCAGGACGGCTTTCATTGACATTTCGTACGGTAAACGAGTTTTAGATAAGAGAACCGGCAAAGATGTTGCTTCTAGTAGCACCAAACAAGAAAATCCTTGGGATAGGAATAAGGGGCAAAAATTCTTCAACATGAATAATAGTGCAAGGGAAATACCTGATCAGTATCCCAACTATCCTAAAAAAGTTGCTTCTCAAGAAAAAACTCAAGGCTCAGCTTTTGTGCCATTTAATAGTAATCTCAGAGGATTTCCTAATGAAGTAGACTCAAGTCAACATGAATCTAAAAAAGAAACTCCTCAAATACCAGAGACAAGTGCAATAAAACATTACAAGGCTGCGTCTTCACAAGCAAATGAGCCAGACACAAAACATTACAAGGTTACAGGTGAGCCTCCTCAAATTCTAGATGTCAGTATTTTGAAAAAAATGAAGGTTGCTCCATTAGCTATAGATGTATCAGAGCTGATTCCTGAACAGATTCGAATGAAACAGTCAGATAAAAGCGCAACATTGCCAGAAAATGGGGAAAATAAAGCAAAAGAAAATGGAACAAAGACAAAGGATCGCTCAGTTTCAGGCAAGGACTGGTATAAACCGTTCTCAGGTTTTGCTAAGGACGATGCTGATCAGCTAAAAAATCCAAAGGAAAGTAAAAATACTACTGAACAAGGTATGCCAAGTTTTGATCTAATTAAAGAGCCTGATATGTTGGGACTTTTCTTGTCTAAGGAAGTAAGAGAGGTAAGATTTTAAGTGATAAATATGTATATGTAATAACTAATCATTTATTTAGAGAGAAACTCCTGTTGAAAGAGAAACAACACGTCCCCCCAATCGTGTCAACACTGACTTTCTCAAGAGAATTTTAAAAATTGATAAAATACCAACCAAAACGGAAACCGAACCAGTAACAGCGCCTGAAGTTTGCCCCAATGTATCCTTTGATATGTTAGCTGTAAGTAGTTCAAAAAAATCAAATCCAATATATTGCCTTTATTTACTACATAGGAAAAAGTTGCAAATGTACCGGCCAGCATCCGATTATTAACCTACTATCAATCCAATGGACTCGGTGTACCACAATATCTGTACGTACCATTGGAAAACAAATGTAAAGCAAATATTGTCCTCACCGATGGTGAAGTAGTATTGGGCGACTTGGCAGACTCGAAACAAGATGCTATAGAAAACGTCGCTAATAAGGTTTTGCAGTTGCTAATGAAAAAAGTGCCAACGATAACTGAAAAAGCAGTGTCTGATCAAAATTTACCAATACCACCTAAAAACTGGGTAAAATCGAAAGAAATTGAATTAGTCCCTCAAGATGAAGCTCTTAATGCGGTACTACAGAATCCGTTTGTTCCCACCCAAGTGATTAAAAATAATAATAAATCGACTGATGGTAGTTTACAAGATGTTGTTGTGAAGCAAGAAAATGTATCTTCAGCCAATGGAAATGCGAAGCAGGACAAAGGCGTAAGTGATGATTTTTTTGTAGGAAATTGTAATTATAAATGGTTTTTAGGAGACTGGTGCTAATGGAAGTAACCAGAATAAGAAGACTAAACCAAAAACCAAAATTGCAGCCAACTTTTTGAATAAATTCCGATAGGATAAGGATAAATCAACTTTTTATTTTCTTTTAGCTTTTAGCAGTTTATTTCAGTTACAGTAAACAACAATTTACTTTTATAAGAAATAAATTATTTTTTTAATGGCTTTTGCTTGTTTTATTTTTTGTGTATGTGTATGTGTGTAAATTGTTGATAATATTTGTGGTCATTCAACTAGGCTGATTGTTGTATCCCATGCTCTTGAATATTTTTATTTTGACAAATTCAAGAGCCAGGAATAGACGGCTGATTCAATCGAAACAAATGTAGAGCACCTTTTTTAAAAGAGAAATGACCAAAGTATTTAAAATCAGTTGTCAGTTGTTCTGTGAAATGACTGGCACAATGAATATGGTGGCAAGTCCGTTCCTGACTTTCCAAACTATGTGAAACATCTACTGTATAGTATGGTTTTATGAGTCTTTATGACTAACATAAAATATTAGGATTTCATTAAATTATACAAGTCGGTTCAAAAGTTAGAGCCAAAAATGTAAAGCGCCAAGTACTCTTTTGGGGCTCTGTATCTCCATTAAGGGGCACTTAAGGATTTTTTTTAAAAACAAAGTAGGGTTATTTTGACCCCTCCTATACGCTACCGAGAGTATGCCATATACTTACGGGACATACAGGGTGTATGTGTTAAGTCCAAAGGGATGCACTTGAAATATTTGCAGTGGACTTAACATTTAGGTGAATCGGGAGGTACTGACTTCAACCAAACTATACTATACCACAGTTGTTTTTAAAGGATAGGTACATCAGGTGGGCACATCTTTAGAGGAATTTTGGAGATCAAGGACTTTCTGGTTTAAGTCCGAGGATTTTATTTTGTAAGCCTTATAAAGGTAAAATTAAATATTGAGACTACTCACACAGTGACTGAGTAGCCGCGAGCACTTTGTTGCGCTGGCCGCATTCCTTAAGGGTGTCTTACTGTACCTAGGCCTACTAGGGTCCATTTATTTAAATTCATTATTCAAACGGTTTAAGGTTAAATTTTTGCGCAACATTTGGCGCCCAACGTGGGGTCCGATTTAAATTTTAGTATTTTGGTTTTATCAAGTTGTTTTTTTCGAACCTGTTTGAATTTTTTTGGTTTGAATTTTTGTTTATTTTCAAGTTAAATAATATTTTAATGATATGGTTTGGTCGAGTTGCAGAGGAGATCATTTCTAACACAAAACCCTGGTTACATAAAACAAATTTATTAAATTAACTACTAAATTTTTGACTTGGGGAATTATCTTCAAAAAACCAAGTGACCACATGATGGTCAGATTGGACTTAGAGATCCCCTTCGCAGTGGTAATAAACGACCGCCAATCATGGGAGAATAAAGAACTACCACAAGCAGACAATGCATCTCTGTGGTACACAGATGGATCCAAGCTGATGGAAGGAGCTGGACTGGGCATTTCCGGCCCTAACGTCAAGCTCTCCAAGGCATTGGCTAAACATCTTACAATATTTCAAGCCGAACTGCTTGCCATAGATATATGTGCACAAGAGTGTCTTAATCAAAGCCTCAAAAGAAAACACATCTTCATACTCTCGGACAGCCAAGCTGCCTTAAAAGCCTTAAGGGTTTTCAAATGCACGTCAAAACTAGTCTGGGAGTGTAAACAGACCCTAAAAACACTAGCGACACATAACCAGGTAACGCTGATGTGGCTGCCTGGTCATCGAGGCATAGAAGGAAACGAAGAAACAGATGGCCTCACAAAGGAAGGGGCCTCAACACCATACCACGGACCAGAGCCCTACTGTGGCTTAATGAAAAGCCACATCATGGAAGAACTCAACAAATGGGAGAAAGACCAACTGTCATCATATTGGAGGCACACACCGGGACTCAAACAGTCAAAAAGGTTTATTACCCTTTCAGCAAAAAGAGCTGAACAGCTCCTAAACATGAGCAGACCAGAGATCAGATTGGTGGTGGGACTGCTCACAGGACACTGCCCAGTAAAATACCATTTAAGGTTAATGGGCGGAAGACGATCTCTGCAGATTCTGCTCAGACGCAATAGAAACCGCAGAGCACCTGCTCTGCGAATGTCCAGCCCAATTCTGCAAGAGGCTCAAATTCCTCGAGGGGGCAACACTGTCACCAGAAGAAATGGGCCAACTGACACCCAGGAAAATAGCTTCCTTCGGCAGAAGTCTACGCTTCCTGGAGACAAATTAAGATGTAGAGTCACGCACAAAATATCTGCAAAGGTAGCAGTGCTGAGCGGCTGAAAAAGCCGAAACGACTCCCCCGAAATCTACAATCTTCAAAAAAAAAACATACTTCACAAATCTAATTACTAGTTGAACAAAGCAGGTAGTGATATCGAACTGAGGTATAGTTTTTGGTTTGTTCGATTGTAACCATTGGTTTATTTTCATTTTTGTTTTTTTTTAGTTTTTTTCGATGTCATTGGTGTGATGTTGATTCAGGCCCGTAGCTAGGGGGGGCCAGAGTGGGCAATGCCCACTCTGAAAGAAAAAGTTGCCCACTCTAGAGTTAAAGTAGAAAAAAAAATAAAAATACCTACATAAGAAAAAAAATTACAAAAAATCACAAAACAAGTTATGTGAATTAATTTTTATTTTTCCGGATAATATTATCAATGCTTTTATCTTTTATAAACTCCAAATATGTACATACATACCAATATTGGAGAAGTTTACGCCTATTTGCTGCGACCGTTTACCGTTTATAAAACCACTGTTTAGTTCATATTTTAAAGTCCGACAAATACCATTTTAAAGTCACGTGATTTTGGTGGCAAAAAACGTATGTCCATTGATTATGTCGTTGATATCACCTACAAAAAGCTACTGGTGGTTAATTACTATTGAATTTTAAGATATGTTCCCACTAGCATTTACAAACGCATTTCTGAAGTAGTATTGACCAATCAGATGGGAATTTTAATACTTGCAATAGACCTATCTATTTTTACCTGTATGCGCGCGCAACACGAGGCAATGTATTTTTATTGGCTAACTAGTACAGGTGTGAAGTAATCCTTTTACACGCTGGGCATCTCTTTGTCCTTGTTCATTGCCCGTGGTCTGACAAGGATAAAATTATGCTTCATATTCAACTTGACATAGCTTGACAAGTATAGGGTGACCATATTTTTTTTGTATGAATGCTGTACACATTTAAAATTTTGGGAAAGGTGAGTGGAGAAAGAAAAAAAAAGACACAGTACCGAAACTAACGCCAAAGTCACAAAGTGCAACCTGGGCTGGGATCACGGCAAGTAGAATTCTACTAGAATTTTACCTTCATGACGTCAGGTTGCATAGCAACCCTCATCATCGCCTGTAGTGTACGCGATAAATAGGTTGTCGGTGACGTCATGAAAGTAGGGCTGGGATCACGACAAGTAGAATACTACTTTCATGACGTCACCCGCGACCCATTTATTGCGTACAGTACAGGCCATATCATAATGGCTACTAGACAATTTGACGCCACGAAAGTAGAATTCTAGTACAATTCAACTTGTCGTGATACCTGAGTCCGTGTCTCAGCCCAGGGCTGGAATCACGATCAATGACAGGCAATGTGGCCACCTGCCAGACCAAACAAAATCGGAGTAGAACTTTGAGAGTAGAAGGTGGAAGGCGTTTAGCCACATGTTTGTGAATGTATCCTGATCCGCTAATGCTTTGTCTGTTTTCTAGAGTTTTCAGCGGTGTAAAATAGAAAGGGATAAAAAAGGTAGTGAACATTAAAAAGAGTGAAGCGTAGTACTCAACACCGCGAAAATCGCTCTTTTTTGGCATTGCTTCGACAATTTGACGTTTGATTCACGCATAAAACGTCAGATTGTCGAAGTAATTTCAAAAAAGAGCGAATTTTGCTGTTATGAGTACTAGGCTTGATACTCTGGATGATCGCGTAAATGACGTAAATCGCAAATGTAGAGATGCGGCGTTAGCATAGACTTTCGCTGTACGTTTGCTGTACAAAATCAAATGCTGGACAGACTTTCAAAATGCTGTACAATACAGCGAAATGCTGTACGTATGGTCACCCTAGACAAGTAATCCATTTCCAATTGTTTGTGTTCTTGATTGACAAATCCGTTGCATGTCACGCGGTTTTCCTCCTTCCTTTTTTATCCCGTGCAAATAATAAGAACGGATTGCTATACGTAAGTCTAACATAATTTGGTACGTTTTGCCTCGTCTTGCGCAATAAGCGTTCTGCGTCTTTTTCTATTTAATAAAGTTTTCGTATTATTACCTCTTTGTCTGGTAAAATAGATAGGTCTATTGTTGCGAGACTCACTTTTGTCGCATCTGCTGTCCGTTGTAATACATTCTGAACTTGAATTGGGTACCGTTTTCTATTTGCTTCTTTTCGAGTTGGAAAAAGGTTAATATAGTCAAAATTATTAGTTGTGTCTGTTCACCCGCCAGCCGGTTAAATATAAATAACAGGCCGCCGGCCGTTAAGTTAACGGTCGCCTGCTGGGAGAGTATTTATTTTTGTCAAATTGAAAGATATCTGCAGTATAACGGAAAATCTAGAACGAAACACGGCCGATAACTGCAAATAACAGTCTTGGCTGATTATGATCCTCGGCTATCGCCTCAGATCCCAAACTTCAGCGCGGCCGCTATTTGCTACTTATCGGTCAACTATAAACGTGCTGCTAAAAAGTATTATTGGCCAAAAATGCGGAGTGATATAGCTAGGTTTGTTAGGCGTTGTGTCGTTTGTCTCCAACATAAAGCTGAAACTGGATAGCCAAAGGCGAAAATGGTTAGCCATTCAAAACCGCCAAAGCCATGGGAAGTAGTGTCTACTGACCTTATTGGCCCTTTGCCAAGATCCAAAAGTGGTGATTGTTTTTTGCTCGTGGTGACAGACTATTTGACAAAGTTTTTTCTTCTTCATCTGCTTCGTGGTGCTACTTCTGAGGCAAACGTTTTATGGAAAATCATGTGTTTTTGTTGTTTGGAGTCCTTTCCACAATTCTTTGTGATAATGGTCCTCAATATCGTGGCCCACATTTTAAAAAATTAGCTGTGACTTATAAAGTCCGACTCATGTATAATGCCAATTATCATCCGCGGGCAAATCCTACTGAACGGACTAATAGGACTCTTAAGACCATGCTTTATCTCTCAACAACCATAGAGATTGGGATGTCAATCTAGATAAGGTGGTTTAGACAGGGAAAACGCTTCATATCCATCTCCGCAAAGAGATCTGAACAGCTTCTCAACATGAGCAGAAGAGACTTAAAAAAGTCGTTGGTCTACTACCTGGTGAAATATCACCTAAAAACAATAAATAGGCAAAGCAGACAACAGGGGCGGATGGGCTCAGGCGGGACTCCGGGACGATTCCCGGTGGGCTGGAGAGTGGGCCGGTTTAGGAAAAAATAAAATACGATAACAAACAATGCTTGATTGAAAGAAAATCACTCAAGGCGCAGAAAGCGGTTTTGGTTTTTTACCGTTTTGCACAAGGCGTAGAGCTGCCATCTAATATTGGAAAATATTTTCAGTAAAATTTACACTTTTTCTGTAAACACACTTTCTCTGTTTAATCAGACATTACCTGGGAGTCTTCCAAATTCACCGATAATAACCCGTTAAGTACGAAATTTTAATCAGACATAATCAAACTTATCAATAATAACTCGGTTAGTTTGTGTTAGTTTGGAATTGTAATCAGACACATTACCGATAATAACCCGGTTAGTTTGCAATTTTACTAAGATATTTTCAAACTTACCAATACTAACCACGGTTAGTATGGGTTAGTTTGCAATTGTAATCAAACGTACCGATAAATAACCCGATTAGTTTGGGCAACTTTGCAATTTTGATCGAACATAACCATCATGTTTTCAAAATTTGTGTTAGTTTGCAATTTATTGTAATTAAACATTACCAAACTCAAACTTACCAAGAATAACCCGGTTAATTTGGGTTAATTTGGAATTTTAATCAGACATTACCAAACTTAAAAATAATAATCCGGTTAGTTTGGGCATGGTTCAAGTTCAAAATTATTGATTTTCCAAAGAAGTTATTGAAAGTCAATATTTTCCAAATGGTTCATTTTCGAAATGAAAGCATTCGGAAAAAAATCGAAATTTTTGTTTTCGGAAAATGAACATAGACCTGTACCTAATGTCTGAATAAAATTGCGAACCAACCCCAATTGCGGTAAATATGGTATAAACAGAAAAAGTGTAAACTTTAACATATTGAAAATATTTTACAATATCTGGATGGCTATACGCTATACGCTTTCGTATTTTTGAGTAATAAAGGTAGGTTTTTTATTTCTATAAAAATAGATTATTTAATACCCTATTTTTAAACACTTTTTTGCAAAGGAAAAATGTTTGGGTATCTTCGCCTCCAGCGTTACACATCCCCCCACGGGGCTGCTTCAGCAAAAACTGTCCCGGGCTGATTTAAAGTTGCCCATCCACCCCTGGCAGACAACGACCACTGTAGATTTTGCGAATGCCCTGCACACCTCTGAGGCTGAAATACCTTCAAGGGGTACGGCTAACACCCCAAGAGATAGGCACCTTACCACCCAGGAAGCTTGAGCGGCTGGAACTAACCGTAATGACTCCATATGCAATCTACAATCTACAATCTTGACATTTTAGGTCTTAAAATTGTAACAATGTTTCAATATAATGTATTTATTTGTATAAATATGATAAGCTTCTTTTATATGAAACAGATTCCCAGAAGCCTTTTAGTCATCTTATTATAATTTTTAACTAAGATTTTTAATTATTAATAATCACAAATGTATCCTATATTTATAATGGAACAAACAGTCGCACCCAGATCCAACTTCTATGGGCACAATGCTGGACCAGCACGTATTCGTCTGGTTCCTTTTTAGGAAAAAGCGTTTCAGATGCAAAGTGGTACAAGTGTTGGATCTAACTAGGCAAACGTCCTGAAAAAGAAAATAATCGCTTGAATAAATTTTACAAGGTAAAATGCCACAATAAAATAATTATTATTGAAAACCGGTAGTATTTTCAATTTCAAACGTTTGCCTTTTAAAATGTCGTTAATCTCAAAATAATGTTTTCACCTTCTAAAACCCATATAGTGACTCGGGTGTAATAAATTTTGGTAAAATATGCAACGTTTCATTAAGCTAAATACGAACGACTAATATAAGATAAGCAATATTAAATTACAATTTTAATGTTTCAAAGATAAACTCATATGATTAGTATTTTCTTGAAAGACATTTGCAACCTGCACCGACAGCTTCAATGAAGTGACTCCAGCAGTTTGTGTTGTGCTTTCTTCTGAGAAACAATTGTTCTTTTTCGATTGTGATACAATTTTCTCCTGGGACGTAACAGGTGTCCTGGAAAATGTTGTTTGCAGTGAAATTGTAAGTATTTCAATGCACAATTATTTGTTGACGACAAGAAAGAGTTTGTAATTACACATAATTGATAAAATGCATCCTTTTTGTACTACAATTATTATTTTCAATTTTGTACTCACATGGCTAGTGGCAACTGATCCTTCCAATTGTGACCCGGTAACTGGAGTACATGAATAACTAGTATATGATTTAGGGAAAAATTCATGTCCAGCTTCAATGTGATGATGAATTGCCCTTTGAACACGACAAAGAACTTGATTTTTCTAAGGAAAATTGAATATGTTGTATTACCTAACAATCACTTAACATCAATTACGTTGCAGAAAAAAAATGTGTAGATACCTTTCTCCTAGGAAAATCGAAAGCCCTTTTCGTCTCACCAATAACATTATTGTCATGTTCAATCCAGCTTTCGCGCAAATCCAGACCTCCAATTTCTTCATCATCACCAAAAAGAGCTATTTTTTCATCAGGTAATTCCCCGTTTGGTGGAGACCAATCGAAATTCGGCCCTTCGTTTTCTTCTAAGGGTGCGTATTCGATTTCGTTTTCCATTTGGCCTTCATCAAGGGACGGAAACGGTAAGTAATAGTCCTCAAATGCTGATTTGGTGAGAGTCACTGTGATAATGCATGTCTAGAATAAAAATAAGAATCAATTTATTTTTCTTTAACTAAGATTTCCATTAGATTTTGCTGGGATGCAATTTTTCTATTCAAACGTCATCAACTTATTTTGAGCTCCAATAAAACAAGCTATAGTTCCAATTCGTCTACCTACGTTTTAAAACTACACACCACTAATTGACTTTAATAGATAAATTAGACCTCTGAGGCCCCTTAAAAAAAAAAGGAACCGTCAGTATTGTTTCTTATATGCGTTGCTAAAATTGAACGAATTTTGAAGCAGTGCGATAGTTAGAGAACAAACGACTTTTGGATTTTCCTACGAAATATATACGTGATCTTTTAGTAGGTAGTGATTTTACCATAATAGGTAATTAAAAATGTTATTCTGATTTGCGAGCAGTGTGGTGGTTGATGTTTACTATAGTTTTGCGGTGTCTGTCTTACGATAAACTGATCAAAGAGTGTCGATAGTTCAATACTAGAAAATGATAATGTTAACTTCGGATGAGGCCAATAATAAAAAGCATGTTGTTGTAGACGTTAAAAGGTAAGAGGAATTTTTTGAATTTTTTTTTCTTCGCGGAAATGTTCCAGAATACACGCATCTAGACAAGTTTTTTTTTTCACGTTTGAGTTTTCCAATCCAAATTAGTCAGAAAATACTCCTAACATGATTTCGAAATCACAGTTTCAAAGAGGAAAAAACATGATTTTGGCTTTGGAAATTTTATGAAATGCAAAATAGTCACCCTCTTATTTTTGATATTATTTGAGCAATTATTTATTATTTGAAAGAGCATTAGATTCTCTATAAACTGAGCAACATTTGATATTAGTAACTCATACAGTTACCGAGTTATTGAAGTTCAAAGCTTTAAGCCTAAATTTTGACCCAAACTTTAAACTCAATTTTCTCAAAAACTTTAAGTATAAAGTTGGTATCCGAAGAATATTCTTCTGAAGCATGTATGTTATATTCTTCAAAAAAATGAAATTAAGAATATTATATTTAGATTGGTACTGAGATATTGAGGCTTGAAGATAAACTGCAACAAATACAAAGAAAATATGTTTACAAGTTTTTACAATTTTGTCTTTCCCAATCGATTGAGCAGGTCCAAATTATTTAAAAATGACTCTAACATGATTCCAAAATTACAGTTTCAAAGAGAAAAAAAATCGATAAAAAATTTTGATCTTTAATTGCTTTTGGATTTTTTTCGAATGCTGATATGGTCATAAATAATCTCCAATATTCACAATAATATTTGAGCAATTGGATTCAAATTAAATATTGCTTGAAAGAGAATTAAATTCTCTATGAACTAGAGTTAAATTCGTTCTGATAGCTTTGATATTTTCTGAGTTATTGAGCGTCAAATTTAAACTTTATTCGACATTTTGTCCAGAGTTTTTGACATTCTGACATGGTCATGAAATGAATAATATTGTTCAGTTATACCTAATAAGTAAGCAAAATAACTTTGAATATACCCATCACTTAAAAAATCACTAAATTATCCATAATAAACTGTGCCAAATTCGTTCATAGCTTTAAGATTTTTGGAGTTATTGAGATTCGAAGTTATTCATTATTCGACATTTTGTCCACAGTGTCTGACATGCTGACATGCTCATAAATAATTGTTCAGTTATAACTAAGTAAACAAAATGACTTCGAATATACCCATCATTATAAACAATCATCAAATTCTCTAATTAACCCAGACAGCACAGAAACATCTTGAAAACGTCCCTAAGATTTCCACAGACAACATTCTTTCGCTTCAAAGTGTCTTAAAGACATCTTGAAGAGAAGACGTCGTGCTAGAAAACCAAACGTCTTTCAGACGCCTGTCTAAATACGTCTTCAGGTTGATATTTGATTATGATTATTACTCATTTTATAACTTTCAATTTTTGTCTATTCCTAACGCTTAGGCTCTCAAATTCTTGATTTCTTTTAAACGAAAACATACACAGAATTCATTTTGAAAGAAAAACATTGGAAGAGCCATGGTAAAAAATAAAGCAAGAGTCTGAAATTCTAAAATACGGAAATAATGAGAGTTTAAGAAATTGGAATGAAAAAATTCAAGAAGCCAAAAGACAGTCAAGAAATTAGAATTAAGAAATAGGGAAAAATCAATTAAAGTTGGTAAAGTATACCATGCATTAATGGTTAAAAATTCATTAAACATTTGCCGGTTTGGTTTGACAAACTTAACTAAAAACTGTTAGTGAACTAAATAATAGTTCAGTTATCCCAAAATATCATAGTCACTTTCAATAATTAAATGGTTAATATACCATTCAATAATACATGAAACTGAATTATACATTTTCTGGTATGGACTAACAAAATTTACCAAAAATCCTGGTTAGTGAGCAAAACAATAGTTATAACATCTATTATTCAAGGTAAATCAAGTTCTGTGTCGCAACAATTTTTATATTGGTTGAACTAACTTTTACGCTCTGATTAAATTAAACAGATTGTAGTTTCATTTGACAATATTATCGGAATTGTTATTTAACAACTTTTTTTTTTGAATCAACCCATGTAATTTTTCTGAGTGCACAAACGACATCCAAGACGTTTTTTAGACGTCTGCTTACGTGTTCAAGGCATCTTAAAGACGTCGTATGTTACAAAGCCCAACGTCTTTCAAACGTCTCGTTCAGACGCAATGTGCACCTAAAGAAGACGTTTATAAGACTTTATGTGCTGTCTGAGTATACATAGATACCTATTCAAAAAACTTCCAACTTGAACTTTATTTCTCAATTTTACACGGTCATTTACCTATTTCTTGTTCATATCTCCAGAGTTATATTATGTAGTTAAACAAGGTGACTTTGATTATACACATTTGAAAAAAGCAATAAAATCCCTATAAACTTTGCCACTGTGCTAAATTCGTACTGTTATCTCGAAAAGTATCCGATTTCCTGTAAACCTGACGAAACCATAATGCTAAATATAAATATGTATTAAATATAGGTAGGTATTTGAATGTTGAATGATGTTTTTGTTCTTATAGTCTTTAGATTACTACAAGTGACAAGGTCTAAAAATTAATATGACCTTAGAGTACATTACCATATAAAGAAGGTTCTATTTATATCGCTCAGGATGGCCAATTGTCACATTTATCAAACAGTAGGTAGGCCGCATATCATGTTACTAATGTTTGATATTTATTGCAATTATTTATATTGTGCAAGAGTATCCTAATATAAAATATGCATTTTATATTTGAATACAACTTCACTCAACAATAAACTTCCAAAAAAAGTAATTTAGTTTGCACCGAACCAATAAAAGGAATTTCATCTTTAATTAAATAATTAAACCTCTAGGCTTGCTTGTGTTTTTCAATTAATTTATTTTTCTTGGTCAATTGTAATATACCTTCATGAAATCTAATTTGAATTGAGATCTATTTTATTACTCCATGATTTAAAGCGTAGTTAAATCCAAACAACAATAATTAAACTTTTGAGTAAATTTGTTTGGCTCCTGTTTCAGAACATTTTACATAATGACCCAAAAAAGCCTTAACTCGATTCATGATTATGCAAAAATCTCCTTGTAAATAGGTTTATAATTAACAAATAATAACAATAACTGTTTACCTAAGAAATTGACTGGGTAGTACTAATCGGAAATAATCAACGAAATGTGACTGGGGTTTTATATTATTACCTACGTAAACGAATGTGTAATCTAATAGTAGGATCATTGAATTATAGTTTTAGTTGGTGTTTCAATTTTGTGTTAATTGCAGCAACACACTCAGAAGACGAAAGACTGGAGTGTACAAGATGGACTCGTCTGATAAGGACCAGGCTTTTCAGAATAACAGTTTTCTGAGCACTCTTGCCATAGGAAAAAGGTAATAATAATTTCAATCAATATAATAACTATAAGATTCTACTTACTAATATAGTTGTAATTATTGCAAACTCCATTTTGGTAAAACTCTTGGGTTACTGGACCGATGAATTAGAATTCGGGGAGTTTTTATGCAGCGAAATGTTAATTAATTTTTATCGAAAGCACCACAAATCTCTCAAATTAATAAAACAAATCTCTGTTTGCTTGGTTTTTTGGAATCAGTTTTTGCAAATTTGATCCTGAGAATAAATACCTATGTAGGAGGTACTAACTGTTACTTAAAGTACCTATGTAGGTAGTTTTGTTTTTAAATTGGATTTTGGATAAATGAAACATTGGCCGCAATGATAATAATTAATATATTTGCCAATATATACCCATATATTAGGGATTAATTAAACATATTGTAATCTTCTTGTTTGCAGTATTTGCTTTGGATTTGTGCCAGGATTATGATGTTAATTAAAAAGGGGGAGCGTTTTCTTCGGATTTTTGGCAAAATATATCTAATCTAATGTTTGTAATTTTGTGATGTTTCTTTTAGGAATTTCTTATGCATTTTTGGGACATAATTTTTTCCTCTAGCATTTTATTTTAACTTCTGATAGTTGTCATTGGGAAATTAATCAATCAATCAACATCTTTATTCTTCACTTTAATTTCTTGATGCGTTCTTGAATTTGTTATCCTGCCCTTTCACTCCTTGCAGGATTTTCTCAAGTCTACACCTTTTACAAGAGTAGGTAGGTATATAAGAATAAGAAAGTCTCGCTTTGATTAAAGAAAGTATCATTTGTATTTTAGAATTAAACATTTGTATTTCAGAAAAATCCATAGGTAGGTATTTTAATTTATTTAAATGTATTTGCGTAATATTCAGAAATATTTTAGAAGTAAGAATTGTATTGTCGATAATTTCCAATGTATTTTAGAAAAGTCATCCGTATTTTAGATTGAAGCAATTGTATTTTCGAAACACCATATGAATTTTAGTTACATTCATTTTAATTTAATAAGAAACGATAAATTGGACAGCTATGTATAAATACTTACAGAGATGGACATCTCTTCTCGCAAATTTGGCATAAGAGGGAAATTTTGAAGAAATCAGCAAGTATACATATAGACAAAGCTGGGCAGAAAACCGTTAATCCGTTATCCGTTAATTAACGAAGTTAAAAAAAATTGCTTAAATTTAACTTTTACCTGTTAACCTGAAAAAATATTAACGGTTTCCTTAACTTCCGTTACATTAGACTTCCGTTAACTTTAGTCCGTTATATTCGTAAATGACGTTCGTTTGCTTGAATTACCTGTCAAAGTAATCCGGGATAGTTCACACAGGCGCAGAAAGATTTCAGTTCGCTGCACTACGCAGTTTGGAACTGTTCTGAAATGACTCCAAACCCGATTTCGTACAGTGAGATCGATGCGCAAGCTCTTAGTTCTGTTGTAACCTAAGCTGTAGGCTGTAGGCTGTGGCTTTGTCTGCATAGTTCTATAAGCTCCTTTTTTTTGCAGTGGTGAATAGTAAATAAATCAGCTACCTAAATTGGAAATAGTGTCGCTTTTAAGATCTATAGATACTTTTTGTTTTATTCACATTCACCTGTGTAGTTATTTAGGTATAGTATTTTTAATAATATATCCTTGTTCATCAATCATGAATCAGATGAAACAAAAAATTACCAACCAATCACAAATCAGTAAAACGACTGGTACTTTCAAATGGGTATTAAAAATACTATACCCTAGCTCAGCCTATTCTATTTCAATTATCTATTACTTATAATTAGCTTCAAACATCAGTATAACTTTTCGATTATTAACTTTTAACGGATAACTTTAACTTGCGTTATATTCTCAAAAATTTAAAGATTTACATTTATCGAAGTTAACTTTTCAAGTAGCGAATTAACGATTAACGAAGTTAACTTCTCGGTTAACTGTGCCCACCTCTGCATATAGATGTAGAGAAACACTACAAAATTCTAAATTACGATTGAAACTTTCTTAAATACATACCTACTGTTTGATCTAAAATACAAATGATGTTTTCCTAAATTATATAACTTGGTAATTCAAAAATTTATTTGCTGCTTTCTTTAGCTAATTTCATTTTCCTAAACTACATTTAAAGCATTTCGAAATTTAACTGGTCATTCAAAAATACTAATATGATGCTTTCTTAAATATAATTATTTATTCCATTATTCATGTGGGGATTTCTTAAATACAAGTGACTATCCTAAAATACAATTGAAGATTTCTGAAGTACTTTCGGAAAATGTTCCTCAGACTTTCGGTTTTAATCTATTCTCGCTGAGATTTTAAATTTTCTTGAAACTGGTCCTCTGTTCTTCCTTTTCTTCTGGCTGTTTCTTGCTTTTCTTCTTGCCCATGGGTCGTTCACATATATTATTTAAGTGAGTTGTTCAAGTCGATTGAACTCGAAAAGTTGAACATGTTTCAACATTGGTTTCAACTGAGAAGCCATTGAATAAACGCGATCAAGTGACATGAATAAAGGGGTTTAGTTTTCTTCTTCTTGTTTTTCTTTCTGTCTTCGGTTGTCGTCTCTTGAGTCAGGGAAAGATGAGGAAGAAGGTGATCCAAGTAATATAGAGAAACGAGTAACAGAATCCAGGAGGCTCTAGAATTTTTTCTTGAATTTTGCTCCTGGCAGAGCCAGAATCATGTGTTTTTCTTCCAGAATGAATTTTCTCTGTTTCCATAATTTTCTCTATTCCAAGCTTTCGAATTTAAAAATTTCTGCTTCCTATGGTTTATCTTACAAAATGTATTTTCTGTGCTTTCGTTTCATAAGAAAAATGAATATTCAATAGCCTGGAATAAACAAAAGGGACCTCTATTGTCGCCACTTAGCAAGTAAAACTTTTTGGGTTTCATTAACTTTTCAATGAAATTCTTGAATTCCATAATTTTTTCTATATCCTATTGAGCTCTTGTGAATTTTTCTCAGTTTTTTCCTAGCTCCCCTTCTTGAAATTGAGAGACTCCTCTAAGATTCAAATAGTGGCTCATAGCAGTCATAGCTTATTTCCATTAACAAAAATAAATAGTATATTATATAGGTACCTATAGGTAGAGAAGTTGGTCATTATAGGTGTTTTTTCTCGCTTAAATTGGTTGAACCAGGTTGAACCTAATTCAAAACATTACATTTTCGCGTTGAACCAATGACGTCATAACCAAACTGTTTGAAAATATTTTGAAACGAGATTTCGCCTCGGTTCAAAAACAAACGCATGCGCAATAGTTTAGGAAAGTTGACAGTTTGTTGTTTATGTTTATACTTGTGCTGTGTCTTTTGTAGCAGGTTATAAATGATGAACAGAACACTCTCAAATTTTTTGAGAAATAGAAAATAGGCTATTAGGGCTATGGCTAATTACTAGAAAAAAAAAGAACAAAAATCCTAGGTTAGGTATGTATGGTTGAATTCTGGTTTGAAAACCTCATTTTTTCTCGAATGAAAGTAATGACGTCATTTTTAAATAGGTTCAAAACTGATTTCAAAAATATTTCGAACTGTTGGGGTCGAGAAAAAACACCTTATATACCGATCGCTGAAGCGCCAAGGTTTATAATGCGCAAAATATATAATGACTTTCTCTACCAAAGAATATAGGTATAGAATTTTTTTCAGTACTGTGCTAGTAGAAAATAGAAGATGGGTTTGAAATCTGTGCTCAAATTATTTTTCCTGAATGCCTTGTTGTCATTGAACTGAACAAACACTCTGGAACTCTGGAATGGGCGCACTGCTTTATGCTAGTGTGCCGAATTTTGATATATGCAACCCAGCAATACAGAGGGATTGTTGTCTCGCTCGCACTCATTGCGATTAACGTAAAAGAAAGAAGAGCTTCTTCATCTTCCTAACCTCAATGATCCAAACACTTCAAACAGAAAGGACAACAAACAAGAGGGATTTGCATCTCTCTCTGTACTATGGCCGAGTTCGTTTTTTCATCTTTTTCGTCGATTTGCTCTGAAATTTTGACATGGTGACTGGATAAGACAGTTTCAGTTCACAAATCACGTGCCTGTCAAAAATTCGGAACAAATCTACGAAAAAGATGACAAAAACCAACTCGGCCATGGTACAGAGAGAGATACAAATCCCTCTTGTTTGTTGTCCTTCCTGGCATAAACCCTTGCGTAAAAACAATTATGAAGTCACCGTTCCAGTGTGTTTGTTTAGTTCATTGTGCCTTGTCGAAAGTGGTGCCCTCTATCAATAGCTTATGATAATTTCCTATGATCTACATACAGGAACCTGTTTTTTTTTCCAATTGACATAGTCTGAAATTAAGGCTGTGGTCCGAATATAACCAGGGTTGTGGTTTCGCAGTCCGAAAGTAATCAAACTACTCTGGTTCCTGGCAAAGTAGTTACTTTTGGACCTCAGTTTCCTGAAATCTGGTTAACCAAATGTCAAAATAGTTACCGGCCATCGGATGTCGGTTCTGTTGGTTTTATCTGTAATTTCTGTCAATTATTTTTCATTTCATATTTGCGTTCCCCAAGTAACCGGAATTTTCATTAACCATCTGTCAACCGATTCGGTTAGTTTGATTAACGTTTGGTTATATTCGGACCATAGCCTTAAATTAAATATTAAACCAATAGAAACCGGGTACCTAAGTCATGAAAATTTCCTTACGTCATGACGCATTTTCATCATTATTGACCTAGTTTTTTTCTTTCATTATTTTCATATTTAACCTAGGGAGAGAAATTCAATTTTTTCCTGGTGGTAGAAAAAATCTATTATATAGGGCATAAGCACGTGGAATATTTGAATTCAATGAAATGCCTCTGGGAAACCCAGCTTTTATTAGTAGAGACTTTTGTTAGCAGATGGTGCAGGAAATTACCAAAAAATACAGTGACTCTATTACCCACAGTGGCGACAATTGCTGTCTTATTTTTGATTGGTTCTAAAATCCCATATATTTATATTGAAAACGCGGCCATCTTGTTCCCACTTATTGCTTATTTCAAATATGAATATATGGGATTTGGGTGAACATTCATCATAAAACATGAAAAACAACATATTTGATGGACCTAATAATAGTCATCAAATACGTCGATTTCAATTTTGTATGATAGATGTCCATTTAAATCCTATATAATAATATTTAAAAGTAACAAGCTTTTGAGAACAAAATGACGGCGGGACCTCTATTGCGCCACTGTATCTAAAGGTTTAATCAGCCACTGTACCAAAAAATACAGTGGCTAAATAATCCTTTACATACAGTGTAGGGATGTCAATAACCGGTGGTTAAAACCGAAAAACCTGTTTTCTTTTCGGTTAACCGGTTAAAACCAGTTGTTTTTTGCTTCCAGTTATAACCGGATAACCGGGTTTCATACCTTATATAACCGGTGAAAGTGAAACATGTAGACTTTTCTCTTGTCTTATTAAATAAATCGTAAAATTCTCAATGGGTACATGTTTAAAATGACAGAAGAGAAGAAAAGTGTAGGTATTCTTTGATGATTTTTCTTAACATGTAACAGTTCCCGATTTTTTTTTACAATAAAGATATATTGTTGTTCAACTAATTTTACATTATAGTATAAATAATGCAATTATTCTGATAAAATTCGGAGAAATAACTGAACAACCAGTTAATCGGAATAACCGGTGTTTTATATCAGTTATAACCGGGCAGTTAAAACTGTTACTAAATTAACCGGTTAATGGAAAAACCGGTGTTTTGATAAAAATTGACATCCCTAATACAGTGGCGACAATAGAGGTCCCGTCGTTATTTTGTACCCAACCTCTTGCTACTTTTAAATATGAGGGGTCAGACCGGGCACCACATCAATCTATGTCAAAAACACTGTATGCAGAAAATTTTTGAAAATTTGACAGTATACTAATGTCGATGGGAGCAACCCGGCTTAAATATTTTGGAGATGGTGGCACTTTCGGTTATACCGGAAGTAGCGTCAGCCGTTAACTTGCTTATTTTAAATGAGACACCCCGTATAATGATTGCATATTTGAATTCTACTTAAAATTCTGAGCAGACTTCATGTGATATACCCGCCTATACCTAAGTTCAACTATTTTAGAATTATTGACAGTCGAAAATTGACTTTTCGCAACTTTGAGAGGCTGTAAAACCTAAACGGTTAATTTTCGAGGAAAACCAATTTTACATTCCTGTCTTAGATTTCCATAAACTATCATTTGACATCAACTTTGAATTTAATCCATGATTGGTGGCAAATGATAGTTTATGAAAATCTAAGACAGGAATGTAAAATCGGTTTTCCTCAAAAATTAACCGTTTAGGTTTTACAGCCTGTCAAAGTTGCAAAAAGTCAATTTTCGAGTGTCAATATTTCCAAAACAGTTGAACTTAGGAGGTATAGGGTGTATGTATCACATGAAATCTGCTCAGAATTTTACGTAGAATCCAAATATGCAATCATAGACAGGGTGTCTCATTTAAAATAAGCTAGTTGACGTCTACTTCCGGTATAACCGGAAGTGCAACCATCTTGAAAATATTTGAGCCGGGTTGCCCCATTGCACAGCCCCCTACACTTACAAGCCATGAAGTTGGAAATGACGGCAACGTCGCGTATGGTGCTATTTTGTTATCGAGGTTTGTTTCTGTGTATTACGTTCATTGTGTATTGTTGCAGTTTAGTATTTTTGTGGGCATTATTGACGAAAAAGTGGATAGAAACACACCGATATTGCCCATATTTAGTTGATACCTGTTCCTTTGTGCTTTGATTGCAAATTTTCAGCAAATGGGTACAGCAGCAAAAATGAAGGTTAGGTAAGGTAAAACAATATTAATATTTGTGTACAAGAGCATAGGTCTCGATATATTACCTAAGATATTTAAACTTGTTCCAGATGCCATGAAACTACTGTGTTCCTGGGTGCAAATCATAACTATTAGGAGTTCCTTGAAAACTGAAGAAATGCAAACATTTATTTCCAAAAAAATTCTGAAATGCAGAAGTTGTGGATGAAAGCAATACACCAAGATAATTATACCCGAGATTGGCGAGATTATACCATAACGAAAAATTCTGTGGTGTGTTGTGAACATTTTGAAGAAACCGAAATAATTACATTTGAAACAAACAAGAATAAAGGAGTAATTCGAGAGTTCAAACTAAAACGTCCAACTCTTAAAAGTACCTCTTATTTTCGGAAATCAGCTCAAGTATTTGAATAAACCTGCCTTCTGAAAAAATCCCGAAGAAAGAAAAATATAGATTTTCAAAAGACATACTGAAACATAGGCTTATAACACTTTAGAATCTAGAAATATATTCATTTAAATCAATTATTTACTGTTCTTATTTACACATATAGTTATATTATTCATTGAATTACTGTTTTTGACCCTTTAGTACAATAAATGATGCATTTTTTGTCATTATTATTAACAAAATAAAAAATATATACTTATAAAAACAAACACCACTAGCACCACTTGGCGGTAAGATTGCGGTGTTTCCTTTTTAACTTCATGGCTTGTTAACTGTAGGAGGCTGTGCCCATTGACATTAGTATACTGTCAAAGTTACAAAAATGTTCTGCATACAGTTTTTCACATATAGATCGATGTGGTTCCCGGTGGGCCGTGGGGTGGGACACCCTGTATAGGATTTAAATGGACATCCATCATAAAAAATTGAAAACAACGTATTTGAATTGCCTAATTATGATCATTGGATACGTTGTTTTTAATTTTATGTGATGGATGTCCATCTAAATCCTACATATTCATATTTAAAAGTAGCAAGAGGTTGGGCACAAAATGGCGGAGTTTTCCATATGAATATGGCAATTGTCGCCACTGTGGTAATAGAGTCACTGTACCAAAAAATACAGGACTCTATTACCACAGTGGCGACAATCGCCGTCTTATTTTTGATTGGTTCTAAAATCTCATATATTTATATTGAAAACGCCGACATTTTGTGCCCACATTTTGCTTATTTCAAATATGAATATATGGGATTTAGGTAAACATATCCATCATAAGAAATAGGAATGTTCACTATTTTTCAATTGTAATAAACAGTGGTGCTTCTAGGTCCACAAAACACCTATTAAGCGTTAAAACATCTTCTATAATATTCGTATTTAAAATTAGCAAGAAATGGGGTACAAAATGGCGGCGGGATCCAAAGTTGTTTGAGAGAGGTAGGTTGCCTCAAGGTTGTTGCAGAGAGGTAGGTTGCCTGATAACTTTATGACGTCATCTGGAGGGGCTCAACATACCGCGTGTGGCTTAATTCATCTTAATGGTGCACCGCCACGGATGCGGTGATTAAAATTCACTAATGCCAATGCCAAACCACAGCTTGTCAAACCCTGTTTAATTTAACAGCAATGCTTTTTTTACCATTCCACGACGGTACCTACACCAGCTGAATTTAGCCACACGCGGATAATGCAAATCTCCATAAGGCACCCCAGACGCGTCAACAGGTAACCCATTACTAGGCAACCTATGAACTTTGGGAACCTTGGGTTGCCTGATAACTTTATGACGTCATCTGAGGTTTCTCAACATAGTGTAAGGTACCCCAGATGTGTCATCAAGTTACCCATTATCAGCAACCTATCAGCTTTAGGAATCTTGGGCGGCACCTCTATTGTCGCCACTGTTTGTAAAGGTTTCCGTCTATTTATTTTGTACATGCCATACATGCGGCAGCCATATTCAGGCAATACATTTTGATTGTTGTCAGTGGCCAAAAAATCTTTGAAAAGTGAAACGTGAGAAGATTCCTAATTAAAGGAAACGACTCTAGCAACATATGAGCATCTGTGGTGACGTCACGCTTATATGAGCACAAAGCGATTTGATAATTACGTTGTGCAATTGATTATTTCATTAATCCTCCGTTTTTCTCATTACAGTCATATAACTTTATCTCTCTTGCGGCTTTGAAAAATCACAAAAAAGTACCCTAATCACTACAAAAATCTCTTTTTCTTCCAAACAAACAAATATTTAAATGATAAATGTAATAAATAACGATATTATTTTGCTTTTTAGAAAAATCTCGGAAGAACTAGTACCGCCCGGCAGTCACGGCATCTTCCGGCCGAAACCGCAACACCAAGATTACTCGTCGTCGACGCTAGGTGGCTACGCGCGCGCCGCCACAAATTCCATCGGCACCTCGATCGGTAATCTAGGCAACATCCTCTCCAGGAAAATGGCGGCGTCGACCTCGCAACCGTCAGTGCCCTGGCCAAATTCCAAAGATGATTACGAACTCGGAAAAGTTATCGGTTAGTTGATTAGTTAGTTGAATTCAGCGTGAAAAATCCCTTAATTTGGTGTATAATACTTTAGTGATCATTCCGGTGTTGTGCAAGTAAATTTGGTAATTTGAGTGGCGAGCTTGTAGGTTATGTACCGTTTTCGGTGTTTGAGGATTCCGGTACCAGTTTTTTTTTTTTTTTCTGCTTTGCCTTTAAAAGGAGGTTTTTCAATCGAATACGGACTGGTTCTTCAGCACCATCGCTCGATTACGTTCCTACATGTCTCCGCACATAACTGCTATTTGATAATTATTAAAAAATCCCTGAAAATCTTACCATATGCACTCCAAAATATCAGGAGGCAATTAAAAAACTATTTACATTTTCAGAATGTTTGTCGTAATGAGTAATTAATTGTTAATCGTGACCCCATTTACAGCTACAATTGGAAAGCATGTATATTTTTAATTTTAAGAGCCAAGGTTCACTGACATCTCAAACTAAATATTTACTATTACTCGATATTTATTCTATAGTTCTGTAGTTCTGATACCTTGAAGTATTTTTCTGGAGCTTTTAAAGTTTTACATGTTTCTACTTATATAATTTTATTTCTGATCATCAAATGCACTTCGGGTTTATTTTATTTAATAAAAATACCATATTCAATGAATTCTGGAAATTTCAAGTGGCTCTGATTCCTTCAAGTCAGAAGTGGCAGACAAAATGAATAATGCATAAAAATATAGATCAAAAACACAAATATCCATCAAAAATTTAATTTTCTATCCACCACAAACAGTTTAGGTATTCATACTTTTCTCTGATGTTGATGGTTGAATAGCAGATGATTTCCTGGCCTGTATATGATATCAAATTTGTAGCATGATAATTCTATTTTCCAACGCATTATTTAAAATTTTGTGTCACTTGAGCACCGATGGCAAAATCAGAAGCATCTGTTTCCTCATCTGTTTCCACTGTAAATGAAACATTTTTATCGACGAACTTTACAACAGCATCAATAATACACTTTGTTTCACGAGGGTCTATACTTTGGCATAATTTAACTTCCTTTTCTAACAAATAGAAATCGTTTAGTGTTAGATTATACTTTCTTGTAATATTCATGAATTTTTGTAAATTTTTATCATGTTCATTTTTTCTTTTACCACAAATGGTAATGTTGTCCAAAAATGTATAAGTATCAGATAGTCTTTCATTATTTATGATATTGTTAATTATATGTTGAAAGCAGACTACTCCATTTGTACCAAATGGAATTCTTGTGAATTGATACAAGTTTTTACATGCTTCAAGGCCAGTATAAATTCACTCAGTTTTCAAGATAGGTATTTTATATTATGCGCTATGTAATTCTATGGAACTGAAATATTCATATTGTGAAATTTGACTGATTATTTTATCAATATTAGGTAGTGGATATGCATATAATAAAGTGAACTGGTTGATTGTTAACGAATAATCAACAACCATACGTTTCTTATGATTTGAGTTGCTTGTCACCAAAACTTGTGCTCTCCATGGTGAATTATTTGGTTCAATGATGTTTTCTTTCAATAATCTTTGTATTTCTGTTTCTATAACTTTGTAGTCATCATTAGAACACCGTCTGGATTTAATAGCAATAGGCTGGCAATTTTTTGTTTACAAACTGCGGATAAGGTCGAATATTTGCAGTTATTAGATTTGATTGATTTCCGCTAAAACTGAATTCTACTCCTGAATGATTTGGAATAATATGATCTCCAATTATAACATCAGAACAAAGATTTTCTAAGACATACAACATCAATTAGTGCATCAGTTGGAATATGATTGACTTCAATTTTAATAATAGCTTTCGATAAGCAAGATGTTGATGCAGCTGACATCATTCCAATCATGGCAGCTGAAGTTTTATTTGAATCATGAGATTGTCTTTGAAGTTTTGATCTACATACTTGTGTGCGTGCAATCTTTCCACAGTTCCACAGGAATGACAGATCACATCTCTTGCTGGGCATTTATCTCTAGAGTGTCTGTTTTTTCCCACAAAAATAACATTTTGAAGTAATTACGGCAAGTGTTGTATCCTTTCGTTCATTTGATTGTTGAACATAAGTCGATGGTTGATTTGATACAATCGTATTTATGTATGAATTTGGGGTATAATATTCTGACTGTTGTTGAGCCATGTCTAAAGATCTAGCTGATTTATGAGCTTCTTCTAGGTTCAGAGTCGTATTTTCTAAAAGTCTTTGCTTAATGTGAGATACCACGAATAAATGACTCTCTTATGTAGTCATTTTTATTCTGTTTAGCAGTGACTGCTTTAAAATTACAGTCTTTACTTAATTGTATCAAAATTTGTGAGTACTGGTATATAGATTCACTTACTTGCTGGATAAAGTATGACGGGCAAAAATTTCACTTTGTGTTTTTACATACAGTGAGGACATAAAGTCCGTCGCCCCCCCTCTAACTTTTGAACCGCTCGGTATATTGCAACGAAATTTGAAATAATGATATGTGGCCGGCCAAATTCTCCATCTTCTGAAAAAAAATGACAGCTTCAGCTATCAAAATGACAGCTGAGCGCAGTTTTGAAACATTTTTTCAAATAGAAGGCGGTGTCAAGTGATAGATCGATTTAAAGGTCTCTTTATTTTTAATTTAATCCCCGATTCTGAAAGCATTTGGTTTAGTGGTTTTCAAATGATGGCATTACGTCATTATTATTACTGAAAAAAAAAACAATAATGAGTAAAAAACCGATAAAAAATTTTTAATTTTTTTTTATGAGTGTTTATGCGCAAAACAAGCCTTTGTTTTTTCGTCATCATTTGAAAACCGCTTAACCAAATGTTTTCAGAATCGGGGATTAAATTAGGAATAAAGAGACCTTTAAAACGATATATCACTCGACACCGCCTTCTATTTAAAGCTGTCATTTTGACAGCTGAACCTGTCATTTGCATTTCAGAAAATGAGGAATTTGCTCGAATATCATCATTCCAAATTTCGTTGCAATATACCGAGCGGTTCAAAAGTTAGAGGGGGGGCGACGGACTTTATGTCCTCACTGTATAACTTTTCGAGTATGGCAGCTGCTTCTAAATAGGAAATACATTCAATAATAGACTGAAGAACTCACATAGTTTACTAGAAGGTTTGTAGTAAAGAACCTTCAGAATTAAGGCTTTAAAAACCGTACAGTACAGTTCAGTACAGATTATTCTGACAATAACTGACAACATGACATACAACATAACAGGTAAATAAATAGGAAACAAATGGCATTTCTGGTTGGAAGAATGAGTGCAAATCGGTGCAAATAATAGGTCTGTTTCTGCCGAAATCACAAACCAGTCAGAGTGAATTTTATTGGTTGAAACTAGTTTTCTGACTGTTTTCAACCAATGAAATTCGCTCTGACTGGTTTGTGATTTCTGCAGAAACAGACCTAATAGTAAAGTCTGTTTTTTTTTTAAAAGATAAAAGTCAAAATGACATTCTGTTGGCAATACAATGTAAAATTGACAAGCTTTCAAATTTTTATGTAGAAAAGGCTTGTGTTGCCAACATAGTTACTACTAAAATTTTGACTGGGAATTATCTTTAAAAAAAAAAACTTTATATTGTTGTATTAGGAGTAGAAGCTTTACTTTTTTGTGCTGAAACAGTAGGTTTGCGAGCCGAACGTAGTGAGGCTTGCAATACTGCTGAAGCACAAAAAAGTGCTTCTACTCCGTATGCGACACGCTATTTTTTCTCCAAACGAATGCAGTAAGCTCGGGGGTAACTGAATGCTTAAGCGGCAGTAAAAGTACGAGCGGCACTAAAAGTACTTTTGCTGCCGCTCCAGCGGCACTAAATAGTTATTTATGTACCAAGGCTTGTAAGTGTTACTTTTTTGGCCGAGGATGCAGTTTGCAAGCCGAGGCCCGTAGGGTCGAGGTTTGCAAGCATTTGACATCTAGGTATTTTCTATTTGTTTCAATAAAATTGTATCCTTGATTTGTTTAGGGTTTTTTATTTAAGAAATCGAGTGTTTTTGTGACATTATTTTGACAGAGATATGAACCAAGCAATTTTCACCTTTCACATCAACACTTTTTTGACCCGGTCAAAAAAGTAACTTTTTTGACCCGGACTGTAAGTGACACTTACAGTTCATGGACGTAGGTCAAAAAAGTCAACTTACAGAATGGGTAGCACAAAAAGTACTTCTACTGCCGCTGCGGTTGCCTAGCAGCATAGAAATTAAATCTCTACCACCTTGACAGGTGCTAACCTGCTGGATTTGCCTAGCAGCATATAAATTAAATTTCTGACATCTTGACAGGGGTTAACAAAGTGACGTTTTTTTGACGTTTGGAGAAAAAATGTATTTCTATCTGTTTCTTCAACAAGCTGAGACCTCGGCTGAGACACTAAGAGAAAGAGATGGAACTACATTCAGTGCGAATTAAATCTACCAATCAGAAACGCCATTAGTAAATAAGGTAATGAGATATACAACACTAAGGGCCGGTCTATTCACCTTCTGGTAAACTGTCAGGTAGATAATCTGACGGATAAAAATGAAATTTGTAATCTCATTGGTCTGCCAGTTATCCGCCGACTCCTAGAATTATTGAATGGTAAATTTATCTTGCAGATAGTTACCAGCAAGTTTATCTGAAGAAGGGCCTCAGTATAAAAATAAATAATAAATCTATATAAATAACAAACAAAAAAAAAACTATCAAGAAATCTGTCTTAAATATCCGCTCAACATCCTATTAAACACTTGCACAAACAACATAAAACTTCTGAAGACTTATATTTCTGCTTAGGACAAGTTTGGTCATGATTTAGGATTTTGAAAAGTTTACTTTCATCAACTACTGACAGCGCCTTCTCATCAATGATTGCTATTAGGAAATTTTTGGAGATCTGCATTAATACCTAATTAGATTTTGAATTGAATACTCACTTTAGCAGGGTGGCAAAGAGTTTTGGTGAGATTGTATTATTTCAGATAGACTTTCTACTAATAAAACCTGCTAATTCTAAAAATTCTTCAAAGGTGTTGGAGCCACAGCAGTAGTACATGGAGCCTACTGCAAGCCGCGCAACGAAAAATGTGCCATCAAGAGGATCAACCTGGAAAAATGGAACACTTCCATGGACGAATTACTTAAGGAAATTCAAGCCATGTCCTCTTGTAACCACGAAAACGTCGTTACTTACTACACAAGTTTTGTGGTTAGGGAGGAACTGTGGCTGGTTTTAAAATTGCTGGAAGGCGGCAGTCTTTTGGACATAATCAAGCATAAAATGAGAGCGTCGAATTGCAAGCACGGCGTTTTTGATGAGGCTACAATTGCCACAGTTTTAAGGGAAGTTTTGAAGGGGTTGGAATATTTTCACAGCAATGGACAGATACATCGGTTAGTCTTTTAATGTGTTACTCAAATGCAAAAATTCAATGTAAATTATTCTTAGGGATATTAAGGCTGGTAATATCTTATTGGGCGAAGATGGTACAGTTCAAATAGCTGATTTTGGGGTTTCTGCTTGGTTGGCAACTGGCCGAGATCTTTCCAGAGAGAAAGTCAGGCACACTTTTGTTGGGACACCTTGTTGGATGGCTCCAGAGGTTATGGAACAGGTTTTAAATGTTTCGATTGGAAATTGAGTTTTCGCTAAATATTTTTTTCTAGGATCATGGCTACGATTTCAAAGCGGATATTTGGTCTTTCGGTATAACTGCTATCGAAATGGCTACAGGTACCGCACCTTATCACAAATATCCTCCTATGAAAGTGCTTATGTTGACGCTTCAAAATGATCCGCCTAATCTTGATACTGGTGCCGAGGAAAAGGATCAGTACAAGGTAAAAACAGTTTATTTTGTGATATCTTTGTTTGATTTTACGTGCTTTATGGTTTATTTGCAAAATTAGGCATGGTTATCATTGTTTTTTCTGTTTAGTTTTAGAACAAAAGCTTCCATTGAAAATGTTAATTTTTAGCACATAAACTACCAATTTGCATAGCAGACGTGTTTTATGACCAATTTATTTGATAAATTATTTACCTCAGCAAGGTCAATAGTCTTGTGTACCTATCTAATTTTGTGATTTTACAATTATTGTTTGTATTCTTGGACTGGTCAAAAGTAATATGGATTTATTTATATGTGCAGCAAAAATTGTTTGTTTATATCAAGAAAAATGTTTCAACACTTTGTACATTTTGATATGTGTATTTTTTAATGTTTGAATTTAGGCATATGGTAAAACATTCAGAAAAATGATCACCGATTGTTTGCAAAAAGAAGCGGCAAAAAGACCGACCGCGGCCGATCTTCTAAAACATCCGTTCTTTAAAAAGGCCAAAGACAAAAAATACCTTCAACAAACCCTGGTCGCTATCGGTCCTAGTTTAGAGACCCGAGTACAAAAGGTAACTCAAACTGACCCAATTTGCAATCGATTTGAATAATATAGATTTCTATAGGCATCTAAAAGACAACCGGGAGCTTCGGGCCGTCTTCACCGAAAGGAAACTGGCGAATGGGTGTGGTCCAGTGAAGATGAAGATGGTGGCGATGGCAGTAGCGAAAGCGACACTGATTCGAAACCAATGAACACGTTGGTTTCTGCTGGATCGTCAGGATCGGATCATGAGAGTAGCGAGAGTGATCCGCCTCCGGTTAATTTAGTGTTAAGGATGAGGTAATATTCACCGAGTTGTTGATGTTTTATGAAATTTTTGATTTTCTTTTCTAGAGGGCGTCCCAAATCAGTTCCTTATAGGTTAGTTACCTTTTTTGTCCTTTCCTTATTCAACTCCTTTCATTTATTTTTTTGATTATTGATCTGGTTTCAATTGATAGACTTTAGGCTTTTTTTCGCAACATAATTTTTTCAAAGGTTATGTTGTTTAATATGAGGATTACCCAATGAAATTTGCATTACCCACACACTCTCTGTTTGACCGCCGAGCAGAGACCAGTTTGTGTGTCTCGAATTTCACATTGCTTTAACCTGTTATTTCTGAACACTTAAAAACTATCATCGCAACCACCAGAACGCCTCCTCTCGGAACTAAACCCTCGAGTAAGAGGAATGTGTACGATTAAGACGATGAAAATGCCTCTTTGGTCTCCTTTGCGTACGACAGCTCCACAGTTTACATGCTGAAGGAGAAAATGAAAAGCTTTAAAACTAAATTACGCATATTTCATGGCAAGTGTAGTGAGTGCCATTGATTTGACCAGGAATTACGAGAAATGAGAAATGACGACCAGCATCAAAACTGGCTACTACAATGAACTAGCTGAACTCAATAGTAAATATTTCCAAGCTACTCAAAGCATTAAACAGATACATTTCACTCCTCAAACAGTGCAATGGTGACAAATCGCAAATATTGCAAGTCACCATGCAATTTTTCTCCAATTGAATTCACAGTTTTAACTTTTAATGTGGCTCATACTAAGTTGGAACTGTAATGGTCTGAACTCGAAGAAGGGAGACCTATATCAAGCCATGGACCATTACAGTCCCAAACTAGTCTTTTTAAACAAGGCAAAACTACTACCAACGGACAGCCTTAAACATAAACAGAACGAATGGACACATAGAATCCGGCTCCAAATCTCAGAATAATTTAGTGTATGGAGTTCGGGGGATCCCAAATGGGGACCATTAGGGCACAAAATCTCAATCTCAATCAGCGATTCTTATCCCATTAGCGGGCTAAAATCCCTGAAAATTTTAGTTCAATTGGACTTATAGATTCCGAGAAAAAATCGCGTGAAGGAAATCCGCGGGTATTAGGCGGGAGCTAAATCTTCTGAGTGCCTTTTTTCATAGAATCCGGCTCCAAATCTTGGAATAATTTAGTTTTTGGAGTTCAGGGGATTACAAGGAACCATTAGGACACAAAATCTCAACAAAATTTTTTTTTGAAATTTCATCATTTTAGTAAGAAGGTAGCTTTATGATTTAAATTTTGGAAAACTGTGAAAGGTCATTACTTTTTTTTTCTATTAAAGATAGAAAGCTGAAATTTTCAGCGATTCTTATCCCACTGGCGGGCTACAATCCCTGAAAATTTTAGCTCAATTGCACTTATAGATTCCGAGAAAAAATCGCGTTAAGGAAATCCGCGGGTATTGAGCGGAAGCAAAATCTTCTGAGTGCCTTTTTTCATAGAATCCGGCTCCAAATCTCGGAATAATTTAGTTTATGGAGTTCAGGGGATCACGAAGGACCATTAGGACACAAAATCTCAACAAAAAAAAAATTTCATCGTTTTAGTAGTAAGGTAATATTTAGATTTTGGAAAACTTTGAAAGGTCATAACTTTTTTTCTATTATAGATAGAAAGCTAAAATTTTCAGCGATACTTATCCCAGTGGCGGACTACAGTTCCTGAAAATTTCAGCTCATTTGGACTTATAGTTCCAGAAATAAAATCGTGTTAAGCAATCTGGGTTGATTTATCAATTTTTCAATTTTTCTGAGTGCCTTTTTACAACTACTTAATACAAAAATGCAACATAATCTTTGGAAAAATTATGTCGCGAAAAATGCCTTTTATTTGTCTACTGACCAGTTAAAAAAGTGAATTACCATAAAATTTATTATTCCAGGAATGCCAAACGTGAATTGAATGACATCAGGTTTGAATTTGCAGTTGGTAAAGATTCCGCAGAAGGCATAGCCAGTGAATTGGTAGGAGCGGGTCTAGTAGATGGAAAAGACATAACCGCTATAACCCAGAATCTACAAAAGCTTATTGAAAAAAGACATTCACTAAAAGTGGTAACTTTTCAGTTGGTGAGTTATTTCGATTTTTTTTTTTTTAATTATTTTGTTAAATTAATTTTTTTCAGCAATCGGGTGTGGCTAGTAATGAAACGCCCGACGATAAGGCCCTTATAGGATTCGCCCAGATTTCCATTACAGACTGAAACAGACTGGATTTTAATGCAGTTTTTCTAATTTATACATACCAATTTGTCTTCTGAAATCTACTGATCATTTGAATTGATTTTTGTTTTAGTTCTATGTATTTTGATTTAATAACATTTCGATTTTAATAAGGAATTTTTGTAAAAAAATGATATTTTTTGAACCAGTCATATTTGAAAACTCCAACCATTTTTTTTACTAGGTATTGTCATTTTTATTTTTGTCTCATGATCAATAGATTTCATTTAATTGTACTTAAAGTTCCAAAAAAAAACCTACTGTTGAAATTTTTTATTGTTAGATTTTGCTTGTATGTATTGTAAGTTTAATTCTTTACCTATTCCCCCTTTTAGTCTTTAATAGTGGTGCGTTCTTATAAGGTTAGTACTTTTCCCAACATTTAAATTGAAAACATATCTTTGACTATAAGGAATTTGGAACATTGTCGAGTGCTAACTTTAAAAACAAACCCACCAAGTATGTTTGAAGTTTCAACTTTTTAATTTTAAATAAATAAAGTTGTTTAATGCCTATTTTAGAATATTTTCGCTTGTTAAGGAATTGATAGTACTTTCTAGTGGGCCTATTAAAGGTAACGCAGGCGTGCCAACAATTATTGCGTTTTGTAGTTATCAACATTTTAATTAATCTGGATAAATAATTATTGTAATCTTATTATTTTGGGAATGGCAAAACAAAAAATAAAGTCTGTAAATATTATTTATTTATTCCAAAAATAAATTTAGTTGCAATATTTTAAATTAGGCGTTTTTTTTTTTTTGTTTCCTTTTGTACTCTTTTTGATTTGGAAATCTAGACTTTATTGTATTTCAATTGATTTTGGGTTTTCTACAAAGCATAACTTAAGAAGTTTGGTTTGGGGCTTGGGTATGATCAATTTAAGTCAAAATCTCATCAGAATGAGATTTTGACTTAAGTGATCATTTTGGTCCTCATTATTATTATTTAATGCGTATCCACTAATGAATATTTGTGATAACATTTTCGATTGCTTCTCTATTCCTTGCGGTGTGTATTAACGACTGCACGCATCATGTAGCCCTGTCCACTGACAAGACTTGTGTAAGTGGATCCGGGATAATGGCTAAATCATTTACACACAACAGATATGATATGAATTTCCAGTACTCTGACTCAAACGTACCATTGCAATCACTTGTCGAACAGTTCAGTCCATTATGTAAAAACTTCTCAAAAAATGATTTTGTTATCGTCTTTCCTGGGTTGGTTAACGAAACAAATCATCCTAACGGCGAAATCTCACATCATGGAAAAATCACAGTTTCGTATCAGAACGTCCATGGACTGAGATCCAAGACGGTACCATTTCAGCAAGAAGTACCGTCAAACGGGGTGACGTCGGACGCGTTTTGCTACATTTTTCATTGCAAACTTGACACCAAGATAGCTAATTTTTTGTAATTTTCGCTCAAAATGGCTCCAGCATCTAGGGAACATTTGGGATTCTGAAATTCTTCATATTATATGTAGTGGAGTAAAAACAAGGGAAAAAGTCGCTTCCTTCTCGATTTTTTTTTTTTGAGGTCTATCCACATGAAACCTATACAGGATGATCGGTTATGCTCTTGTGCATCTAAAATGGCTAATTACGACTTTTTTCGCGGGGGCAGACATTTTTTATCTCAAAAAATGTGACAAATATGTCAAAATGTTATTTTCGTGTTTTTTTAAACCCACCACGAATAACTCCGGAACTAATAAACCTATCAACATAATTTTTTTTTTATCGGTAGAGGACATATGAGCGGTGATAACTGTGCTAGTTTAAATCCCATAGTCACTCAATTTTTTTTGGAAACTGGATTGAACTCCAAATTGTACTTCAATTGCAGCATGTTTTTCGGTAAGCGAGAAACTTTTTTATTTGAACGAATTTTGCCATAGTATCTGCGTATGATATGACGAAAAAGTATCAAAAAAGTTTAAAAAAAAAAATTCAACCATCTGGAACAAATAGTTTTCTAGTTATCCTTGATTGAAGTTATGAATATCCCGAGCGCGCGATGTACCTGCTTGTCGGCGACGCCGACGACACGGGCGGACGTAGGGATTTTACTGCGGATTTGAAAGTTGGTGCTCGAAAGGTTCCAAAATTTAAAGAATTTATTAGATCTCCTTCAAATAAAACGGCATTAGTAAATTATTCAACCAAATATTTCTTGGAAAAGGGGCCTTCTATACTTAGCAATGAGAAAAAAATAATAATAATCCGAATTTGTTACAGTTTGGGAAGCAACGAACTTTTCTGCCTAGGCAGAAATAGTCCACTTTTCCGTCTCTAACTGGAAACCGGAGACGTTCGTGACACACCCGTCATTGAAGAAGTAGGAACTTAGGAACATTCAGAAATTAGTTGGGTACAGCGGGAGGATTTTCATGCATCCGTTTTTCCGTCGAAATATGTCCGTTTAACATTCTATTTTGACATATTCATGACATATTTATATACGATTATGTCAGAATAGAATGTTAAACGGACATATTTCGTCGGGAAAACGGATGCATGAAAATCCTCCCTAAGGCGTTCGGCAATCGCCTTTATAAATTCTATATCAAGCATTAATTATTATTAATTATATAATCCAGATATTCCCGGACATTTTCATCATGCGTCCGGACACCGGACAAACCTTTAAAAAACCGGACAGTCCGGGTGTAAACCGGACAGGTGGCAACCCTAGTCCGAAGACACTTCACTTTATGGTATATCAGGATGGTGTACATCAAATAGAACAGAAAGTCACTTTGATTATTGCTGCGTGTGATCTGGTCGCCATATTATTTACTGTTATAGTTGGTCTCATTTTTTTATATATGCCGGCAGTCTCCTTCAGTTTTTTGTGCAGGTTAAATAGGTACATCCGACATCATGTTGATTTTGCACCTGCTCTATCTCTGAGCATTCACGTTTGAACCATCCTAAACTTTGATCTTACGAGTCGAGTCTTTGAATATCCTTGATTGCTGTCTGTTTTGTTCTTGTGCTTCCGACATTCATCCATTAACAACAAAATCTCATCAGTCATCCATTTTTGTTCTTTGCTTTATTTCCTAATCTGTTTTACATTGAGTTTGTTGCAATGTCCGGGCTCTTCTCCAATATTTGATCTTATTGTTTGTATTTATGTGTTTATCTGATTACACATCTCAGATTTTATTATTGGGTCCCTCACTTTTTCTAATGCCACCTGTCGCTGTGTGGTTGGCTTTCTTTGACTTGACAGAGAGATTTTCAAGACAGCCACCAATAGTACATGATCAGAAGGCACATTTGCCCCCATGATATGTGACAGCTCTCTTAATGGTTGATCAGGATATCTATTTAGTTTCGCACTAAATTGTGTGGACGGTAGCAATGAAACACAATAATTAACAACTCATTTTCTTTACTTAATACTTTTTATTACAGAATCTTACAATTAAAAGAAATAAAATCCCTAAAATTAATTTTCAAGAAAAGATACAAAATCGGTGAGTTTAAACAACTCGCTGCTAGGCTGAGCTAGTGGTTTCAGAGCGGGCCTAACGGGGTAAATCATTTTCGTATCCGGTTCAACCCGCCATCCTTTTTCTATGCAAGCTTGTAGGCACGCGTCTGCCGGCAATCCGGTCATTACCAGAATTGTTTCTAATGTGATTGAAGTGTACGCTTTCGATATCAAATCGACTGCTCTTGATCTCACTATGACTGAAAATAATTTTGTAGAAATACTAATTACTACTAAAGAGTCCTGAATTACTTTGCACATTTTTCATAATCTCATCAACTGTCTCAGTCCAATTAACGGCATTTAGAGCTTTATAAGTTGCAGGGAAATCACTTTTCCACAAGTGTTGTCCTACCGTCCATATTTGTCCTAATTCTGGATAGGAAGTTTTAATGCTTACTGGTATTCTTTTCCATAAAAATTTGGCATTGCATCTGGAATAGGGAGTTTCATTATAAATGGTTATTATCGGTTTAATACTTACAAATCATTTTGATAGAGGTAAATGGCTAACAGCTGCGAATATAGTTGGGGGCTCCCAATTCCTGTGGGGGTCTAAAATGTAAAATTTTATCATAACCTAGGTTTTTTCAGGGCAAATATGGTTTTTATTATTACCTCCAACTCTTGACGTTCCAAATCTTCAGCTAGCTTATCTATATTATTTACAACCATTTTTTCTTTATGTATTATTTTAATTATTTACACAATGAAATAGTTTTAATTATTGTTTATTTTCTTAGCATTTCAAAATTTTAGAAGAATTGTTGTTATTTTTGTCAAAAAAAACAAATAATTTTGACAGTTGGCGTTTGACGTCTTCTTTTTTTTTGCTTCTGGCCTCAATAAAAAGGCGTTTTCGTTGTGTATTTGAGTGATTTAAGGTGGGTTCAGGATGACTGTTCTATTAACTTCAAGTGCAATAAACACTCCCGGTATTGTCATTTTGAGCTAAAAGAGTAACTCCACATGTATTCGGGAAGGACTAGCGGGAATTAAAAGAGTTGTTAGGATCAGGTTAAGGAAGCTCCAAAGGCACCCTGGCCGTTCGGTTTCACAAATCCACTCCAAAATCCACTCCAACTCTACTCCAGCTCCGCTGGTCCATCTCGAACTCAGCTTTGGTAAAGAAGGGTTTATCGATTGATAGGACTCGTTTTCGATACAATGTTCGTTTAGAAAAAAAAAGTCCGATTTTATTAGGGGCCGGTTTCTCAATAGCGAGTCACATCCGGGCTGGTTTTAACTCCAAAGTTAATGTGTTAATTTGCAATGTTTACCCTGGAGTTAGCTTAACCCGGAGGTAATCTGCTATTGAGAAACCGGCCCTTAGAGACAAACAGCGATACTTTCGATACGATATTTTTAAGACTGCCCAAGTCTACACTCCCAAGTCTATATACGGAACATTTTTGATCTGAGTGTGAGAGGCGACATCTACTACATAGATGGAAAAGTATTTGATTATTTTTTTACATCTGTCACTTGTCACTCTCTGTCATCACCAATGTCATCACAAATCACAATTATTTTTTTTTGGAGTAGGAAATTTTATTTCGCCGAATTGTGTTTTACTACTACTGTTTTAAATTGTTGCTAAAAATAAATATAAATAATAATTAGCAATTATCGAAGGACATCTGTTCTAATATAAAAACATTATTGGTTACGAAATTATACCGCAAAAATAGGGTCTTTTCGGCTTTTGATAATATGTGAGAGGGTGAAATTGGTAAGTGGTTTTTCTTTCCTATTCTTGCATCATTTTTTCTAAAATAAATATAGTTTGAAGTCATTTGTGAAAAACTAGAACAGCTATTTTAATTTCCATGCCGAAATATTCAACAATTTACATAATTAACTTCACTGTAATAAAACAGCAATTATTTATTATTATGTATAACCAAATTCTATCAGGTATGGTATACCTACTTTGGATAAAATTAACAGTCAATGTACCATATAAACTTGTAAAACCTTTTTAAGTAGTTTTCCATACATAGCCAATAGTTAATTTTCAGTGTTTAAATTAGATGCGTAATGTGTTTTTATTAACCTTGACATCCCAGCGTTAAGTTAGATTGGCCAGTTGTAGAAAATACTGCATTCGTTTTGTTTAAATGTTGTTACTAAAGCTTGAGAAAATTGAATCAAATTTACATCTATTTGCATCGAGGAAAACAAATAATTATTGTATTATTTATATGGACATAAGTAATCAAACATTTAGCTTGAAAAACGACCAAATTATGTAGGCATAGTAGGATTACTTGGATATAAACTCAAATATAGATTTCTAAAAACTCTGAGAAATCATATTACATATAGTGTGTTCCGCTCAAGGACTGACTACCCTTCTAAAATTTTTATTTGTAAACTGATCAATTTTTCTTTTTTTTTTGTCTTATAGCTAAGTACTAGTATTTAGCACTTATTAGGCTAGCCGCACATTGAGGGCAGGGTAGCCTGGCACAGCACAGAGAAGGAACTACAGAGGAAAACTATTCCTGTGCTCTGCCAGAGCGATATCCTCATATTGAACGTAGGTAGTTAATTTTTCCTGTGTTTTGGTTATTAGTTTTTTTAAAAAATACTGATCCAGCCGCTCAGTTAGACTTACTTTTAGATTCGGAAATAGAAAATATTGTCTAATAATATAACATTTATTAAACAAAATAGTTACAAATAGCTAGATATATGAACAAATTAGAATAAACGTGAAAAAATGTATCACTGAAGCACACTTGTGCTTGTGTGGGATTTTTATATAGTTTGTCCAAAAGGCATTAAAAATCAATATGGAAAAACGATTATTTGATAAAAAGAAGCACTCATGGGGAATTCAATTTAATAAGTGAACTTGATGATAATCAAAATCAAATGAAAATTTCTAAACACAAAAATTTCTATATATTTTGGTGTGATCTTCGCGCGCAGTGAGGCCGTAGTCCCGAAAAAACTGTGTTCATTTCACAAAGAACGCAGCACAGGCAGAGGAAAAAATTTCCTCCGTCTAGTCCTTACAAGTTACTACGTGCAATATGCGGCACTGCGTTTGTTCATGTTCGTTACAAAAAGGCTTCCTCTGTTCGGCTGTGCTGTGCTAGGCTGCACTGCCCTTAATGTGCGCCTAGCCTAAGGCTCATAATTTTATTTCTGCGGCTGTACTGGTGTACAGGGTGTCCACATTTATAGGCTCAGTACTGTTAGGGATATTTTTACTAGAAAAAATCTAATAGAATGGTCTAAATCTAAAACCCAAATGTAGGTACTAATTTTTGTTTCAATACGATACAGGGTGATTACAACAAATTTTCAAAATTTAATGATTCAAACTGCAAAAATATTATATTCTGAGACAAGCTTACTACAAGTTGTTTTGGTTAAGGATGTTCTAAAACTATATCGTATCAACTTTGTTGTTCTCAAGGCCTCAAAATATGTCATTTTTGCGGTTTGGTCTATTGAATTTTGAAACTTTGTTGTGATCACCCTATATTGTATTGAAACAAAAATTAGTACATTTGGGTTTTAGCGAAGGGGTAACAACTGGACCAAAATCTGTACATGTATTGCGCATTACATGAGTAATTCCGGTAATTCCAAGTAATGCCAGTAATTACATCATAATGCCATGTAATTTTATGTAATGTCATTAAAATTATGTATACCTAGGCTATATGACATAGTTTCACAGTTTTACATAAACCGACCAGAAAAACAAACCATTATACATTGTTGAAAACCAACATCACTTCCTATAATTTGTAAATATTTATTATTATTCTATAGATAGTTATTTTTCTAAGGCTCTGGTTATTCATCTTCAGATAAACTTGCTGGTAACTATCTGCAAGATAAATTCACCGTTCTATAATTCTATTGGTCAGCCGATAACTGGCTGAACAATGGGATTACAGACCACGTTTTTCAGATTGCCTACCTGACAGTTTATCAGAAGGCGAATAAACCGGCCCTAAATCTGAATAAAATGATAAATTTTTCTCATAATCTATTTTACAAAAACTGTTTCAACTTGTTAAATACATATTGTCTTCCATTTTGGTAGAGTTTACCAATGGTTGATTTATCCCTCGATTTATCCTGTCTCAAGAGTTGAAATGGTTCTGATCCAATGATTTTATTGGTCCATAAAAAATGTAAGCCTTGTCTACAGATTGTAGGTACCATCATCACCAAATCAAATCAAGTTTTTTCATAAGTTACACAAAATATAGTGTTTTTACACGTCAATGGTACAATAGATAAAAAAATACTAACATAACACTCAATTTATACAAAATAAGAAAAGCATATACTAAATAAAACACATGAAACACATAAAGTACATTACATTTAAAATATTTCTGTGTCCAGGAATTCCTCTATACTGTAATAGGTCCCCTTTATGAGGTGCTGTTTCACGTAGGCATCAAAAGATTTTTGAGAGATACTCTTAATGTGATTTGGCAGTTTGTTGTAAAATACTGGATAATAATAATTGATTGATACACAAGATTGTTCCAATCTGTGAAAATCGACCCTTATATTATCCCCGAGTTAAGTAATCATGATAAGAGCTATTGTTATTATAACGAGTATTATAATCAATGTTTTTCCTACACAAGAATTTGCTTTCAGATTTTTTCTAAAAAAATCCCTAATAGTACAGGGTTATTGCCTACCTGGACTACCTGACAACCTGCCAAGGTGAAACAGGTACACTCGAATTTTAATTTTTTTATTCAATTTTTGTAATTCTTAATAAAAACCAGTTGCAATCGTACCTAAAATCACGTATATAATGGCGGTTTTACACCAAACCGACTAGTTGAGTTGCCGTTTTGTTGCTGTTTTAAAAAAACAAAAACTCAACTGTTTTTAACGATAAAACAGTTCACAGTAAACAGACAAAAATTAGTTGCTGTCGAGTTTTTTTTTCTGTCGTTTTACAGAGAAATGGTTGCATTTTTCAATTTTTCTGAATGCCTTCTTCGAGGCCTTCTTTCATAAATTTCGGCTTCAAATCTCAGAATACTTCAGTGTATGGAGTTTGGAGGGTCCCTAATGATGATTTAGACACAAAATCTTAACATAAAAAAAAAAATGAAATTTTATCATTTTAGAACTAAGGTAAAGTTTGTTTCGCCAGGGTTTGTACTTGCCACCAGCATTTGCCTTCCTTGTTTAACAAATCAAAATTGACTGAAACAAATCAATGACGTCAAAAACGTTCGTCGGTTCTTAAATCATTTTAATTTGTCAAAAAAATTGAATGTGTCATATGAATTAATCTACGACAACCCTTTTTTTTCAAGTTTCAAGGTCAAGTATGAACCCTGGTGAAACGGACCTTACCTACTTACCTAGCTATCTTATGATTTAAATTTTTGAAAAATCATAACTATTTTCAATTATAGAAAGCTGAAATTTTGAGCCATTCTTATTCTCGTGGAAGACTACAATCCCCCAGCTCATCTGGCAAATTTTTTTTTAAAATTGTAGATTCTTCTCAGAGAGAGAAGAGAATTTTTGAATAAAGGCAACAAGACATCTCGAAAATTTGCAGAATTGAAGATTAACACTGTGATCACAGAAAAAAAAGTAATTTAGACCATAGAGATTTCCCAGCCCTAAATTTTCTCTTGTTATCTTGTTAAAAGAAAACAACCCATAATCAGGAAACAAATACATATATTTTTAGGTATAGTATCTGCCAGAGATATTTGAGATTCGTACTTAATGTATGTTTATATTATCGGCCGGCCTGCATTTAGTCAGGGAACACGTGTCAGGAACTGCTTGAATACAAAATTATATTGGTTTGAAATTATTCGGTTTAAATTGTTGTAAATAATGTTTAAAATTATTTGCAATTTTCTTAAAAGATCTTTCCGAGGATCTTTCAAATATTTGATGCAAGAAATTAAGTACTTAATCGAAACCAAAACAATACAATAATACTATACGCAAAATGATTTCAATGGGGCTGTCCCACCTTTCTTTTTTATTGGGTTTTCGAAATGCCTGAATCTCGGCCTGAATACAATATAAAATGTATGTAATAATAATTTGATAGACCATTCGTTATTCGATTAGAAAAAAAATATTGAATTGGCCAGTAAAACGAGTCTTTTCAAAACGCGCGCCTAACGTGACGTCACAAGACTCTGACCAATAGTATTATAGTCTCCCAATCTGTCGTTAGAACTAGAAATCAACCAATTAAGACATTGATCTCTGTCAGTTCAGTGAAAAGTGTATGTCTGGTTGCCTATTTTTCAGGGTTAAGGTCGTTATGGGTTAACTTCGTTCCTCTCTTATTGGCTGTAGTCATAATACGTCATAAAGGAGCGAAAACATCAATTTCAAATAATGGCAAAAATTCAATCTCAAATAAAATGTTAATGTTTCAATGCATAATTTTAATAACTAAAACGATATGTTAGTGTTGTAGAAGTACTTGTCTTACATTAGAAACCGAGTTAGAAACATTGATTTCAATTTCGCGGGACGGCCCTATTGATGCTCTTGGACTAAATTTATTCCTGGATTTATTCCCAACCCTTATCTGTAGAGTTTTTGCTGCGGTTTTTGTTTATCGTGGCATCGCTGACAAAGAAATAATTTTTTGTAGGAATCTCGAGTATCTGTGACGGCGACTATACCTATCCAAATTTCAGTTCCCTTTTTAAATTTAAATTAATCATGATTTTATTTTTTTAAATATCATACTGAATAAAATCATGATTGTAATTCACTGATTGGAATCATCTCAACTCAGATTTCAATGTACCTATACATTTTTATCGCTTTAATAAATTGCTTAGCACCATTGTCAATATATTAGTACATAGTTATATTATCTTCAACATTTACTGACTGATTATTTAATTACCTATTTTTTGGAATTTAATATCCCATTTACTCATTTAGACTAGACAGTTATCTGATAAAAGTAACCATATAGGTGCAGTTATCTTTGCATTTTCTTAATGCAAAATATTACATAGTAAACATTCTCTTCCAGCTCCTACTAACCCCAAAAAAAGCTATGAAAAAAATGGTTAATATAACATGAGCTCCAGAGGGGACGAGCCTCACCATAAAGGCTCATCGAGCAAATCGACGATTCAAGAAAAAGTGGCAACCTTGTTCTACAGCATAGGACTTTTGTGCAGCAGCTATCCTACTTCGGTCTTGGTATTCGCCATTGTTTTTATCGTCAGTTGTTGGTGAGCGCATTTTTCTAGTCCTAGAATTAGCATAAATAGGTTTATTAAAATAATCATGCAATGAAGTGAATTTAATCATTTCAAGGCTAGAATTGAAAGTCAATAAAAAAAAATGTTAATGATTAGTTATGTAAAATAAAACATTTTTGATTATTCTTCTAGTATGCCGTTGTTGAATGTTCCACTGCCCTTAACAACCCCAAAACAAGAATGGATTCCAACCTTAAACCTCTCGACCTCCCTAGAGCCTTACTGCTATGTTCAACAGGTCATTTTAAAGGTCGCAGTTCTACCTTGGGAAGCTGACCTTACTTTAGGTGATGCCTTTAGGGCTCCCCTTTATGAATCTTTTAAAGTTTTAGATATTGTAAGGAATTATCAGGACAGGAATAGGTAATAATGATAATTATTTCTATGTGCGTTGAAAATAATTTTTGCTTTAAGTTTAAAGACTTTAGGTCACGTGTGTCTGCATATTGAAGCCGTAGCCAAAGGCAGAGCCTATTCGCCAGTTATGCCTCAGTATAGTTGCCTAGTTTTATCTCCTGCTAATTTTTGGCATCAGGATTTCAACCAGTTTAGTCAGGATAGTTCAATATTGACTACTATATTTAATCAGCATGTAAATATAATGAATATTTTCATTGGGCTACAATAATACAAGTTTTTTGCCTTTAGAAATACCAAAAAGGCAAAGTCTCTGTGTCGGAAATGCTATTTGGAATGCCCTTGCGTGATACTGGGATTAAAAGGTATCCGTTGAGGCATAGGCAAAGGATAATTCAGTTTGCTGTTACTTTGTTTTTTAAGGATTATGATAGGGAGTAAGTCTTTTTGCTGATATAACATAACAATAAATATATTTTCATTTTCAGATTCATTCAAGGCCTTCAAGAAAAATTAGCCTCAGTATACCCCTTACATCAAAACATTACTAAAGTCTTGACAACATTAAACGACACGTTAATAATAAATTATCCAGAAGAAATCGACTATTTCGAATTAGCTCCTATCATAGCAGCTTTCATAGTATTGTACTTATACTACTATTTTTATGTCAGGAAAATCGAAGAAATCAAATCAAAAGCTGGCATGTCCTTTACAGCCATGTTCACAGTACTTTGTAGCTTATTAATGACGATGGGAATTTGTTTTATTTTCGGTCTCACTCTGAACAACCAAAGAGGTAGATGGGTGTTTCCATATTTGGCCATTCTATTTGGTCTCGAGAACGTTTTAGTTCTCACTAAAAGCGTTTTAGCGACGCCCTCGCATTTGGACGCTAAAATTCGATTGGCTCAAGGCTTGAGCAAGGAAGGTTGGAGCACAACAAAAACTTTACTCACAGAAATCACTATTTTTACTATCGGACTTTTCACTTTTGTACCTGTGATACAAGAATTTTGCATATTTGCTTTAATTAGTTTAATAAGTGGGTTGTTTCTTCAAATATTTTTTTTCTCCACTGTTCTTGGAATTGACTTGAACAGGGCTAGTACAACTATTGAAAGGACCAATCAAGGTTTTCGGAATGCTTTGTATCAGCCTTTGATTAACACTGAAAATTCAATTTTTGGTAATAAAGGCATGAGCCGGTCAAGATCTCATCCTAGATTAAGTTTTCCTACAAATGTTGTAGCAAGTCAAAAACTCAATAATACTCAAGATAAAAAGTTACCTAAAAGGCTTAGGATTGTCAATGTTTGGGCCAGGACTAGGTTTTTTCAAAGGGCCTTCATGATTTTAATGGTTGTGTGGATTTGTATGATTATTTACAACAGCGATGTTATCAATAACTATTTCCTAAACACTTTGGACGATAGGAAAAATAATAGCGGCAAACATCAAGTACAACGCAACTATCTTAACTTAAACTTTTTCCCGCTAATTAACCTAACTAAAACCGTAAACTATGTCACATACAAACCCTTGGAAATTGAAAGACCAAATCAATCGTTTGACGTAGAAAAAATGAAGCCCTCCGAGTACGCCCCTTGGATAAAACTTTCCAGCGAGCATTGGTCCTCTATATTAAGGAAATATAATGTTTGTTTGAGCGGGAAAAGCCTGGCAGTGTTGCCGAGCATTAAGTTGGCTCACATTATCAGCCCGGAACAAGCTGTTTTGTTGAGGAATCCTGAAGAAAAATATGGGAATAATTTGCAGTGGCAAGCGTTGGCGGCAGCACTGGATCCTATAGATTTTAATGGAGGTAATTTTTTTTTTCTTTTTTAATGGTTCAGGCTATATTGTGTGTGTAAGCCAGAAGAAGCATTGTTATAGGAATATTAATGAAACTTATTATCAGTTAAAAGATTAGAAATGCAAAAAATTCCTAGGTAGTTTGCTCCTTGTTCACTACTTAAGGAGAGTCTGGAATAGGATCTTTTAATTAACCTAAACCTAAAATCTTTGTTGATATTCTTGAACGTAGTTGTATATTGAGGAAAACCGCTTATTTAAAATATTATTTCTTCAAATCTTAAATTTTTAAAAAAATGCTTACTATAGAAAACCAAATGGTGAATGTTGCAACCATGTATGCGCTGTGAAATTTATGGGAACACTGGGGCGCGCCTCAGAAAAGGTGTCGAAGGGTAGGTAGAAGAAAATGAGAGACGAGACCAGAGGGAACAAGCTTGTCAGCCATTATTCATTATTCAATTTTTATTTTGTATTCATCTGATTGTTTGTGATTAGTTTGTGTATCATAAGGAGCATTCACAGGTCAGTTGAGTATAATGTTATTTTATTTTTGAGAGTTCATTGTTCAAGTGCAACAGGTAGTAGGTGATACATAATTGGAGGGCGCTAAGTTCAATAAATAATGAAGTAGATCATTTAAATAAATATAATCTCAAACAACAAATTAATATGCCCCATGCAGTACAAATCAATTTTAATAATATGCAGTATTTTTTCCAGACGATTTCCCAGCCACAGACCAAATAGAACAACCATTCTATCCAAGATCGCCCATGGAAATTATGCTCCTATCCATATTAATCTTGATCAGCGTCATTGTCATGGCCTACGGTTTCGTGGTCCTCTACAAATGCGTCTGTTCGAGAAACTACGCCGAATGGCGCGCTTCTTGGTATCCGGAAAAAAACGAAGACCCCATCGAGGACCAATACATGTTGGAGGCCGTACCTGTTGTCTTGGACGGGCACAGCCAAGAGGTGAAATAATTCTTCAATCAAACCAAAGATTTTTCAATAAGCAAATAATTTTTTATAGGTTGAATGTATAGCAACTGATGGAGTACATTTGGCAAGTGTATGTTTAGGAGGCCGTCTTAAAATTTGGGATAATAGTACTGGAGAGCTGATGACTGTTATAGATAGGAAAGCGCATTTTAGCCAAAACGAACAGGAGAGTGAGTTTTGTTTTGAAAACGATGACGCGTCTGATTACGAATCAGGCTCTCCACCTTCACGAGATGAAGTTTTTCCTCTACTCATTAACAGAATCAATACAGACTTTTCAAGTCTAAGATCTCGTAGCTCAGCTGCTGGAAATAACACGTTTAATTCCAGATACGAGTTTTATAAAGCGTACAAGTTTCATTATACCAGTGATAAATCCACAAGGTATAATGTTTTTGCACATAGAAATAGTGCGGAAGAGGAAGGGTTAGGTAGAAAAACTAGTGACAGTGGCAATAGCGCTGGGAAATTGTCCTCAGTTTGGTGCATGGATTACGTTGATAATCTTATAATTATTGGCTGTGCCGATGGGAGGCTTGAATTTTGGGAGGCTACAACCCAAAAATTAAAGGTACTTACTTTAATATTTTTACAATAGAATCTAACCCGAAATTATTATTTTCAGTGTATTTTTGAAGACGGTAACGATTCAGGCGTTACAAACGTAAAACTGATTAGTTCTCGCGTAATAGTGGCAAGACTGTGCGGTTCTTTGGATTTTTTCCAGCTGCAAACCTACAACCAAGGAAGACCCGTCGACTGGAACTTCACTTGCGCCTACAGGAGAACTCATATCCGAACAGGCTCGATGGGGTCCATATCTGAAAGGGAAATAAACAATCAGAACGACTCTGAAGATTTGAGGTGCATCAAATTGCAAAGTGTAAAAGCGCATCAGCAACCGATAACTTGTTTGGACTGCGAAGGGGGTAGAATAGTGACTGGTAGTCAGGATCATACATTGAAAGTGTACAGGGTGGAAAATGGAGAGCTGTTGTACACTTTGCACGGACATTGTGGGCCTATTACTTGTCTGTTTATTGATAGAGTGTGTCCTGCCACGTCCGGGAGTGGATCTCAGGATGGGATGTTGTGCGTTTGGGATTTGTTATCAGGTAAAGAACTTTTCATAAGATTTGAGTATTTCAGTCTTTGTTAGCAGATACTTATACAGTAATTTGTCCGTCTCAAATCAGATATCTATGCTGGCAACAAAGACAGATAAACAAACATTTTTTTACTAATTTTTCTTGAAGTGACTTTCTCTATTTCCAATCTGAATCTATTCCAAGCTCCTTACAAATCATAAAGTGAATAATGCCTCATTTATTGGGTTGTTTTACGTTTATTATGAATTTCTGCATTCTTACTAAGCCATTTCCTTCCCCATGGAAAAATGTCATTCCCGTAGCGAAGACTAGTAATCCCTCTGGAATTTCTTCCTTCAGATCGATCAGCATCCTCCCCTGTTTGTCAAAGATTCTGGAAAAAATTATGCATGAACAGCTTCAACTACATATGGATAGTCGCAAGGTTTTGCCTGTTAGACAATCTGGTTTTCGCCCTCGTCATAGTACGACCACTGCCCTACTTAAGTTGTGTGACAACTTATACAGATCACTGGATGACGGTCAAAACTGTTGCCTGGTGCTGTTGGACTACAGCACTCTGGACCACCAAATTCTGTGTGGGAGGCTGGGATATTTCGGACTGTCTTCTGATATTGTAAGGATTATGAGTAACTACCTGAGTGGTTGACTTCAGAGAGTTTCTCTTGGTCCTGAAACTTCATCGTTTGTGGCAATTAATCGGGGGGTGCCTCAACCAAGGCAGCAACTTGGGACCCTTACTCTTCTCGGTCTACCCAGCCGACCTTGGAGCTCACTTAAAGTATCTTTCATCTCACCAATATGCGGATGATACGTAACTGTATTGCTCGTTTTCTCATGATATGGTTCACTTGGCCGAAACTCGTTTTTGGCAGAAATCGCACTAAGCTCCTGGGTGATCAATTTACTGTTGAATCAAATAATATGAAAATTAAACAAAACATACATCATAATATTCCCTTCTGTCCCTAAGAAAACTCATTTGCAAATACTTATATGTATCTTCCACTGATGAAAAAACACCCTTTCTACTCACTTTGTAACGTACAAATTTAATAAATTTGTGCTGAATGCTCTCAAGGCGATCTATATATATGTATATTAAAAAATGGTGACCAAATTATGTTAGAAAACTCGAGGATAGATCTCACAAAGCTACCAAAAAGAATTTTCAGTGGCTTTACATTTGTAAAATCCCGACAAGATCTCCTAACAAATCTCAACATTCTACCCGCCCGGGCTATGACTTTTTCATAGTGCTCAGAAAATGTCAATTTTGTGTCGGGATACACAAACAGGTCCGTCACAACAAATACCTCCGTTAACAGACTACCACCTAACATGTAAGTCATAGGGAAGTTATTTTTAAGCTTACTAAACCGCAAAACTTGACACTTTTCTGTGTTTAGAGTCATGCTATTTAGAGTACACCATCTATTTATCTTGTTTAGATTTTAATTTGATCTTGTTGTGACAGAATGTTGGCGTTATATTTTTAGGTCATCAGCAAATAATAGGTATGCAACTTCCAAGAAAGAACAAATGTCATTTATAAAGATATCGAACAAATGGGGGCCTAAATGTGACCCTTGTCGAACCCCTGATGTGACAAACAATATATAAGACAGATAGCTTTCTATCTTACTTGTTGGTACCGATTCGATAAATAAAATTCTATCCATTTCAATATTGGCGCAGCAATACCATACTTTTTCAATTTTGATATCAAAACAGCATGGCTTACTCTATCAAAAGCTTTGCTGAAGTCCATATAAATGGCATGAACCTCAGGACCTTCCACCATAGCAGTAGAAATAAAGTTGGTATATAAAAACAGGGTGGTATCAACAGAACGACCTGAGGTAAAACCATGCTGCCCTGATACTGTAATCTTCTCAACACAATGCTTAAATAATTTAGGAATGCTGAAAGAATACTAACAGGACGGTAATTACCGACATTTCCTTTGTGCCCAGATTTAAAAATTGGAACTACAAGAGATTTTTTCCATACAGCTGAAAACTCATTAATTTTTAGTGATTTATTAAATATTGTATACAGTGGCATGTAAAGAGATCTAGCACATTTCAAAACAGATGGAGGAACACCATCTGGACCCATCGGCTTTTTGAACTGTCAAGCTCCTTTAATACTTCCTCTATTTCAGGGGCACTCAGATACATATCTGAATAATCCTAGTCAAGCTCTGAAATGTAGTCAGCGTCAGATAAATTTTGTGAATCAGAAGTATAAACAGAAGAAAAAAAATCCGCTAACAAATTAGAAATATCATTTCCATTATCTGCAACTCTGTCACCAAATTTCATGATCTTGGGACAATCATTCCTTCCCTTTTTTGTTTTAATTAAATTCCACAAGTGTTTAGGGTTGTTATTAATTGAGTTTTCTGAATTTTCGATAAATTTGTTATAATCCATTTCAGTTAAGTTTTGCATTGTTGCCTTAGCCTAGAAAACACTATGAAATCCTCTTGCCTGCGAGTGTGTTTAAATCTGCTATGATCTTGTTTTTTGGTAAATATAAGGTTTTTTAATTCTTTTGAGAACCAGGCAGGAAAAGTACTAACAGTGTTGTGTTTTACAGGTACGTATTTTTCTAAAGCTTCAAAGAGAATATAATAAAATTTCTCAAACAAATTGTCCATATTCCTCACTAAGAGTGAATACCAGTCAGTAGATAAGAAATACTGGTTTAATCTATAGTGCTCTGCGTTTTTAAAATCATAATTCCAACCACAATCAGGCTTTAAACCCTCACTGAAATCCGTAGAAATACATATTTCCAATGGAGGATGATGGACATGTGGCTTAACTAATCCAACAGTTCTATACTAAGTGACGGCACTTCTAAATGAGAAAAACAAAGATTTAAAGTTCCATCATTGTCATTTTTTACACCATTATACTGGGCAAGACCATGCCATATTATCGCACACTAGTGTCTCTGTAACACCAATAACATTGCCAGGAAGTAAGCCAATATACTCCTCGGATACACGCCAATCTAATCTTGGACGGTTATAGTCTCCTATTACCATAATTTCATTAAACTGGTTGTGAGCCATCTCAACAGATTCAATATGAGCAGTATAGACAGATGAATCCAAACTAGGAGGAATGTATACTGTACCAATGCAATAATATGACTTACCCACTAACACAGCAACCCAAACCTCTTCTACTGTAGAGTTATTTATTGCAACTATTTTCGATTGAAACTCACTTTTCACTGCAATGAGTACTCCACCTCCGGACTTTTTAGAACTGTTACCAGAACCACGATTAGTACGATACACTATGTAATTACCAGGAAATAGCTCCGAATCCTTTATATCAGAATCTAAATTTGTTGCTGCTGTCTCTCGTCGGGAATTTCTCGAGCAATATAAATTTATAGCCCAGACGAGACGAGACAAGAGCTCTTTTGTCTCGTATCGAGGGTCTTTCGTCGTGATGACAGACTCATTTTCTCTCAAATTTTTGAGAAAAGACGAGAGAGAGAGCCTATTCTCGACCCGAGGCCTCCCTACTCTTCTTCTCAATTTTTCCTACAAACTGTCAGAACTTCTTACCTCATAGTAAATTTCGCATTTTAAGACTGTCTCTCGTCGGGAATTTCTCGAGCAATATAAATTTATAGCCCATACGAGACGAGACAAGAGCTCTTTTGTCTCGTATCGAGGGTCTTTCGTTGTGATGACAGACTCATTTTCTCAAAAATTTTCGAGAAAAGAGGAGAGAGAGAGCCTATTCTCGTCTCGTCTCGACCCGAGGCCTCCCTACTCTTCTTCTCAATTTTTCCTACAAACTGTCAGTACTTGTTACCTTTTAGTAAATTTCGCATTTTAAGACTGTCAAGAATATTCTCTTTAGGCAGGGCACCCACCAAAATAGTGTGGCTTATGATGTGGCGTGTGATCTAGCAAGTAGCACGCATCTAGCATGCTATATCAAATCAAGTGAACATAAACAAATAGGCAAGTAACATGCATTTAGTGGCATGTAACGTTATGCGTACCACTTGCTAGATCACACGCCACTTCATAAGCCACGTTATTTCAGTGAGCGCCCGGGCGCCTTAGTCAATTTTCAATCTCTTTATGGGACTGTCATACGTTTTCTGACTTTTAGTTTAGTTTTTAGACCACGAACATTTTGGTAAAATACTGTAAAGCTGTCCATTAACTCTGAACCAGATTGTCTCCGCTCTGCAGCAGAGAATGAACTAGCATTGAAGGCAGTGCCCACAATTATTGTATTTTGAGCAGACGTAGTAGAGAGTGTAGTTTGCAGTTTTCCTAGAGATTTTTCCTCCATAACTAAAACCAATAATAAGGTTTTAGTTTGTTCCTTACTTTGTATTGTTTTGACTATTTTGAGGTGTTTCTTTACGCAAGTTTTCCACCTCAGGTGAGGTTTTTTTCGATATGTTTGACGTTTTAAGAACTTTGATCTCATCCTCCAATGTAAAAACCTTCTTTAGTTAATTTTTGTTATTTTTCTCGAGTACATCTTGCATATCAGTTACATCAGAATTAGCCTGAGAATTAATGGTATTCGGTCTTAGTTCTTTTATTAAAACCGTCTTAAAGGCATCACATTCTTGAGATATTTGCACAATTATGTCTGTTTTCATGTTTTCTAGAAAATTCTGCATAATATTATTGGGGACAGAGTCCTTATGATCACAAACTATTGCAGAACTATTTTCAGTGTTGTCTTCATTTATTTTCAGTATTGAATCAATGCAGTTGCAACACGCAAAAAGCATTGTTCTGGCTCTCATGTGAGTGACCTGTCCCTCCGAAATAGAAAATTTTGAACAGTTTAGGCAGTAGGTGCATTTACAGTAGTCGCAAATTGTTTTGTATTTCATCAAGGTTCTCTACACTTTGAACAAGACATGATTTAAACACAGATTGGACTATAAATCAAATCAAATCAAAATATGCTTTATTGTTTTAAACAAAGTAATGTTGTAAACAA